TATCATTATTTTTATATTATACATACTAATAGGGGTATTTTTATCTTTTTTACTACAATCCAATATAATACTAATATTAAATAATCTACGTGCAAAAAACAAATATCACTCTTCCAATGGGAGAGAATGAGTATTTTTTTTTATAACTTTTTACCTATCATTTTTCCATTAAAAATATAATTATTCATTAGTTTTTGTGTCCAAATAAAGTAACACAATTAGCCCAGACAAAAAAAGTATTATTTTATGGCGAATTTTTTGAATTTTATAAATGGATAAAATGTATATATTTGCACTATTCTTCCAATACTATTTTTCAATTGTGATTCTGAAAAAAGAAATAACAAAAACACAATATTTTATACACAATTTTTCATATCACACACTATAAATTATTTCATAAAAAAAAACAAATGGAACATTATATTTATTATATTATTGTATTTGTACGTTGTATTATATGTATATATGTATACAATATTTAAGTGGACAAACCGTGAGCACACAATTATATTTATTTTAATTTTAAATAGTTGTTAGGAAGCATTTATTTATTTATTTTGGCCAGCAATCGTTAATTAACCTATTAGACTATTTATTATTTGTTAATTGTTATTATAGGAAATTTAATGCATGAAATCCATGAAGGCCATATAACCTATGAAGGCATTTAGTAAGTTAGAGTGTGCAAATATTGTACAAAATCATTTATACTCCATTATTTTATTTATTCTATTTTTTATTTAAATAATTATTTAATATGATATTGTGAGAGGATAATATTGTCTATCTATTATAAAAATGTATGAAATGAATAATAGAAAAATAGAAAAAAAAAATCATAAAAATAACATATTTTAAATTTATTTTAATACTTAGAATTAAATTCATTTTAACAAAATGAATACTATATATTAAAAGTAAAAAAAGACTCCTACTAATAGTAAAAAAAATAGACAATATAAATACAAATACAAATAAACACTGCCTAAATTTTGTAATCAAACTCGTTAAGAAAGTTGGAAAAAATTACTACTCCCTCCGTCAATTAGTTAATAATAATTAATTATGATATTATTATATTATTTTTTATATAATTAATAATATTTATATTTTTAAAGTAAATTTAATATATATGATTAAAAAAATTAAAATATATGTTTAAATATTTAAAATTACATATTGGTGTTAAAATTTTCCACCTACCAAAATTTATTTTGGTTTTAATATGATTTTGGTATGATTTTAAGAATCAATACCTGAATATTAGTTACCTATTATTTTTATTTAATTTTAGGGCTACAAATAATGTACTGATTTGACCGATCAGCATATGCAATATGAATATGAATCTGAATTTATCTGTTAAGTCACTATTTTTTTTAATGTTAATTAATTTTTATATATTTTTTATTTATAGTACACATATTATATACTTATAATTTTACTACTTATCTCTTGATAAAAAATAAAAATTTTGTTACTTTTTTCTAATTTCGCTACTATAATTTATATATATTTTCATAATACCTACCTTACTTTTACTTATCATATTTTAATACTCCATTAGTTTTAATACAATAGTCTTATTTATTATTTTTGTCCGTCCAAAAATAATAGTCTTGTTTGCATAAATAACCATATCACCATAAAAGTATCCTTACTTTTTTATTATTATTACACAATTGCCACTACTTTTTAGACTAATATACTCACAAGGGCAAAAAAATTATTTATCTTACTTTCTACCAACTATCAATATAATATCAAAATTCCTTAAATGCCTTGTCCAACACAATAAGACTATACTTTTGGGACCGAGAGAGTATTAAAATATTATCATTTATAGTTTCTATGTTAAATCAAAATTAGAAATGACTTAAATATAAATTTTTCTGGATGGAAGGATTATTAATTTAAATAAAATAATACTAAATTCTATTTTTATGTGATTTACCAATGAGTTTTATTTGTAATTTTGATCATATTTTTATATTAATATTTTTTATTTAGAAATTACCATTTTATTTTCATTTACAATATTTAAATATATAAATATATAAACATACTTCTAGAAGAGCCCCTACACTAATAAAACTACTTTTTTTTAGATTAAATCCACCAAAGCCTAAAAGTGCAAAAATTAAGTAACTGAAATAGTTTTTTTGATTTAGGTTTGAAATTTGGATTAAGGGTATTATTATTATTATTAATTTATTATTATTATATGATACATGGAAGAATGGTGTTAATAATATTAAAAATATTTTTTTTCATTCAATCATTAATTAATTTATTTACGAGTAGATAATATATATTACTTATATTATATACTGTGTAAATATGTATGTATTATATTTTTTAATAATATTTCTTATTTTTTAATTGAAAGCATTTTTTTTTTATTATTTTTATGTGTTCCACTTTAAAATATCACTTTCATATCATAGTAAAAATAATTACATATTAATATTAAAATATTTTTAAATTTTACATAAATTACAAATATACTCTTATATTCGTAAAAAGTAAGAGCGAAATATACAATTTAATACTTAACCCTCACTATTGTTTAGTATTTTGGTTGAAGATATGTATATATTTGAGTTATATGAAAATTGTATAGATAGTATAAAAATAATATTTTATATTAAATGTTGATTTTTTATCAAATAAATATATATTAGAAATTATGTCGAAAAAAAATTGTTGAAAGAACAAAGTCAAATAATTTATTTTTTCTAAAATTAAATTCGTTACTAGTGGTAAATGTTGATTAATTAAGAATTTATATATTTTAAGAAATTAAAAAGAAAAATCAAATCTATTCCATAAATAATGAATATATTGTGTATTAGAAAATTAACAATATATATTTATCAACTATTAATAAGATATTATTTTTAAATATATAATATGAAAGGTAATTAATTACTGAAAATTTTAAATTTGGAATAAATTTATATTTTTAAATATAATTAATAAAATCTTAATTAAAATGTCATTTAATGAATTTTTTAGTTATTCAAACTATTCTAAATAATATCAATGGTACCATTAAAATTAAAATCCATCATATATGAATATTAAATCAAGATCATGCTGATATTATTAGTGCAGAGACTGGGCGAATATATATATATTTTTTAACGTTACCTATAGAAAATTAATATACAAAATAATTCTATTTTTGTTACATTTTAAATGGACTTTTAGGAGTTTTTGTTTAAATTAAAAAATAATACTCCCTCCGTCTCATAACAAATTATTCATTTTTTCATTTTAGTCCGTCCTATAACAAAGTATCCATTTCTTTTTTTGAGTAACTGTACTTTCTACCTAACATTACAAATACCATTACAACTTACAATATATTACACAAGTGTCGTTACCTTTATATCACACATACTAATAAGGTTATTTTAGTCATTTTTACTTTATTCTTACTATATCATAATATAATACTAATATTTCTAAAACTACGTGCAAAAAGCAAATGGATACTTAGTTTCGGGACGGAGGGAGTAATATTTTATTTGTTAGGAGAAGTATATAATATTTTGATATTTTTGTCATTTGACTTTACGTATGTATAAATTAATTGTATATATAATACTCCTTCACATATGACCTATTTTCCTTTTTTTAAGTCTCACAAAAGATGACCCATTTCTATTTTTTTTTGTAACTTTATCAATGTTAAACATACTTAACAAATATAAATCAATTTAATTAAACTTCATGTAGGACCATTCAAAACCCCTTTATTCCTATCTCTTTCCTCAAATAACATAATTTTTATCTATATTTAAAACTTCTCATTTTTTATAAAACTAATTTATGGTGATGATAAATAAATAAAAATATTTTTTATTTATTTGTATTATATAAAATTTTATTATCTACAAAATGATATCCATATTGCATATATTTTTTCGAGATATAATCTTAAAAAAATTGAAAATACCAATAATATTATTCATATAAAAAATAATAAACTAATATCATAATTTATTATTAATAACTTATTAATTTACACTACCTAAAAAAACCGTGTCCCTAATAAAAAAAGGTTCATCCCTCGCGGACTGGACGAAGAGAGTATATGTTTTTAGTTTATGTAAAAATTAATGATATTTTGATATTAATGTACAATTAATTTTATTAAAATAAGAAAGTGATATTTGATTAAATGAAAGAAATATGATAAAGTTGAGTGAAATAAATATTTGTTGATTTTTTGCGGATAACTAAAATATACTGCCTCTATCCTATTTGAATGTACCGGTAGCATAGTAAGAAATAATTGTATTTTATTGACTAACAGAGTTGTGCAAAAAAATTTGAATTTTTTGTCATTTGACTTTATGTATAAAGTAATTGTATCTATAATATCTTTTTCGTTCCATTGAAAAGATGACGTTTATTTTTTGTACGTAGTAGGGTTGTAGAAAAAAAAAAACAAGAATAATTCTATTAGTATTGTATATTATAAAAGTAATAACATTTGTGTAATATATTATAAGTTGGAAGCATATTTATTATGTTAAGTAGATAAGATACACTTAGTAAATTAGAAAATTATAACCTTATTTTAAGACGAACGGAAATAGAAAATGACAACCTTTCTATGACAATCTTTCAATGAAACAAAGAAAGTAGTATATTTATAATTTAAATAAAAATTTAAAATATATTAGTACTAGTGTATACTTTTGAATAAGAGAAATAAAAATAATAAAAATAGTAATTTAAATTGTGATGAAAAATGTATATTATATATATTATATTAATATATATGTATATATTATACTACTTATCAATATATATTTACTTTAAAAAAAATGAATAATTAAAGTTATATAAAGATAATTTTGTTTGGGACAAAAGTATTATGTTTAACACAGCGCAGTGGCGAATAGTTATAGCGCGTCCTGAGTTATTAAAAAATAAAAAATACCAGTTTATTTCAATGAGCTAACTAGTTATAACCTTCCTATATAAATATTACAGTTTTGAAAGAAAAACTGCAGAGAACCAAAAACCGACTTGGCAGAGACCAAAAATCTACCCAACGTCAAATTTGATTATACATCCAAATCAGAGTCATTATCACTGTTAAGTTCGATTTCTGCCGTGCCTTACCAACGATTCATGCGGCGGTTTCCGGCGTCAATCCTCGGTGCCGCCACGCCTCCTCCGCCGCAGCGCCGGTGAGGCTTGTCCTCCGTTCATTTGGTCGAAAAAATGGGTTCCAGTCCGATTTTGCTGTCCGGAACTTCCAGCGGGGGCGGCGGCGGTGGCCGGAAGTTGAAAGGCGTGGCTAGAAAGAATGGGAATGGTAATCGCAGAAACGAGCTGTGTTTCCCGTCTCCGTCGGCGTTTGCGTATTTCGTGGTTTCGCTTGCGGCTATGGTGTCGATCGGGGGTTTGTACGGAAAGTACGCCTTCACGGCTAACGTGCGCAGTGGGGTCGGAATCGGGTGCCACGAGGACAATGAAGGCTCGTGGTCCGTCGGGGTTTTCTATGGCGATTCCCCCTTCTCTCTCCACCCTATTGAAGCAGTAAATCTTCTCCTCCAGAACTCACATATACATATACATATATATATATATATATAAAATTTGTCCAAGCACGCACAGAGTAATAGCTTTTTGAAGTGGACAGTGATTTGGATTATTCTTCACAATCGATGGGATTTGAGCCATGGATTTACGATTCATAATACTGTTTCTTCGTACTTTTCCACTCCAGTGGCGTTTTGAGGAAGACGATGCTGTTCTTCATTCTTTATTAGTATTATTTTTAAATAACAGATTGAAAAGTACAAGAACTGAATGTGTTTGAAAATACAAGAATAATTAAAACCGAGTTTGAAATTTATTTGAATAACAAATAGGTTTGGTATTTTAGATTATTTATTTATTTATCTTTATAATATATATTTTTTTTTAATGACGTGGGCCCCGCAGCCCGAAAGTACGCCCTCGGGCAAAGCCCGACCGGCCGAACCTAATACCTGCAAACCATCTTTTTAATATTTCATTCTTGATTGCATGATGTGAAGATAATTTTGGAAACACAAAAACAGACTCCAGATTTTGTAGCAATAGGATTCTGCTTTGTGATTATGTCCTTTCAACTTCTTTTTTGGTCTAATCGATGATTGCAGGGTTGATTAATATATATATATATATAGATATATGTATGTATATAAATGAATTTGGAATTTTAGACTTACCAAAAAATTTTGTGGCAGATGAATGTATGGAATGATGAAGTTGCAGCATGGCCCATTGCGAATCCGGTGCTGAGCTGTGTGTCTCTATCAACTGCCGGCTTCCCGAGTAACTTTGTTGCTGATCCTTTTCTTTTTCTGCAGGTAATTCTTTCCTAAGCTTTGATGTTGGTCGATACTCGACATTCTGTTGATGCAGTTCTAATAGTGTTTTTCTTGAATGCAAAGCTTTTGTCTGTTTCCTTTTAGTGTAGTGTTGGAGATTATCATTTCAGTTTCTAGTGATCATCTTATCGTCAATCTTTCTGTCGAAGAATCGTTGAAGTGGTTTAAATGGGATGAGGTTAGTCGAGTAATGGCTTGAAAGAGTGGATTCAATCATCCATTGACTATTTTGTTGCTGTTGGTGTAATATTAGTTGCAAGTTGCTAGTGAATCGATCTTTTTCTAGTATTATATCCATTGGACGTAAAAGTTTAGATTAGGTAAGTGGATCGATCCGTAGTTTGGATGAGGAGGGATAATGGGATGGGGACTCCTTGCTTTCTTGGGGAAGGCTGTTCGATTCTTTTGATGAATGTGTTACTCTGGCATTTAGCTTTGCTTAATGCTTGTTTTTCTGGATGGCATTAACAACTTCTTGTAGATTCTTGTTGAAAAGGGAAAAAATAGGAAAATTTTAAGTCTTGTGGCAGGGGAATATTCTCGATGTTTCGCTTATCTATTAAAATTTCTATTGGGATTCATTCGTTTATCGGGGAACATATATATATATATATAATTGGGAATTTAAGAATCTTACTTGGAAAGTGATTATGCTAGCCTGGTCTTTTAACAGATTCTTGCAAGAAATGACTTTGTTTGTTTCATCAGTTAGATTAATGATAATCTGAGATCCCTGCAATTAATCAGCTCTTTCTTGTTTAGAAATTGCTCTTTCTTGTTTAGAAATTACCGGATTTTGTATGTTGATGGGCTCTTTTCTTGTCTTGAAAACTAACTGTTTAAAATGGCTTTGGTTATGCTCACATATGCTGTTGTTTGAGCAGGAAGAGTTTCTGTTGGTGTTTGATTCTTTAAATGAAAGAGTGATTTTGTGCATTATTAGATGAATATAAGCTCATATATACGACGTACGTTATTTTCTTATATCTTGATCTTTCAAACGACTCGTAAAATATAGTTTCTTTAAATGATTTTTTGCAAAACCATTATGCATATAGCCGTTCAATTCGAAGGTTGTGTTAGTCAAATGTTGTGTATTTACTCCGTGTGAATTTTCCATCCGGGCCTTAAAATTTCGACACTATCGACTCAGGCCAGTAATCATGTAACCATTCGACTTTTGAAGCAAGAATAACTGAAAATCATATCAAATAGATGTATAGATCTTGTGCTGGAATAGCTTCAGATAAATTTGAAATGTTTTGTCGGGTTTGGTACTTGTTCCCGGAGCTAGCGTATAACTAGATCCAATTCGATTTCATGCTCCAGGGTGATGCAATTTACATGTTCTATGAAATGAAAAACTCCATCACAAAGCAAGGAGATATTGGAGTTTCTCGAAGTTTAGACAATGGCGCGACATGGCAGCAGTTAGGCATCGCTTTGGATGAGGACTGGCATCTATCCTACCCCTACGTATTCGAGTACAACGGAAATGTAATATCTCAACATCCCACGTGCGCATATTGTTTGTCATTGAGTCGAGTCATTCGAATGTTTACATTAAACTTTCATAGTTTTGTTTCTCGCAGATATACATGATGCCCGAAGGCAATCAGAAAGGGGACTTACGTCTCTACCGAGCTATCGACTTCCCATTGAAATGGACACTAGAGGAGATCATAATGAAGAAACCGTTGGTCGATTCTTTTATAATCCCTCATGGCGGGAAGTTCTGGTTGTTCGGTTCGTACCATTCTAGGTTTGGCGCGAAGAGAAATGGACAGTTGGAGATTTGGTACGGCGATTCGCCTCTTGGTCCTTGGAAACCTCACAAGAAGAATCCTATATACAATGCGGATCCGAGCATAGGTGCACGGAACGGAGGTAGACCATTTGTGTACAACGGCGATCTCTACCGTATAGGCCAAGATTGTGGCGCGACGTACGGGCACAAAACACGCGTGTTCAAAATCGAAGTCCTGACGACTAATGAATTTGAAGAAGTCGAGGTATCGTTTGGCGTTGAAGAGACGAGCAAGGGAAGTAACGCTTGGAACGGTGCGCGTAGCCATCATATAGACGCGCAACAATTGGGTTCGGGGAAATGGATTGCCGTTATCGACGGGGATCGGGTGCCGTCGGGGGATTTGTTTCACCGGATCCTCTTCGCGTTTGTTTCGCTTGTTGTGGTTATTACATCGGTCGTGTTGGTTGGGATTTTGCTTGGGGTCGTGACGTGTGTCGTACCGTTAACATGGTGCCCGCACAACGTCGGTAAGAGACACGATACTGTCTTAGCTTCGGAGCGGTCAAGTTTGTCCTCCGACGTAAGGTACTTTTGTAGTCGTTTAAACGGGATGTGTTCGACCCTGCATTCGATGATAAAGACGAAGACGTGCACGGGAAGCGTCTTCGTGGTTATAATAACCGTTGTGGCCGTGGTTTCGACATGTACGGCGGTTAATTGGATATGCAGCGGAAGTAGGGGTCGGGAAGCCTACCCGTTGAAGGGGTACTACTCGCAGTTCACACTGTTAACAATGACATACGATGCGCGTATTTGGAACTTACACATGTACGTAAAGCATTACTCGCGATGCCCCTCGGTGCGCGAGATTGTCGTTGTTTGGAACGAGGGCGCCCCACCGCAACCGGATGACTTCGACTCGGCGGTGCCCGTGCGAATCCGAGTCGAAGAACGGAACTCGCTAAATAACCGGTTCAAGTTCGATCCGTCGATCAAGACCCGGGCAGTCCTTGAGCTCGACGACGACATCATGATGGCGTGCGACGATGTGGAACGCGGATTCCGCGTTTGGCGCGAGAATCCGGACCGTATCGTTGGGTTCTACCCTCGGCTCGTCGTCGACCAATTGAAGTATCGAGGCGAGGACCATGCAAGGGAAAACGACGGGTACAATATGGTGCTCGTCGGGGCGGCGTTTCTCGACCTATCGGTTGAATCGGGACGGTATTGGGGCAACAGTGGAGGAATTGGTCGAGCGATAGTCGATGAGTATTTTAACTGCGAGGATATTTTGATGAATTACGTTCATGTAAATTCGACCCGATCGATCGGAGTCGAGTACGTCAGGCCGGCGTGGGCTATCGATATGTCAAAATTTTCGGGAGTCGCGATAAGTCGGGATACCGGGTCCCGCTATCGAGTAAGGAGCCGTTGTTGATGAATTTTGAAAAAATATATGGGAGTTTGGTAGGGAAGAAGTTGAAGTTTGGAAGAAGAAAGGATGGATGGGATTTGTAGTTGATGCTTTGATGGGTTGTTCGTTGTGCATCAATTGTTGTACATTCTGGTTCGTGGGGTCTTTGCGGAAGAAACTTTGGCTGGTCCTTTGTAATTTGTGTGCAGTTTTTTTATTTTTTAGGAAATTGGGGAGTGAATGTACAATTTGGGTATAGTAGTCGCTGGGAAATTGTAATTTTATCATTTACATTCTCTTTTAATATATTTTGCATTAATTATGGGTTTGTTTGGTATACTTGAAAATTAATTTGAAATGGATGGTTAAGGTTTGAAAAAATTGTATATTTTTATTTAAAATAATGAAAGTTGAATAGTGATTATTTATTTGAAATTAAAACAATCACATATATTTAAATTTAAAATCAAATTCTAAAAGCAAAACCCAAAAGAATAATATTTGGATTATTTATTGGAGCATTGGGATAGGTATGGCTGCCTATGACTATCATGGGTAAGAATAGTAATACACAATTATTCACCATAATAATTTTTTTTAATCACACTAGGAGTATATAATATATATTTACTTTTATTATGTTTGCTCGTCTTATTTAAATTCTTTATTATAATAAAACTGATTAGAAATTAATATTAAAATATTTTAATTATTTTATAAATTATAAATATATTATTATATATGGACAATTAATTTATATATAAAAATATAAAAAACAAAAATATTAAAACCATTCTATTATTTTTATAATATAAATAATTATAAATTAAAATAAATTAAAATTTATAATTTTTTTTTTAAATTGCGAAACGGATAAAAATAATAAAGAAACTAGAACATTATTTATCAAATTCTTCTCTTTTAAAAAAATAATAAATAACACACCATTATTGAATAATATATAGAGTATATTTTTAACAAAATTACCAAATCAGCAAATCTCAATTTCAAATTCAAATAAATCGATCTAAAAAGACGAATGAGTCCAAATTTGCTCTAATATATATTCCATGTATATATAATATTAATAAATATATATACGAACCTTTTTTTTTCTTTTTTTTTAAATTTTTATAATAAATAAATAAATAAAAAGAATGAATGCGGATACGGACAAACAAGAAGTCGAAGATATACAGAGAGTGAGCGATACAGATTACATACACTGCAATGGCTGCCTGCCTCCCTTATAATGTAAGGAATCATTTTCACTTTTCTCGGGACTCCCTCTTTCAAACTCCTTCTTTACCTTTTTGCTTTTCTCAACAAATCAAATCAATTCACTAATCTCTTCTTCTCAATCCAGGATTTCTCATTCCCGACCCACAATTTCCTTCATTGTATGCATTTCGGGATTTTCTAATTATTCACTGATCGGTGCTTTTCTGCGGCTAGATTGATTGAGGTATGAAGTGAATTTGTTTGTGAGAGGAATTAGGGATTTGCTTTTTTGAGGGGGAAGGTAATGCCGGGATTTGCGTTGGGTACAATGGAGGAGTTCGACTCGAAGCTGAGGATTGAGGACAAGAGCGATAGCAGTAGCGATTCTCAGAGATCTAAGGCCTTTCCTTTTAGGGCACCGCAGGAGAATTTCAGCATCCAGGACTTCGAATTGGGGAAAATTTATGGCGTCGGGTCGTACTCCAAGGTCAACTGTTTGCTCATTTTCTTTCATCTTTTGATTGTTTTCGTGCCATTAGTGACTTATTTTTTTTTGTGTATTTTGCTATTCTGCTGTTTGGTTGCGTAGAACAGTTCTCTGAGTGTCCGTAATGTCTGTTTGTAGCTCTATAATTGATTAGGATTCTTCATTATTCATTGTCGATTTGGCATGCTTTTCACATTGTGTGGAACAGAGAGTAGGATTCAATCTTTTTTATTTTTGTTTTTTCATATATAGGAATATTATTGGACTTCCGAATGTGATTTTGCCAGTTTAGGCAGCATTTGCTTATTATGTAATAATTTGGGTGGGGTGTGTCATGTGTGTCTTCAAAGATTTCTAGTCAAGCTTTCGAAAACTAATACTACCTCCGTTGTCGAATTTTATGATCAAACATTTGGACACATTTTAATGAGAATGGATAATATCTTTTGCCTTTTTATAGGAAGAGCAAGTATAAAAATAATATGATCTTTTACTTAAAAAAATGAGAATATATATATTTTTATTACGACTCAAAAAGGGAAATAATCATAGATTTCGGTGCTATAGGGAGTAAGTTTTATGCTGTCTAATTTCTATTTGCGTGAAACTATTTTTACTTTTCGAAGCTTTCAGGTGGTAAAGTTTGTTTTCTTGACAATCATTTAGATGGAGATGGTCTCGGCTAGTGTTTCTATGCCATTATCCATGTTTCCAAATTTTATTGTAACCAATGTGTTAGCTAACCATCTTACCAATAAGTTTTAGTTGATTCGGAGCTGCATATGTAAATAAATATATATGCATATAATTAACCTAACAAGCACTTTCATGTATGGGTGGTGGAAGGACTTCAACACAGCATACATATTGGTGTTGTACATTGATTACGGTTGCGCTGAAACTAAATAAATGAACAGTTGCTCACGCTTGATTGGATTTGTACTTTTGGGTTCTATAATAATGTTAACATCTGGCACTGTTTGAGAATCTTGATTGATCTATAATTTATTTCCAATATGTTAATGTAAACGTAAAGTTCGTCTACTCTGTGATGCCAACAGGTTGTCAGGGCGAAGAAGAAGGACACGGGAAATGTTTATGCATTAAAGATTATGGATAAGAAATTCATCACAAAGGAAAATAAAATTGCTTATGTGAAGCTGGAGCGCATAGTATTGGACCAATTGGATCATCCTGGTGTGGTGAGGCTGTTTTTCACTTTCCAAGATACTTTTTCACTCTGTGAGTATTGTTTCTGCATGAGTGCATAGTCATCCGTTGTGTTTATAATGGTTTCTCTTGGGTGCATAGTAAATTGATGCCCTTGCATTTGTCGTGCCAGACATGGGGCTTGAATCTTGCGATGGTGGCGAGCTTTTCGACCAAATTATTAGAGTAAGTAACGGTTTGTTTGGTTTTGGTTTGAAGTTGGGTTTTTTTAGTTGAGTTTTTAGTTTAAATAGTACGTTGACGTGATGTTTTTTGAGGGGAAATAGCGCAACCTAAATATGGAATCCTTTTTTTTTTTTTCTGGCCATCTAAAAGTTGGCATTTTTATTTTCATAATTATGAATTTATTTGCAAACATTGCAACTCCTAATTGTAACTTTAGCTTCTGAATTAGTTTTTAACTTTTTTACGATAATTAACAAAATAGTAACGTTGTGAACTGTGCCTTGTTACAATTAGTGCAGCAGGTAGCATCAGAGTGATTTTAATTGTTATTTTGTTTGTGTGCTAAGATGCAACTCAAACAAAATGGAATTGGATTCTACTAGGGTGTGTTTGTTTGTGGATTTGATATTTGGGTTTGGATTTTATGTAGTAAAAGTTTAAATTTGAATAGTTGTTTGATATGATATAAATAGACGTTGATGCGATGTTTTGTACGTAATATTGATTTTTAGTACAATATAAAAAATAGAAAATAATTATTTCATTTGACATTTTTGGAGCGAAAAAAGAAGCTGAATACAACAAATACTAAGCATTCTTACTCTTGTAAAGAATATAATGTCTTGACATTATTCATTTTATTTATGCAGAAAAGCCGTTTGCTTGAAGACGAGGCACGTTTCTATGCAGCTGAAGTTGTGGATGCTCTTGAATACATACACAGCATGGGATTGATTCATCGAGATATTAAGGTACTTTGTAATCTTGGAAGCATTTGTATAATTGTATTTGTATTTCTGTACAAGCATACTAATAATTATCAAATTCACAGCCGGAGAATCTGCTGCTTACAGCTGATGGGCATATCAAGATTGCTGATTTCGGCAGTGTAAAGCCCATGCAAGGGAGCCGAATAACCGTACTTCCCAATGCAGCATCGGGTATATATATATATATATATGTTTTGCTTCACTACATCATGTAATTGCCATCATTTTTTGAAGAATAAACAATTTCATTTTGGCGAAACTTTTCAGACGATAAAGCGTCCACCTTTGTTGGGACAGCTGCTTATGTACCACCGGAAGTTCTGAATTCCTCCCCAGCAACTTTTGGGTAATTAATAATTTAGTTTTTAAAATTTCTTCTTCTTTTTCCTGATTTGACTCTTTTTTTTTGAAACATTTGATCAGGATCGATCTTTGGGCTCTCGGCTGCACATTGTACCAAATGCTTTCTGGGACTTCTCCTTTCAAAGATGCAAGCGAATGGCTGATTTTCCAGCGAATTATTGCTAGAGATATCAGATTTCCAAATTACTTCTCAGCAGAAGCTCGAGATCTCATCGATCAGTTATTGGTAACAACATAGGTTCTCCTCAGCTTTATATGATGTCATTTACTATCGATTTATGATCCACATCAACGATTTTTGGATGCACTGGTTTATTGATTTACATTTATATATCTTTGGAAATTCAATCACCTAGGGCCATTCGACAATTTTCAAAAGTAAACATGTTCGAAATAACCATTCGACTCAATTTATCCTCAAGTTTAACATCCTCAGTTTTACAATCTTTGGTGTCTCACATAGGTAATTGCATATTGGTATTGTTCTCAAACTGATATGATGTGGGCTGTGTAGGACATGGATCCAACTCGGCGACCAGGGGCAGGGCATGGAGGTTTTGCCCCGCTCAAAAACCATCCCTTTTTCAAGGGGATCGATTGGAAAAACTTGCGGACTGGAAAGTCACCGAAACTTGCTTTAGAGCAAACAGTAAGGGATTTCTTAATACTTTTTCTGCTTAAGCGAAAATGTAAAGCTTATTTATATGACTATTCATTGTTCACTTTTTTCTCAACCTCTCTAAGAAACAGATGCAGTAGGAATAGAGGTGAGATTTAGTCTAGTCATATTCGAGCAGCGTCTGCTTGATCTTGACTTGGATAAACTATATATCGAGCTTGAGTTTGAGTTTGATCCAATATATTCAAGCTTGAGGTCGAGTTAGTATTCTAAAACTTCATAAAGTAGAGGTTTTTTTTTCTTAAACTACTAACAACTTTTATGTTAAATAAAACACTTTAAAATCAACTAATTCATTAATAATATCTATAAATATGTATATTTATATTTGAGATACTCATTAAATAGCTTCATACTTATCAAGTATCAAACTTTGATGTGATGCCGTAGTTGGACTCGAATAATGAGTTGAGCAAATAGGTTCGAGTTCATTAATTTTCATGTAAAGTTCAAGGTGCTAGGCTCATGTTTCGCTCTTAGGGTGGGACAGATTCATACACAAATTACCCTATTTAGCCCCTCGTTAAATGTGCTCAATCTCATATTTTGATATATATATATATATATTCTACATTGTTGTTCGTTTCAGGCTCACTCTACCGAAGGTGAAGATCAAGATTCTTCGTGGAACCCTTCACATGTCGGTGACTACTCACCGCAAGTAAATGATGTTTATGCTGGTGCTGCATCGGCTTCTGAAGCCGAGAACATAACTAAGCTTGCTTCGATTGATTCATTCGATTCAAATTGGTGAGTGGTCGTTTCTCGTTGAGATGTTTCACTTATTGTTTAATTTTAAGTGAATTTTTGTTTGGTGTACGATTGATGTCAATCAGGAAGCAATTCTTGGAGCCTGGAGAATCGGTTCTCATGATATCCAATGTCAAGAAATTACAGAAGCTGACGAGCAAAAAAGTCCAACTCATTCTCACGAATAAACCAAGGCTAATTTATGTCGACCCCGCAAAATTGGTGGTCAAAGGAAATATAATATGGTCTGACAATTCTAACGGTCTCAGCATTCAAGTCATGAGCCCTTCGAATTTCAAGATTTGCACGGTAATTCTTGATTCCATTCATCCGAATACTATCTCGTTAACATAACTACTTTGTTGGCTATTTTCTTTTTACATTGCATGGTTTACATTGCTGTTTGAGATGTGTTTCATTTAAAGACTCAAAAATGCTACCACTTCTTTTAGATATAAGTTTTGTAGTTTTGGGAAATTTTGTGAGAGAGAAATATATTTAATGTGATATTTTTAAAAAATTTATTGTTGTATAGTGACAATTTTCAAAAGTATCTATGTAAAAAATACTATTAATTATTGCTCCCATATATGTTTAATCAATTCATTACGGAGTGATATATGAGTTTTTTTATCTATAAGTTGTCTGGATCGCGGGGTGTCTTAGATTATTTCTTAGTATTTCGAATTTGAATTTTTTTTCTTTTATTGAAAAATAGTTATTATTGGATTTGATATTTTTAACTTATACACGGGACATGTATTATTATAGTTAGGTGTATGATGTGACTAAAATACAATTGAATACATTTTGTCGAACTAAAGTGCATTTTGGATTGTGTTGCCAAATATGTGACCTCCTAAGTTTATCCTACTCCCATTTTTTTTCTTTTTTTTTTTTTTTTTAACTTTTTATTTGTTTACATGGAAACTTGCAACCCATGACCTCACAGTCACGAATTTGCCTCACTCCCACAGCTATCAAGAGAAAACATCTTTTATACTTTCCTTGCATCATTTTATGAATGTATAATAATATCGATATATGACATAAAATGGCAAGCCTTTATTAACGGCATGTGTTTGTGCATAAATGCAGCCGAAGAAAGTCCTGTCATTCGAGGATGTGAAACAAAGGGCACACCAGTGGAAGAAAGCAATCGAAGGCCTTCAAAACCAGTGAATAATTTTCGATTATGATGTTGATGTTCGCATAAATTGGGGATTATTACAATGGCTGGCAAAGGATCACGCCATCAACTAGTCCCGGGTAAGTCATTCGTTTTATGTCTACAGAAAGTCCGAAGCTGGATTATTTTTTTGTATTGTACCGTGTTTTTTGTTTTAGAAAAAAGTCTGAAATTTACACGAGATTTTCGATCACCATTTTTTAAAGATATATATAGATAGATTGTCTTTTAATTTTAATTTTTGGATTATTTTAGTGCTGGCTTGTGTCTTTTTCATTGGATGTTGTAGGAGTTTGAATTTATATTGCCTTTAAGGCATTAGCTTCAAACTTGTTCGAAATTGTGGGCATTTTTTTTTTTCCAAAAAATAATGATGTGTAAATATACAAGATTTGGATTGACATCCAATTCATTCGTTTAATAGGATTTATTATTCATATTTGTTACTGGAATGGTTATTATTTATTAAAATAAAAAAGTTGTGGGTGTGTTGTGTTTTGAAATTTTTTTTATGCAAAAAATTATGTATATAATATAAAACTATAAAAATAAAATAAAGAGCGTAATATATTAATTTTTTTATTAAAGGAACAAAGCCTGAATTATGATTAAATAAAATATTTTATTGTAAATAAATTGCAAATATTAGGAGACTTTAAAAAAGACATTGGGCATAATTGCGGTTGAAGGAAAAGTAATAAAATTCCGCTGATTTGGTTGTCATTAAAAATAAAGTTAAAAGGCCCAATGTAACTGAGATGTAATTTGTTTTATCCCATTTAGTTTGCATAGTATTAAAAGAATTTTATTTTTATTATAATTAAAATGATATACTTTTGAATGCAAAATATATGAGATCAAGAGAGTATATATACTTTATTTATTAAAAAAATTAAAATATAAATACACAAAAAATAAAAGAATTTTTAAATATCAAAGTTAAAATTTATTTTTATCTAAAATATTATTTTATTTTTTATTTTTATATTTAATAGATCTAATAATAAAATGTCAAATATTTATATAAAATAATAGTACAAGCATATCATAACCCCCTCCACGCAAAAAAAAAAAAAACACCCCGCCCGGGAATTTGGAGCATTTTACAATTAGTTTTAAATTCAGGGGCATCGTGCAATTAGTATAATTTTGCAAAGATGTCCCTGCCTTTTTATTTTTTTTCTTAAAAACAGCTTTTCACATCGTAAGAGCCTTCCAGATTCTCCCCACAGTCAATCGATTTCTTCCCGATTCAAAGGTAAAACTTCTGCATCTGAAATCAAGGATTGTGCTGTATTTCGTGTTGTAACATCGTCCTGTCTTCGTTTTTCTAGTAAATTGTTAAGTTATGGCGCTTCAATCTGCGAGAGTAAAGCCCCCCCAAAAAATAAAAATCTGCGTTCGATTTTCGATGTTAAGTGTTGGTGAAATTATTGGATCTAGTTCGTTTTTATCTTCTTAGAAAAAATTAAGTTGGATTTACTTGGGATGATTAGATCGCCGCGCTTCCCATCGGATTTACGCTTCTTATGTGGTGATTTGGTAGGATTTGATGATCATGAATTTTTAGTTTTTCAGTTCAATGGTGATGGTGATTCTTTTTTCCGAGTTCATTTGTTATTGGAATAGCTTAAAACAGTTGGTGAGTGAATAGCCAATGCGAAGTAGAGATTGTGAGTTTGACTTGAATGCGAAGTATCTGTGAGGTCTTTGGGTTGGATTTGAACTTTTGGAGTGGAAAATAGTGGACTGACTATGATCTTGGGTATAGTGATTAGACCTTGACAATGTTGTGTTATATATATATATATATATATATATATAAGAGAACTTTTAACATCAGATTTCATAGTGCTTAAAGGGTGTTGATACCCTAAATTAGTGATTGAGTACGATTAAGTCCTTTTTATAACCAAGAGTTAAGAATCATGGCTCAATGTGCCTACCTTGGATATCCCAACATTTGATACATGTGCAAGATTAGTTTTGTTTTTCTTAAAATACTGTAAGTTTATTTATTATTTGGGTATATTATGCTGTGATAATACTTGATATGGTTTCAAATTTTGGTTCTAATAATGGAAGTATATCTATAAACTTGTTCAGAAACTCTTCCTAAATGGCAGTGTTGTAGATATAGATGTGGTGATGATATTTGCTTTGTTTGGATGTATATTTGGAGTGCTTTGATTGTGAGAAATAGTGTGTTTGTATTCATTTGAATAGTGAAAGTTGTGAAAATATGTTTTATCTTATATGAGGAATTATAGGATGATTGGATAAAGGGATTGGATATTAGATTGATGGTTAGAATTAAGGATCAAGATTTCTGGCTTTGTGAGTATGAATAAATTAGAATAATGGATAATGACTGAATAACTTATTGAATTGTTATTATTTTTAATATTTGTGTAAGAAGCAAAACGTCCGATTATTTTGTGAAAGTTATGTTTGGTAGATTATGTGTTTCGAGTTTATGCCAAAGAATGAATATATTAGTGATGTAAAAATGGTGTATGGGTTATTTCATTTTTGTTCTTTTGGTTTTTGTTTTTCTGACATCAATCGTGGTTGTTATCCTGTATGGCATATGTTTTCACGATTTATGAAACTATTAACTTCTCACGTTCTTCAAGCACTATACAATTGATGCTAATGGTGTTTTTCTGTTCGCTTACCCCCTTGTCAGCATGTGTTGTTTACCTTTCCCTTTTCTGATTTAGCTTCGTGTAGTATCAACTATTATGGCATCTTCAAGTAGCCAGAGTGGAATTCAGCTCTTATTAGCTGCCGAACAAGAAGCTCAGCATATTGTTAATGCCGCCAGATCTGGTGAGAATTCTATGCCGGACTTGGTTTTAGCTAATGGTGTCTTTGAAGTATTGATGAACAAACTGACTCTTATGACTATCATATCATGGGTTTATATGCATGCTCGTGCTACCTTCATCTTGATATCAAGTATCAACAAATGAAGAATACTGCAATCTCTCTCTCTCTCTCTCTCTATATATATATATATATACACACATATATGGTAGTGCAACCCTTGATTAACTTATATTAGAATTGTAGTGCCTTTTTACTGTCGTGGGTCTGTCTGGGAGGGAATTTGGGAAGAAGAATAATCTCATTGCTTGAATCTAATATTCTGGTGTGCTTTTTGATCCAATGTTGGGGAATTGCACCAAAATCTTAATGTATAATAAATGTAATAACACCTTTCAAAAATAGCTTGCTTCCAACAAATTTACCCTTCTTTTTTTCCAAAATAAATTATTTTTATGTAAACAATTTGATGATCTGTTAATTAAAATAAAAATTATCTATGAAATAACTTTCCATTTTCTGTTTGAACAAATTCCTAAAAGTTGTTTTGTTTTTGCAACTATGCCTTTATAGACAAAAGATTTTCAGTACAACTCATTTATTCTAGTTTTAACTTTGGTTTTTTATTTTAATTAAGATAAAAAGCACTGACTTAGCATACACCATTGAAATGGAATTTTTAAGGGCAATGATTCAACTGTACCATTTCTGTTCTTTGCAGCCAAGCAGGCGAGGCTGAAACAGGCAAAGGAGGAGGCTGAGAAGGACATCGCTGAATTCCGTGCTCATGTAGAAGCTGAGTTTCAGAGGAAGCTAGCTGAGGTAAGACATCGAGGGTTTGGTTGTATTTTTCCATATTTGTTTTTATTATACATTTACAGTAATTTTTTTCCAAAAAAATAATATCATATATTTATTTATTTTTGTTATGAATGCATCAATATACTTTTTACATGTAGAGTTTAGAATATTAGTATTTTATGTCTATGTAGTACAATAGAGAGATGAATGCACATCTATTGCTATATATGTTTTATAATGTAGTTAAATTATATCGATGGCATTATTCTAATAATAGGTAATATGTAAGAGTTCTTTTAATATTTCTAAGGACCACAATTATTAAAAAGGAAAATGTCAAAATAGATAGATTAATTTACATATTGCATCCTTGAATTGTGCATTAAAAATTGACCTTCCCTTTTATAGAATAAATTGAACTTCTAAAGTCTTATTCAGCTGAGGTAGCAAACCCCTGCTATATATATATATAGAAATAAGGCTGGTTCGTAGTCAAGTGAAAATACATATATTTAAAATACACTGGCTTGCAAATATTTGAATGTGGATTTGAATTAGATTCCCTCGTTATTAAAAATAAAATAAAATTACATTGTTACAGAGCAGTGGAGACTCGGGCGCTAATGTGAAGCGACTGGAACAAGAAACTGATGCAAAGATTGGGCATTTGAAGGGCGAGGCTTCAAGAGTTTCTCCCGAGGTTGTGTCCATGCTTTTGAGGTATGTGACCACGGTAAAGAACTAAGATCAATCTTGCTGCGCGGTTTGGCGATACTATGAATTATTTCTGTGGCTTTGTGTAATATGTTCGACTTGTGTTATGATGCTGTGTTCCTTGTGATAGCCTCGTTTATGATGATCCCTTACATATTTGTTTTCAATTGCGGCCTCGTGGTATTGTTGCCGTGTTATGGAATAAAGTCACTATATATATATGCGTTTTGGGAAGTTTGTATTTTGATGAACATTGTTCTCCGTTGAGGAGAACGTTAATATTTCTTTGATTTTTCGATACGGTATTTTTATTATTGGATGTGATATTTTATATTTTCGGCTCTAATGTCTCATTTATTTTTTTCCCTGAACGTTAAAAATATTCTTAAATAATTTTGTCATTTTTCCTTGTTTACATATAATAAAAACAAATGGATTTGTGACCGTTCTTTCAGATCATTTCCACACGTGATTGTACAAAAGATTTTATTTATTTATTTATAACTTCATTCATGATTGCAATTCACTATGTATTATACATAGATATTTTATTGGATGAAATAGGACAGTATTAAAACATTGTACATATTTTTATAAAATGTATTTCTCTAATTACCGAAATATAAGATTGCGTAAGATTTTTATTGGTTCTTATTATCCATTAAAAAATAAAATATTTTTTCTATTACATTAAAAAAATTATATTTAAAATATAATAATTTATTTACTTATTTATATTAAATAATTATTTTAATTTAAATTTAAACCTCAATGTTCAAACGCACCCAAGTACATATAAATTTATTAAAATATGACATATCACACAATTGTAATTCTACTTGAATTGTAAAATATTTAATTAACATAGGGGACCATATAATATTTACAAAATAAAAAAATTTGATATTGCGGACGACCCAAGTAATAAATTAAAGAAGCCAATTAAAGAAACGTATAATAATAAACTTAAGTTTTTTATATTATTTTATTTTTTTATATGGCTAGTAATTTAGATTTGAATGTAAAATTTTGTAAAATAAAATTTATATTCTTATAGAAAAATGTAAAATTGATTGTAAAAAAGCTACCGAAATAAACACACCTTACATATAAAAAAAAAGTTAAATAGTAGTATTAATTTCATTATTTGTAATTTATATTGGTGGTAAAAAATTAATATATAGATAGGGTTTTTTATAATAAGATTGATTTTTGGAGTTCAATTTTTCTACGATGTTGTAAAAAAAAAAAAAAAAAAAAAAAAAAGGTAAAAATATATAAATAAATAAAGCCTTGTGATTTGACTGATTTCATATTAAAATAAAATAGTTAATTAATTGACAAATTGGTGTATATGGAAAGAAGAGAGATTCAATATATAAAAGTGACGCAGCACACCACCACCAAGGTATTCAACAACGGCGACAAGGATCCATGGCGCTATCCAGGCTTCGGCATCCCGTGATCTCCCGCGCCCCCTCCCTCCTCAGGGCTCGATTCCTATCCTCCGCCGCCACGCGGTCGCCGCTGTACCGGTAATTCGTTGTTTCCCCCTTTGATTTGAAGCCATTACACGATTCGTTTTGATCTGAATTGTGGAGGCGTCTCATGTCTGGGTAGTGGTCAAATGTGAGGAATATTCGAAACGTTGGATGTAACTGTGGGAAGCCAATAATTATCTGGTGTCTAGCTGCTTGTATGTTAAATTAAATATTTGATATACAATAATGGAGTCGATTTTAGACGGAGGGTGATTATCGATTTCTTGAACTGTTTTTAGGATTTGTAGGTGCGTAAGAAGTTGTCGAAGAAGGATTAATTGAAATTGAAAGTATGCGGGGAACTACTCTGTCAATGGAGGGATTAGCAATGCAACTTACTTTGAAAAAAACTCGTAATTTTCTTCTGTAAAGATTGATGTTTGAGAAGTTTTGACTTTCTAAGATGTCTATTTAGCATCCATGTTCGATAGTAGCTCTTATCATATTAACAAAATCAAAATTTTATGGTTTATTCGACTTGCCTGTACACAATTTATGTTTGGTAGAGCTTTTTGAAATTCAACTTAAATGCATACATTCTATTCCCTGATAGACATTGCCATTGATGCATTGTTGTGCTCTCAATTTGCTCTAAGTTGCTTGCCAACTGTGAATTGGTTCGTCTTATTAGAGTGTAGTATTCTAAAGAATGGGTGTATCTTGCCTGCAATTCAGTAGTGCCTCTCTCTTATAGGAGATCTGGTTTGGAAAACTATTTTGCCAACTTACAAGAACGTTGATCAGCTAGGAAAACGGTCCCCTAATTGGGAGGGACCTTTCGTGGTTTGTAAGGAAATTGGAAATGGAGGTTTTTCTTTTTGGATCATCCGGGAAGCTGGAATAACTCAGAAAGGAAAGAGGCCCGTGAAAAATGATAAAATGATAATTTTTTTGTGCTAAAATTTTCTACTGTCTGGAATAAGCTGTTCTTTGGAGACATCTAATGTGAAGTGAAACACACAAAGCCTTTTCACACAACCTTTGTTAATTAATCGTGCAAATACGTAACATTGTTCTCTTTGTTACAGTCAAGTCCTGTAATGTTTCTGGGGCTGTTGCATAAGCTAATAAGCTAGAAATTGGAATAGATTCTGTCGGAAATATGACTACTGGTGCATAGCATACATCTGATATAAGTACAACAACATCATCGTTTTATCTGCATTTAGCATGTAATGTGAACAGATGAATCTCTATCATTGAGGTTTTTCCCTAATATATCTTATGAACTTACCTAACCTCTATTTTCCTACCAATAAGTTCCAAACCTGGATAGGCGTCTATTGTGTTTGGCATCTGGCTTGAAATCTTACTCTTCTATATGTGTAGAAGGAAAGAAAACTCGGCTAATTTATGTATATATTTTGTTGAGGTTTTAGTTTTATTGACTAAGTTAGGAGTACTGCAAAAGAGAAAAAGGAACCCATAAGAGAGAATACAAAGAGCATAGAGCTAGGGAAAACTGAAATCACAGACGCTTATTACATCCAAACTGAAAATTCCATATTTCCTCTTGTTCCATGCTTTTTGAAAAAATCTGCATTCATTTTCAATATTGGATATATGCTGGAAGGTGATGGAGGAGCATCAGGTCCTGAGCCAGGTTTAATTCTAAGAAAGAAGTCTTGTTTGTCTTCTTTTAGAAATTGTTTTCCTAGCATGTTTGCTCTAAACTTAAGTGACAAGGTATTTCTTATTTCTAATATATAAAAGTTTCAAGCTTATGATATTTGTAGCCATGGCACAAAGTAGAAAAATTTATATTGATCAATTCCTGGGTCTTCTCTTTGAATATAGGAAATAGAATTTGGTTACACATTACACAAGTATTACTAAAGTTTTTTATGATCTGTGATACAATGTTAATGTTTCTTTTGCAATTTTTATATCTAGATATGCTTTCATTCTGTTATGCCCTTATTTTGAATTATTGTTAACTGCAGTTTCAAGAGTCTAAACTCTGGTACAGACTTGGTTGATTCATCATTAAGGTTTGCAACCACAAGCTTATCTTGTTTTAGTTGTTTATTTCCTTATTACTTCTTTTTAACACAATATTCATGAATAAATTCCATTTCAAGTTCACAATTTTCATTTTCACCACTGTTATTTGGATGTTTGTGATCAAATTTATTGAATACTTAAATCTATTGTTGTGCATTTTGTATTCCATTTCATTTATGGTTACTTCATCAGGCCATATTCATTGGTTGATGGCATGCAAGACAACTATTCTAAGATCAAGGTTGGTGCTGAGATTGTATTAGTTTTCTTTTATTTGACCATCGAATGCTTCTCTAACTATTGTTATTTCTTCGAACAGTTGAGAATTGGTGTGCGCTGCTATTCTTCTGCAGGTAGAGTTTTTCCTTGGAAAAAATAAAATAAAATAGACATAAACTAATCACCTACAGATGCTGGCTATATTGTCCTGATGAATCTGACTTTATATAATAGCAATTAATACCAATTTTAAACTTCTAATAATGTATCAATGGTGCAAGACTCAATATCTTAACCCTTATCAAACTGACAAAGATGATTCTAAGTCTACTCTTTCTTTTTGGCTATGAAGATTATAATAGAAGTTCAATATTTCCCAAACTCCAATATTTTAACTCTCAGAGCTTCAAGCTCTAGTATAAACATTATAGAACATTGAAGTGGACATGTTCCCTTTATCTGATGATGGTTATTTGACTTGAATGAGGATTCCCAAGCTCTTTTGTTGTTGCAGAGATTCCTGAGCATACAGTACTTCAAATGCCTGCTTTGTCACCTACAATGGTAACATAAATCCAAAAAGACACCAATCTGGTTATATTATTGAGATTTGTGATTTGCCATTTTATCTCTTGCAGACTCAAGGTAACATTGCAAAGTGGAGGAAGAATGAGGGTGATAAGGTCAGCTACTTTTACTATTCTTTTCATGGACTTTGCTTTATATACAGTAACTCAATTGCAATTACAGAAAATATTTGCATTGTGTGAAGATATATCTAACCAGATATAAGATTTTGTAAATCCTTTGCGGCTTTTCTATACTACAGATTGAAGTGGGGGATATCCTATGTGAAATAGAGACCGATAAAGCTACCTTGGAGTTTGAATGCCTTGATGAAGGGTAAAATCTGATTTCCAAAATTATGCAATGTGTCATTTGTGTCAATTCTAGATAGAAATTCATATATGATTTATAGGTTGGACTGCCATCAAGTACTGAAAATTTTCTAATTTTCTCTGGTGACATGTGGCAGCACTTCTGAAAAATGAGTATCACTGTCATTTGTATTACTTAACTCAACAATAAATCGATGTTAGGATATAGGGTGTGTTCACTTTTGTGTTTTTTGGTGTAGGTGTTTTATATGTTAGGTATATGAAAACGTGTCAATAATATAAAAAATAATATCTTGTATTGAATTGTTATTTTTTGTGAATGGATAATAATAATATATATATATTATATTGTGTGTGCGTATATTTTGTTTTTTTGGTAATATTTATTGGGAAGCATGTCAAATATTTTTTTCGGGTGAACACGCCCATAGTTTACAAAGTTTAATTTATTTTTTATTGACTAAACGAATTGCTTTAAACATTACATTTGTCAGTTTGTCCTTCGATTGCTGTTGCTGTGGAGTAGTTTTTGATTCTCTTGTAGTTATGTTATTGGATAGGATACATTTTAATTTACACACATTGTCAAAATATCCTGAAGTTTATCTTATTGCACATTTAATTCTAATTGAATATAACTTGCAGGTTTCTAGCTAAGATATTGGTCCCTGAAGGTTCAAAGGATGTGCCTGTGGGGCAGCCTATAGCAATTACAGTTATGTGCCCAGACTTCCAGTTGTATTATCTCATTTTTGTGTTCCCTTTTATGTCAAACAGAATACAATTTAAGCACTTTAAAACGCCATAACTTATCATATGGATTTTGTTATTGTCTGAATACTACAAATTTGAATGCTTAAACTCAGGTCAACTAGACAAAGCTTTATATCCTTGTTTAGCTAGGCTCGCCCTTGAACCTTTTCTTTTGCTTCACTCCGTCAAGGATATCCATAATGATACCCTAAATGCATGTCAAAAACAATTTTTCTGAGCTTCACTCCAAACTAGTGCTGATGAAACTTCATTTCCAACCTGAAAGCAGACTGCTTGGACTATGCCCCACTACTGCTTCCACCTTTGAAATCCTTATCTCCTTTATCTTTCATGATTTTCAAGCTGATATTAATATGTTTAACTAGGTTGAGGATGCAGATGATGTAGCAAATGTTCCTACAACTGTTTGTGGATCTGAAGCCAAAGATAGATCATCCACTGAACAACCTGTGTCGCATGGAGACAGCAAAGGAGAAGCAAGCACTGCCAACATTAGCACATCCGAGCTTCCTCCTCACATTGTTCTTGAAATGCCTGCGCTCTCACCGACTATGGTAAGAACAGTTGGTTTATTAAGTTACATGCTGGATATTGTTTTTATCTTTTCTTTCCTGTTGAAGACCTTTTGCTTCTCTTTGTTTTCACTTTTAATTCACAGAACCAGGGTAATATAGCTACATGGAGAAAAAAAGAAGGGGACAAGGTCATTCTGCCATTCAATTTCTTTGTGAATTTTTTATTATGTCTGTTTGCTCTACTGTAGTGATTGATGTAATGTTCTTTTCACTGGAGATTGCAGATTGAGGTCGGTGATATTCTTTGTGAAATTGAAACAGACAAAGCAACCCTTGAATATGAAAGTCTTGAAGAAGGGTAATAAATATTTCTTTCAAGTTGATGGTCCTTCAATTTGATAAATGTATAGATATGGAAACATTAAATAATAATCAGTTGTCAGTTTTTTACGTGTTGAATTTGTATCATTGTTACTGTTCAACGTTTGTAATCTTTCACCAAAGTTAGATTAGCGGTGTTTTGCAGTTTTCATTTTAGTATTATGATCCAATGGTTCAATTTTCACAATTGGATTTATGCTTCATTGTATTTCACTGATATAGGATTTAGATACTATTGCAACGTATATCTCTGCTATTCATGCACTTTAACTTAGCTTTTGGATGCAGATACTTAGCCAAAATTTTAGCTCCGGAAGGATCAAAAGAGGTGGCTGTGGGGCAGCCGATTGCAATAACAGTGAGTCCATGCTGTGTGAATGCATGATTTAAAGATGAAAAGAAGTTTTACATACCATAAATCATGCATCACTAGCAAATAATTTACCTTACATGTGGAAATATGTATGCGTAGGTTGAGGATCCTAATGACCTTGAAACTGTAAAGGCATCTGTTAAAAGTGGTGCGAGTGTCAAAGATGAGAAGCCAGTTCAGAAAAAGGCTGCGAAAGATGTTAAATCTCAGGAAACTGGTTTCAATCGAGTTAGCCCTGCTGCAAAGTTGTTACTATCAGAACATGGGTTAGATCCATCATCAATTGCGGCATCAGGTCCTCGAGGTACTCTGCTGAAGGGGGATGTTTTAGCAGCTATAAAGTCTGGAAAAGGATCTCCGAGAGTTGCTGAATATAAGCAAAAGGTTCCTATATCACCATCAGCTCATCCTCAAACTTCTTCTGCCACAAAATCTTCTTCACAGCAAACAGATCTTTATGAAGATTTTCCAAATACTCAAATTCGGAAGGTACCTAACTGCTTCATTGTTTGGTTGAAAGTTCATGAGTACCCTTCATTATGCTAATACATCTATAAAGTTGTTTGAAAATACAAAATTTATAAGCCTATTTCCATTCTGCAGTTGACTTAAATGCTGTTAAATAATTCTGGTTATCTTAAAAGGAACTACTTGATAAACCCAAATATGGCCAGGCAATACAAGTTTTAAAAAATTTAAATAGTTATAACTTGTAATTGATCAAATAAAAATTATGCTGAATAAAAATCATTACCACATATTCTATCATCCACCTTGTGTGTGTAAACTTCTTTTTTTGAAATCGTCTCAGGTCATTGCCGCACGGTTATTGGAATCAAAACAATCTACGCCCCATTTATACTTATCGACAGGTTTTCAGTGTTCACTAATGTTTCTGCTTTATTAGCTATTATGTATCAGTGTGATGAATATTTTAATCTTTTATACTAGATGTTATATTGGATCCTCTTCTCTCATTCAGGAAGGAACTTAAAGGTGAGTAGTCATTATCACTATCCGGGTTTTCTTCTCTTTTCTTTTTTTTTTTTTTTTTTTTTTTGTGGTATTAACTGGAGCAGAATAATCTTACTTGATTTTTCTTCAACTTTGCAGAGAGTTTTGATGTCAAAGTCTCTGTAAATGATATAGTGATCAAAGTAGTAGCTGCTGCATTAAGAAATGTACCAAAAGCAAATGGTAAGTATTTCTGCATCTTCTCTCCTCATATTTATATTTATGATAACAATGGGTCATCTAAGGTGGGGAAAAATAAAAGACAAACTAAGGAGTAAGGAATAAAATTCCGATCTGACGTGTGTCAGTCATCCTGCTTAACCAGGAGCCTTCAAAACTTTTGACATTAATGCTCTCTTTTTACATGTTTTTAATGTAATGAAGAGTTCAAGAGCTTTAACAGAAAAGTGCACTCTTAACTAAAAGATTTTGAATTTGGGTTGTCGAAATGAGTTGCCAACATTGCAATTTAATTTTGTGATTCTATTGCTGTCTTTCAAATAAATAAATGCTATTTGAAAAATGCCAATCCTCCTTGAATGGTGGTTTATGCAACCAAAGGTCCATTTCTGTGACTCAAAATATATTATGCAGTTGATTACTGAAAAGGCCATAAAGTAATGCAAACTGCAATTTAGGTTTGTTTGTTATGGCACCCAATATTTGATGTTCGAATAATCCCGGTAGCACTTTTTTTGCCGTAGAAAAATCAACCTTAGCAAGCATTGAATTCATTTCTGGAAATGAGCTTGTGTATAAACATATATATATATCTTCCGTTATGATCTATCTTCCTATTATTTGGGTGTTGCTCTTAATTTTTAATTCGTTTCCATGACCAATCACTGTATCAAACTGTAGCCTACTGGGATGCTGGAAAAGGGGAAATAGTCTTATGCGATTCAGTAGATATATCCATTGCAGTTGCTACGGAGAAGGTAATGTTTTTAAGCACTAACTTTATATTCTCGACGATCCAAATCCTTGATTTAGGATCATCACAATTTCTTTCAAACTTTAGGGCTTGATGACTCCAATAGTTAAAAATGCCGATCAGAAGTCTATATCATCAATATCCTCCGAGGTACATATCTGACATGTTTTTTTATCTTAGTGTTGAGCATTTGTTCCCATTCAGTTGTGTGACTTCATTAATACTATATAAAGCAGTTTTTTTTTTTTTTTTGTTAATTACATTTAATTTATTTTCCTCCAAAAGGTCAAAGAACTTGCTGAAAAAGCCCGGAACGGAAAGCTTAAGCCAAACGAGTTCCAAGGTGGAACTTTCAGGTGAATTAAAACATCTTCTCTTATTTGGTACTACATTTCTCTAATGAATTAGCCCATCCATGTTTATTATCCGAGTCGTATCAACTTCTCCCTTCTTCATGCAGCATTTCAAACTTGGGGATGTTTCCTGTGGATCGATTTTGTGCAATTATAAACCCACCTCAGGTTCTCTCTTTAAATGTGTATATATCTCCGTATTTGTGTATAAATATCCAATTTCTACTTTATGTACATAAAAGTCAAAATAGTATATTTGCTCTATAATGATCTTTAATGTCACCAAAAATGAAACAAAAATTTCCGATCAAAAAGAAAAAAAAAATGAAACAAAAATTTGATAATTGTTCTTCTATGGAAACCTAAATTGAATGAGATGAAAATTTATAATCTACTACGAGGCCAAGAAATACACATCGCTGGATGCTTGACAAACTTTTGTTCTCTGCTGACCCAAGATTACATATATGAAATTAGCTTATATACTTGTATTAAAAGAAGAAATCAATGTAATTATTTTATGGCATTCTGATGTCTTATCACTATGGACCATCCTTATAATTTTCTATTTACTTGTTTAAGGCTGGCATTCTTGCTGTCGGTCGAGGCAATCAAGTTGTGGTACCGGTTCTTGGAGAGGATGGTATATATATATATATATATGTCTACTGTACCTATTGTTCAGTGCATAATTCATTTTCATATCGTTGTTTCATTACTTTCTTGAATATTATCTTTTTAGGGAGCGAGAAGCCTGGCGTCGTAACAAAAATGAACTTAACGCTGTCTGCTGATCACCGTGTTTTTGATGGAGAAGTTGGAGGTAATTAATCTTGTTCCTTCGTAAGAATAATAGGGTTTGTTCACTTTTGTGTCTTTGGATGAATTTACTTTTTTATGTCAGGTATGAAAGAATTGTGTAGGTGATATATAAAAAACAAAAATATTTCCTCCGTCCGTCAAATTTATTTTTACTTTCTTTTTTAGTTCGTCCACTAAATTTATCTCATTACTAAATTTAACAAAGTTAACAATTATTACTATCCATTCAACACTTATTTACAACAAATGCTACTAACTTTATTACGTTTTCTTTATTCATTTACTTTAATTTTTAACTAAATTTTCAAAAATATCTCCAACTACCTATTACTTTTTCAATAAAATATTCATTTTTTAATCTTTGTGCCGGACCCAAGTGGGATAATTTTAATGGACAGATGAAGTAATATTTTGTATTGAATTGTTGATTTTTTGTGAGTAGATAAAATGTGTATATTTATATATATTGAGTTAATGTGTATATATTTATATTCTCTTTTATAATATTTATGGGGAATTGTATCATCTAAAAACACAACGTGAACAAACCCAGTGTTTGCGGATCATCTCCTCAACTATGACAAAGTTTGGTTGTACACAATCCATGCACCCTGTTTGGTTCTCCTTAACAAATAAGCTCTGTTCTTGTGCAGGTGAGTTCTTGGCAGCATTACAATCGAATTTTGAAGATATTCGAAGGCTTATTTTGTGATGGCGCTTTCATAATCGTGCATTCGCCACTGCAAATGGGTAAAATTATTGATTTCCTTTTTAGAGTCTCTTTATGCATATTTTGTTTCATTTCATTTCATTTCCGGAATTTCGCCTCTAACTTAGACGTAAAAGCTTCAATTGCTTGTGAGGTCTTTTTGTTCAACCACATCATTCAATTCTTGGTGTATAATAACAAAACAAAAAATGCGAGGAGGCGTAGTCAGTCGACCTATCAAATAAATCTAACCTTGCCTGCTTTTTTGCCGAGTTTGTTTTGTTGTGTTTTTACTGTTTTAGTCTGTTGTGGTAAAAATGGTTTGGAAGAACTCCATAGGGAGTTTTCTTACATGCCTGAGGTTAATAAAATCCATTCCTTGCTTTGGCAGTGAAGTTGCTGTTGCAGTTTGTTCTCTTAAAATTTTGACTAGACAATTTGTAGCTCTTCGTTCAATATACTCTTATCACACTCCCTTTCACATTAACACAACATATATAAAAACTAACCATTCAATAATTTTTTAATTTTTTTTTAATACCAACACAATTCTCCATACATACATGATAGAAAGAACACATTTCATCCAAAAATACAAACTAACAAACCCATAATTTTATATATAAATTATAAAAACTTGTATCAATTGAAACTGATATCCAACTTTTATGACTATAAATTTAGCAGGCCAAGTGAGTGCTTTCTTTAGTTCGATTTTCAAGGCTTTGTTCTTCTACACCATTCCTTATACCTTGCATAATTTTATTATTATTATTTTTTTCAACAATCCTATGAAACAATCACACCCCAAAATTCTACCAAATCAAATTCTTTTGAAACAGAACAATAAAAACAACAGAAAATTTTAAGTTGACGACTTCAATATTCCTCCCTTCATCTGATATTAAAATACCAAGAAGAAAAATACATGTGCATTCACGTCACTATTGGCATCGCAAATTCGCTCAAAATTTCACCTCAATCAAGTAATAATAAGAATAATAATAAAATCATCAAATGTCTTATATATCTATATATATATATTTAAATTAAATGATAATGAGATCTACGTACTTGGATCATGGATGAACTGCTGTGGTTTCTTCTACACAGTTCCCATCCTCCTTAATAGCAGCAAGAGGTTCATACCATTGAGGTCCAAATCCAGCAGCTTTTCGAGCTTCCTCGTTGAAAGGCGGTTTCAACGGCCCTCGGAAATGTGCCCTCACCGTAGCGTGAAATTTCTCGACAATCTCGTCTCTAAGATTCTCAGTTATGTTGTCATCTTCTAGTTCTAGTTTTCTTGATCGCAGGCAAAGATATTTGAACCACTTTACGCCGGCTGCACAGTGAGTGATTTCTTCGGGATATATGACCTTTTCTAGTAAATCAGCTGTCTTGTTGTCGCCACCTTTCCTAAAACGTGATATAGTTGTCGGTAGCACATCGAGTCCTCTGGCCTGAAAATTACAGAATTAGCGGCGTAATGAAAATCGAAGGCCTATATGTAATTGTGGTACAAACTTGACAAAGTTGAATAATATCAATAAAATCTGAAATCATAGAAACCAAATATCTAAAATATAATGAAAATATCTCAACACAAACTAACTAATCTTGAGTTCATTACACAAGATGAGACATTTGCTATAGTATAAAATACTCCCTCCGTCGTCAAATTGTGTGCTCATTTGACCGGACACAGATTTTAAGAAGAATAGATAAAAATAGAATTTTTAATCTACTTTTTAGGGTAAAGAAAAAGTGCTATTTTTTTACTAAAAAATGAAACAAAAATAAATTTAGATGATAAAAGAAAGAAAAAAAAAAAAAAAGTAAGAATAAATTTGGATGGCAGATGAAAAGTATCAATTTTCGTAATAAATCAAACCCATGTCCACGTGACAATTAATCTACTAATCAAACATACATTTCATAAGGCGAGGATTGGTGATCTTGAAAATAACAGTGAACTTTAGTCGAGTGGAGCTTGACTTTTACGCACATGGTGGACCTCAAGATTGAGCTTGAGTCGAGCATGTTCTAGAAAGTAGCCTAAATGACAAATTAACCAATAAAAAATGATAACTGCAAAATCGCAAGCTCTATATTACATGCCCGAGCTTGTCAAAATGCTCGAGCAGCTCCTAGTTCACCATCAATTTCTCAACCTTAAGATAAGCAACAAGCTATAGCCATATCCATACTTGAACAAATTATTTATAACTCAAAAGTTGTGTAGGACAACTCATTATTGTAAAAAATTGCACAATCACAATCCAAAAGAAATTAAGTAAAAATATACCTCATGAACACAATGCTCGATTGCGAGACGAGCCAACAAATCCTTTGAAGTGGCGGTGGCTGAATCCCAAAGACCATCATGAGCAGGTAGGGCACCGTAGAATGATCCAAGTTCTTTGAGTCTCTCTGCAAGAAGGGTGAAGTGGCGGCCTTCGTCTTGTGCTACTTTCACAAAATCCGTGAAAAAATCTCTCGGCATTGTCTCTTGCTTACCGAATCGAGCAATTATGTCCTATGTATATAACCAAATGAAAAACTATGCTTATTCCAAAACACAGAGCTATTGTGTATATTTATTATGTCAAGAACATAACTAGTAGGGATAGACTGACGTGCCATCTCCATTATTATATAAAAATGATATTACTTCCCAAATATAATGTCACACTTTTCATTTTTATCCGTCTCACATCTCATGTTAATTTCTTTTGTTTGAAAAAGACTTAAACACTTTAATCACATATTCCAATTTATAATTTTTTTAAGTTCTTCTAAATTTCCGTGTTTGCATTAACCATGATGTTATATCTGTAATGAGGAAGTATTATGTAAGAAATGGTAAGGTGGAACTAATCCATTTTGTGAGCTAAACTTGATAAATATATAAAAACTACAACTAACAAAGGAAGATCAATCTAGGACCATTATAATCATGCAGTCTCATTCAGACAAGAATAACCTTTTGTTTACTTGGTAATTCTTTTTCATTTAAATAGAAACTTGTAATATTTTATGATAGAAAATATATAATCCCTTCGCCCACCAAATTTATTTTCCATTTTCCTTTTTAATCCATCCGCTAAATTTATCCAATTATTAACTGACAAAATTAACAAAACATTTAACTATTGCTCTTCGTTAACACTTGCTTACAACAAATATCAGTACCTTTATTAAAAAATATATATATATCAGTACCTTTATTTAAAAAAAAAAATATCAGTACCTTTATTAACCTAAGTGAGCTAATTTTAACGGACTTAGTGAGTATATGTTTATAGAGAATGTGAGGGTTGCATAATAAAAATACTCACAGGAAAAGGGGATCGCAAACTAAACAAAGCATTACATCGAGCATGGGCACTCTAACAAGACTTTTTACTATTCAAAAAAAAAAATTACTCAAAAAATATCAAATCATTGGTTAAGTTTCAGTGCACATTTATGCCTATTAAAACTTATTATCAGATCCACAAATTATAGTACTGTCATCCCCTTAACCAAATCCCTTCCCAATATCACTTTTCAATTCAATCACCATAACCACACAAACTTCAAATCAACAGCCAAAACAAAACAATAATGCAGAAACCAAAGAAATGGCAATAGCAATTTACCCAAGACAAGTCAATAGCCCAGCTTTCAGTATGCACAAGACTATGCACAATCGCCTGCCTACTCTGCAAGCTCCCGGCCTTCCCAAGCTTCGGCATCTCACTCGGCGACACCAGCTTCACCTGCACACCAAAAATCCATTACTATTCCCCAAAACCGTCGCCTCACCATTTCATCCAATAGGGAAAACGACGAGACCTTTACACCATCTTACGTACATCGTCCAGCCGCGCCGGCCGATCGGGAACTTGGATGTCGACTCCGGCGACATAGGCGGCGGCGATTTCGCCGTTAAGCCATTCGTTCGCGATTACATCGCCAATCCGAGCTTTTTCGAATGGATCCGCTGTGTTCAGCACCGTCAGCGCCGCTTCCACTAGAGACTGTTTTGACATTACGCCTCCGCTCACCATTTCGATCCCCTTGAAGCTGCTCTTTTTAATTCTGATTCGGAGAGCTGAGAACGAAGAACAGATTGGACTGTGAGTGCGACGAATTACTGTAGCCTTCGCGGAAATCAGCGAACCGAGAATTTTAAGGGGGTTTGGGTAAATATTGCTTTATGTAAATTACGATTTGGTTCACAGCTTTTGTAAAATTATAAACTGCTTCATTTTTATTTATTTTTTTGTAAATACGACTTGACTTCTTTAATTTTGTCTATAAAAATATACTCATTTAGTATGTCTTATATTTCATTTACTTTTTACGTTATTATTTTAATATTAAAAATATTTTTTTATTTTTATAACTTTTTTTATAAATACCTTTTGGTATTATAAAACACTAATCAAAATATTTTTACAATTTTTTTTTTTCATTTGTACTACGTTTTGATATAATAATTAATATTTAAATATAAAGACATAAAAAATAAATCGGATCATTAGAGTCAGACGAAAGTAGTATATATATTTTATTAATTTTTATTACTTCATCAGTTTAACAATATATTACTCTTTTTGTCCCATGTAACATGAGTTTATTACCGTAAATACGAAAATTAAGTAAAATATAATTAGTAAATAATTAAAAAATGTATTAGTAAAAGTTATTGTATAGTAAAAAAAATCATAGATTAACATTAATATAACTAAATAGTTTAATTAAAATTAAAAAATTAAAAAAATTAATATTTAAAATATAATTAAAATGTATAATCATACATAAAAAATGACAAATTATGTTTGATGGATTAAACTTAGAGTGTGTTTGGGAAACAACGGGCGGGACTCGAACTCGAGACCTAGCCTAGGCTCTGATACCATGTCGGAAACTAATGACCGTCTCACCTAAAAGCTCGAACTTTTTAGGGAAACTAAGACATTAGTTACATATCCCGCAAACGGGAGTCCTCAACAGCTGTTTCACCAGTAAAAAAAAAAAGTTAATTTAGGTGTCTGGTAAATTAGCTTTTTGGAAAAAAACAAAAAAAAACAAATTTTTGAAAAACTCATCTACCAAGCGTTTTGAAACAGCTTTTTCATTTTAAATTTATACATATAAATATATTTTTATAGCAGTATTTATTAATTATTTTAATATATTTAATTTATTAAATTATATTTTTATTTTTGTAAATTTAAAATAATTACTATTATTAATTATTATATATAAATTATTTTATTTGTAAAATATATAAATTTTTAAAACTAAATCAAATAGAAAAAACAAATGTTATTAATTTATTTATATATTAAAACAATAATTAACATAATAAAAATATATACGAAAGATTTATTATTTTATATTTTACATAATTTTAATAAAAAATTATTATTTTTTAATAAATTTTTTTTTCTCAAATCTAAATAATAAAAATAAAAATAAAAATTTTATAATATTTTTATAATTTTTAATAATTAATAACAAAAATTCTCATAAATTTCAAACCAAAATGAACAAAATTAAATATTTTAAAAAATAACATATATTAGTCATTTTACGTGTATAAAGAACTAATGTCAAACAGTTGTTTTATCAAACATTTTAATACAAACAGCTAATTGAATCAGCTACCAGCTAATTGCCAAAACCGTACCCTTAGAAAATAAAGATAAATTAGACAAAGGTAGTAAATTAATATTACTTTCATCTGCCTAAGTATTAATATTATAGCAAGATATAAGTATTCGGAAAAAAAAAAAAATTAAAATATTTGTTAAAATGATTATTTGTAGACAATTTAAAATAAAAATATATATATTTATAAATAAAATTAAGTATAAATAAAAAAAAACAACTAAAAAAGGACTACTATTATATTCAAACTAAAAATAAAAAAAGACAGTTTTGTTTGGGGATCTAGATACAATTTCCTTATTACATTGGGCAAATCTAAAATTTCAAATTTCAATTGTGGTAAAATGTAGAATTATCTAAAACTAGCCGCACGGCCTCAGAAATGTTATAATTTCCCTCCGCAGGTGTGCAGTGCAATTCGGGGAGCTCGGAAGAGATTCTACGATGAGTTCGTTCCCACCTCCGCGGCCGGCGGAGTCCATCCACCACCGTCTTATCGACTTCATAAAGACTGCACTCATCAACGTCTTCGTCTCCCCTTACGCCACCGTACGATGTTTTCCCCCATTTTTGTTGGTTTTATTTTCGTGTGGTACGTGCTTGCTTGTCATTAACTACAGCTTTTGATAGGTGTGCGATTTGTATTGTGGGAAAGTGCCCGACGAGGAGAAGTGGGATGAAGCACAGATTGGTCACTACATTGGCATTGGTAATTTTCTTAATACAATTCTATTTTATTTTTGAAAAAAAAAAGGACGTAGTTCTTCATCATCATCATCGCCATCATCGCCATCATCATCTTAGTATTATTATTAGCTTGGCTTGCAACTGGCAAGTGTTTGTATAAATGATCATATGAGTATTGGTTTATGTTTTTGTTGGTATGAATAGTAATGGAATGATGAGTAGTTTTTTTTTTTTTTTTATCCGATAATATATTTTTGAGTTAGTGTGAAGTGTTAGAAGGAGTGTGTTTGGTTCTAGGTTTGAAAGTTGGGCTTTTGAAGTTTTTAAATTTGAATAGATGTTTGATGTGATGTAAATAGTTATTAGTATGTTGTTTTATTAGAGAAAAATTAGATTTATAGTGTGTTTGTTTGGAGGTTTGGATTTTGAGTTGGGATTTGAATTGTAAAAATTTTGAACTGGAATAATTACATGATGTGATAGAAATAAGTACTGATGTGATGTTTTGAATGTAAATTGAATTTTAGTATAATATAAAAGATAAAGAATAAGTGTGCGATTTGATGTTTGGGGGAAAAGGAATTTGTGTGAATAGTAGAAGTTCTTCAAAATCTTTGAAACAAACACGTGTAATATAGAAAGTAAAAAAATTTATGAATAGTAAAACCTGATCGAAAATGTGAACGGTTAGATTGATCAAACAAACAAAGCCGAGTGAGATGTGAGATTGATAGCTGGTTAAAGACAGTTTGGGGCATTGTGTGATCACGAATCGATATGAACGGTTGAATAATAATGAGTAAATATTTAACGATTTCATATTCATTAATGAAAGTTAAGGTGTTAATAATATGAAACTAATGATTGGTGGATTATTTTGGATTATATCTATCTTCCAAAAAAGACATCTATACATGGTACTGTTATTTCTTATATAGTGTAAAGGTTGGTTTTTAAAATTTTATATGCATTTGATTTTGCAGATGTGTCCACTTCTGGAGTGAGTGATGTGCGGGAAGCTTGGGAGAGTGCAAGGAAGGCTTACACCTCCGAGTTTCTTGAATTGGATCCTTGCATTGTGAGACATTCAGACACTTTTTTATAAGACATACTTTCATATGTTGCCAACTGATAAAAATTCATGATGAAATTATCTCTTGAGGAGTCCTTGTCTGCCTGCGGTGAAGTTATTGCATAACTGTGGTTTCTAAAATCTGTCAAGATTGATTTTACTATGGAAGAGAAATAGGGAACTGAGCAAAGAGGGATGAGTTTTCCTTTATTAAGAGAATAATCATATATATATTTTAGGCACTTCTTTAATCAATCAATGAAAAAGGGATGTGATTTTGATTCAAGGTTTGAGAAGGGAGTCGGACTCCAATGAAAAAGTAATAAATAGAATGGTTTGAAGGATTGATAAGAACATTTGTGGGAAATGATGTGTACAAATATGGTCGTAGAAAAAGAGCTAATAAGATGGATAGGCTTATAGAGTGACAAAGAATGAGATGGTGAGCTTGGGAGTGAGAAAGGGGGAACAGAGATATATTTTGAGGTATAGCAGAGCAGCGAAAAGAATGAAGAGAGAGAGAGAGAGAGAGGAAACTTGAAATTGAAGAAAAAGAGTATTACATAAAATTCCTTTTATTATCCTTTTCTAATTATAATGCTATATGTCATACCAATATCTCCACATCCATCATCTTTTGCTTTGTTTCTATTCTCGTCAGATGTATGTATTTAACCCTATGAAATCATATTGATGTATTTTGATCTTTTAGTGATTTCATTATTTTTGACACAGTGTGTATTCTTCAGGATGATGTAGACTTACATTGGAAGAACAAGGAGAATCAGGCTGACATTGTTTTCTGCATGCAGCATTTGCCGGTAATGGGTCTCTTCGATTCTTATGTTTAGATTTATGCACTTCATGTAATAAATTAAGTACTGACCTTATGTTTTTGTGCTGGCAGTTATGTGTTGAAACTGAGGATAAAGTGAGGAAACTTCTGCACAATATCTCATCTTTGCTGAAACCGGGGGGCTATTTTCTCGGTATAATTCCTGACTCATCCACCATCTGGTACGAAGCAGTGTTTATTAACAAATTATTTTTAACATATATTGATGAGTGTGCTGCATATTGCTTTGAGATTCAAATGCCAACATAATGCACCTGCATGGGTTGATGACTTTGTGCCATTTTTCATTTTATCGTAAATAGTGATTGTCATAATAATAAATAGTACTTTAGTCATCGGCTTGGGCCTGGAACATTCAGCTTTTACATCTATCAACTAGTGAGGTATTTTTAGTTCAACGATATAAAATTTGAAAGAGATATATTAAACATCATATATTTAAATTATTGAATTCTTTTGGTTGGGTTCAGGCAGAATGCTACCTAAAATTTTGGACACCCAATCCAAATTGTTGAACCTAAAAAACTTGAACCAACGCCCACCCTGTAGCATATTTTTACATTTATAAGATAGATGCATGTATGTTTAAGCTCGTGTCCTGTGAATTGTTTGACAAAAGAATATTGATGACTTGTACCGCCAATATGTTCGATATTGTTTTTTGAATCTTTTATAGCCGTTTACACTAAAGTCTGACGTATGATTTGTAGGGCAAAGTACCAGAAAAATGTTGAAGCATACCACAGTAAGGGTGGTGGAATGAAGCCTAACATTTTTCCAAACTGTATTAGATCTGACAGCTATATGATCACTTTTGAAGTCGAGGAAGAGAAGTATGTGAACAGTAAAATGAATTTCTTCTTTTTATGTGATCATGTGACATTTCATTATCTAACATGTAAAAATAATTTGCAAGGTTCCCATTTTTCGGTAAAAAGTACCAGCTGAAATTTGCGGGTGATGCGACTGCTGAAACTCAATACCTCGTCCACTTCCCAAGTTTGATCAGGTTGATGATGGTTTCTCCTATCTTTCCTTGTGATGATTACCCTACATTTATTGTTATTTCCCTTTCATTTTGTGTCTGAAGGTCATTCCATTTAACTGTGGATTTATCTAACTATTTCAACTAAATATCGAGTTGTCTTTTTTCAATATTATGGATATTTGTGTGGATGGTAACACAACATTGTGAATATAATGTGCATCAGCAAGGAGTTAGGAATCACATTTAAGCACATAGAATCGCACTTGATGTGAGTTTTTGTTCATTTAAGAGTTAGTACACTTAAAAGACAGGAGATATGATGATTATTATTACTTTTACTAAATATCTATCATTCTTAAGATTAAACGTATTATTTAGAGAGGTTATGCTGCAGCCAATTCCACACAAATCATACACAACCTATTTATAGAGCGAGAAAACAAACTTAAATTGAATCCTTAAACAAGTATCCTAACACAACCATCCTATGAATCTCACCTAACATAAATACTAAATACTAATACTAATAATATTAGTAAATCTTTTTTTCATTTCATAAAAACTCAGTTGCGAGTTTTTCTCTATTCATGATACTATTCATGATCTAAAGTTGGTGTGTAATACATAACTATTACTAGGCTGATTATCATGTTCTGCAGGTTGGCTAGAGAGGCTGGTCTTGATTACGTGGAGATACAAAACTTGACTGAGTTTTATGATGACAACAGGTGAAAACACTCCAAAAATTTATCATCTTATGTTCATCCTGTTTGTGCTCTGTATTTTGTGGATAAATATAATAGTTCTTTTCAAAAGTTGGATTGTCAATCTTTATAAGCATCTTAGTTTTCTAAGATTTGATTATGAGAGTTCGAAGTTAAGATGATCAAATTTGGAAAAGACCTATCTAGTTGCTTTTGTTATTGTTATTATTATTCTTAGTTAATTGGGAGTAATTTGGATCTCTGATGCATTGAAAAGTACCGGAGATTGTTTAGGCACAAATGCAATTGTACCATTTTACATGGAAATTGATGGGCATATATTTCAGGAAAATTTCTTCGGGGAACATGAAGAATAATCCTAAATTTTATTTTGACTATATTGTTTTTATCAGTCATCATGTCCCTTCGCAAAACATTCCATGGAATTGCTTATGTTTCATGACTGTTTTACAGATCGAACTGTTGAGATTCAACTCTTGAACCTTCTTTACTGTTGAACACATCGCAATTGACGCTCGTTAACACTTGAAGCCGTTTCTGTAGATCATACTTGAAATTGTTTAAATATTAACATCATCTTCTGCCTTTTATTTCGATCCCATTTCTTACATTTTTTAAATCGGGCTATCAAGACCGCAATTGGCAGGCATGCTGATGGATGCTGGACATAATGTCATTGATCAAAGAGGACGGCTTCTTCCGAGATCATATGATGTTTTAGGTGACTCTTCCCTTTTTTTTACCACATCATTTCATCATTATCCGCAACATTCTATTGTTGGAGGGATTGAATATAAATACATATAAAATGACATATGTTTGTTTAAGTTTTGAAGTGTGATGATGTGTTTCTATAACCTATTATCCATTACAGGTCTATACACTACTTTTATCTTTCAAAAGCCGGATCCTGATATTACCCCTCCTCTCATGACACCGATACTGGAAGATACAAGCCACAATCATGATAAGGCAAGTTTTCTAAATTTAATAAGCCATTCATATTGATAACTTGATTTCTTTGGCTGCTTGGTCAAGGTGGTTGGTTGACTCATAGTTATAATGTCACATGGCACACCATAGGTATTTATTTATACATAGTTCATATGCAAATATATTGCACCATCCTCCCATAAGATGTTTGAATCTTGTGAAAATTCACATAGTAGGCTTTTATTTTATTTTTTTTAGTATTAGAATTTGGAAACATAGTATAGTTTGATCCCAAATCATTTTCAATCCATGACATACTTAGCTGAACTGTAAGAAATAAAAAAATAAAAATAGAACAATACACGAGTTACTAGTAGTGTTTAATTTAAAATGAATCAAACAAAACACAAAACATTATAATTTTTAATTGCATAAACCAAAAGAATTATAGATTAAATTAGTTTGATGAAAACAAAAATAAGCTGAGTGGGTGAGGATGGAGAAGCAAAGGGTTGGCGGTAGAAGCCTAAGAAGGAAGCAATGCATAAGGTAGGAGAGAAGGGACAAGACTTATATAAAGTCCTAAAAATATTGTAATTTAAAAACTTACTAATTAAATAATATCTACGTTGTGGCTCAGATGGGCATCTGCCAAGGGTAAAGGCCTGGCGGCGGTTACCGTGCTGACCGGATGTTGCTGATTTGGTCCAATTAGCATATACTTTAAAGGCGGACCGTGCATTTTTTATACTATCTGAGTCCGCCTTTAAGAGTTACATTTACCTTTTGCGTCATTGTACTTAACATTAAAAATATCCTTGTATAATTTTTTTACAAATGTTATTATATTAGTATTATAAGATACTAATAGAAGTATTTGTCTTTTCTCTTAATTCGTAATACGTTTTGATATGATAACTAATATTCAAATATCAACACACAAAAAGTAAATATAAGTAAATGTGGTTCTTAGAGCTGGACGGGAGGAGTAAAACACAACAATATGTTCTATCATATAAAACAATGTGTTGCCCAAGTTATCTATTGTATTGTGCCTCGTAAATATATTAACTGTGTTGGTGCTAGACATGTGTTGTCTGTACTATATACATTTGTTGACTAGGTCAAATCAACACGGTACTGATTTGACTCAATCAACACTATAATTGAAGCCATTTGTCCGGATGTAGGGTGACGATGCTTATTGGTGTGCATTTTCATTTCATTTTTGTTCTCTAAAAGTTACTCGCTCGAGGAGATGAAAGTGCCTGGGAAATGTCTTTGTAGGAGCATAATTCCAGATACCCTAAGCTTTCCGAATTCTTAGGACTAATGCATATGTTTCAGTGAATTATTGATTTATTCCTTGTTCCTGCCTAGAAATTTCTAACAAAACAACCTTAACATCTGCTACAGAGAGACTGGCAACAGGTTCCCTGGAGAGACGAAGACAAGCCCACACCTGCGCCTGTCCCCGTGCCCGCCCCTGTCCCTGTCTCCATCCCTGTGGCAATACCTGAATCAAGTTCAAATCTAAGTAAGATTGCTGAACAGAAGGGCATACTCGGCCCGGGTCCAGCAGAGTTGCGGTTTCCGGAAGCTATCTAAAATTGGCAGAAAAAACTAGCAAAGGTATGCATTCCCATTGTAGACATCCAACATAGAATAATTATTACTACATTGACTAAATTTGAGGTTATGCCTTGCCTGTTTTTGTGTATATAATTAATTGTTTTTGTTGTACCATTAATATATACTGTGATCGATCATTACTAGGACAACTTAATTTACTTTGTATTGACATTTCTAATAGTATTATTAGTTGTCACTTGTTAGTTTTTTTTCCTTTTTTTTTTTTTTTTTTATAACGACATCATTGTTAATTTTTGAATGCATTTTGAGTAAACTTTCGGTTGAATTATGTGTGGCAGACAACCAAATTCGAGACTTTTTTTGCTTTTTGAGGATTATTATTGTTTATTTTAGCCTTTGTTTATATGGACTTTTTAACATTATTTATCAATAATAATTTTTTCAAAATCATTCAATCACATATTATTGTTTCTTATAAAATAGATAATAATTTATTTTTTATTTTTTTTGTCTTTTATACAAACAAATATGTATAAATATACAAAAAAAGTGATTTTTTTACGTAAAAAAAAAAATTAAGAAAATAAGAATTTTTTTTAATGACAATTCAAAAGGAAATAAACGTAGATTTTAATGATGAATTATGTAATATTTGATTATTTTTAAAAAAAATTAAAATTTAAAATATATATAAATTATTGACAATAAAAAAAAAAAACGTTCATCAGTTCATAGTACACTTTAATATAAGTAGCAGTAAATGATTGCGAGATTGTCGAAATGATTGAAGTTCCTTAGCTGCATAAATTGAATTAAATTTTACATACGTCGAAATCAATATATATATACAAATATTTCAAATAACACAATTATGGAAATTTCTATCTGTATAAAACTTCTTCATACACTCCTCTTTCAAACTTCATGCTGTAAACAGACAACATACATACTTATAACGATTTAACAACACATAACTGTCTAACTTAAAATTATCTACAACATTCCCTAAATCTGCCCAAAAACAAAAAAAGCCAAACAAACCATGACATTTTTGTAAGAACCCAAAGATCAAGCAAGAATTACCAATTTGCCCTTGCCGCCACCGCCGCCGCCCTGATTGCCGCTGTTCGTAAAAACTCTACTGCCCAGACGGGCTCGCTACTTCTCTACCCGTTGAATTCTTGACGGCATGTTGGCTGTTTCCGTTGCCTTCCGAGCAAGATCGAGATTCCGTCCGTTCGCCGTCGTGGGGCGTCGAGCAATGGCAAATAAGCGCGTCGGGAGGCTGTGCGTTGCGCTGCGACGACGAGCGGGACGAGGCGAACAACGGTTGGCTGAACCATCTTCTCTTGGGGAGGTTGCGGAGAGAGACCCGACATACGGGACACGTGAAATGCTGGTGTAGCCATATGTCGATGCACCGAGCATGGAACGAGTGTCCGCACGCCGGCAGGATCCGGAGGGTGTCATCGTTGTGGTAGCTTGATAGGCATACCGTACATCTGAAAATTACAAGCAACTTTTCATGTCCGAAATTCGACAAAAATTTCCAAAATGTTCGTAATTTAAAGACAGTCGAACTCACTGAGCATTTTCGTTTGAGGACAGGCATAGCTCTCGATACTTTTTTGTAGGAAAACTAGCTAATGTCTGAGGCTCAAGCCCGCGAAAACCCCTCTCCATCTGCTCCAAATTTCAATATTAAGTAAATAAATCACAGAATAGTCGAAAATTAGTTGCAAGATTCTCAAGAATGGACGATCGGAAAAACCATCAGATTTATTGGTAAAAACAATCAATAATCAAGTGGGATTACAAAATAGTTGAATCTCAGTTTGCAAGATTCGCAAGAAATCACGATCGTAAAAACATATTACAGCCCCTTGTTAACCAGATTTATCAGTAAAAAAAAAATTAATAATCAAGTGGCCGTTACATAATAGTCGAATCTCAGTTTGTAAGATTCTCAAGAACGCTTGATCGTAAAAACGTAAAAACATATTACAACACCTTAACCAGATTTTTCGGCAATACAATCAAATGCAGAATAGTCGGGTCTCAGATGCAAGATTTTCTCAAGAATGAAAGATTGTAAAAGCACATTGCGACCCCTCAACCGGATTTATAATTGCACTCAGTAAAACAATGAATAATCAAGAAGAATAGATATGGAGCAACAACAACATAAATCGTAAACAGCACTGAGAAAATGAAACGGTGTATCAGAAATCATACAATCAATGTTCCTTTTATGATTTGAATCTGCAATTCTATCAAATGTTTCAATAATTTGTAAGAAAAACTCTTCTCTTAATAACTTCGACGAACAAACACGAGTGTGTTCAAAGCTGCAGTGATCCATTCGAAAGGATAAGCCAATCTGCTTACGTGGACAATGATCAAATCCCTATTACCTCTCAAAAACCATCAAATAAAATGATAAACTTACCGTAATTTTTTCAAAAAAAATCAAATCAAATCCCGATAACCTCTCAAAAATCATCAAATCAAATGCTCAACTTACTTTTCCATAAAAAATCACATAAAATCCTGATAATCTCTCAAAAATCATCAAAGATCAACTTCCGGTAATTTTTCCAAAAAAATTCACATCAAATCCCTATTACCTCTCAAAAACCATCAAATCAAATGATCAACTTACTGCAATTTTTTCAAAAAAGATCACATAAAATCCCGATTACCTCTCAAAAACCATCAAATCAAAGGATCAACCTACGGTAATTTTTTCAAAAAAAATCACATCAAATCCCAATTACCTCTAAAAAACCATCAAATCAAATGATCAATTTACGGTCATTTTTTCCAAAAAAATCACATCTCAAATCCCTACTACCTCTAAAAAACCATCAAATCAAAAGATCGGACTTTTTACTATCTCTAAAGTTTTTCGAAATTCCAAAATTTCTATCTAATTGGGAAAGCTTATTGGAAGCATATGTCAATTTCTAGGAACTTCAGTCCATGGTTTATTGGGTCATTCAACATCCTTTTCTCCCCTGTAATGTAATTAGGTATGTGGATCAATCATCTGTTTTTTTTCCTCAAATCTCGAAAAGTATGAGACAGCAATCATTGAAAACTGGTCTATGAGAGTGACAAAAGACACACACAGCCACCAAACTCAAGCTAAGAAGAAATAGCACAAAACATAACGAATTCAAGAGCAGCAAAAAAAAAAAAAAAATTGAAATTTGAAAAGGAAATTTACTGGTGAAGAAAAATCAGCAACAATCGAATTGAGATTTAGTGAAAAAGGCAATGCTTACGGTGGTAAGATCAGAGCCGAATGCTCTGGCGGCGGACGAACGCATGTACATTCGAGCACAAATAAGCCTGACGCAGACGAACGTGATGAACATAATACTCAACGAGAATCCGACGACCGCCATCACCAGATTGATTCCAGAAGAAATCATTTCAACTCACCAAATACGGCGCCAAATCCTCAAGTCGATTATCCTAGGAGCCACTGTATCCAAAAGCCCCAAATATTTTTGATGTTTTTTTTTTCTAGGGTTTGGCGAAGGATGGCTATCCGAGCAGGAAGCAAAAAAACATGTGGCGGGCGGCGATCAGGGTTTGGATTTAGGGAGAAAAGCGAGAATGGAGGCGGAGGTGGGAGAGAAACCACTGAACCATGGTGGAATTGGAATTGAAGGGAGAGAAAAGGACACCATTAGAGAGGAGGATGTGAGAGGGAGGGTTTGGGGTATAAAATAAAGACTGAGTGAGTGAGTCAAGAAAGCGAGAAGTGTGGGTGAATGTGTGTATTTATGTGTTTGTTTATATATGGATTGACTTTTTGAAAAATCAATTAGAAGAAGACGAGAGAGATTGGAAATTGGGGATTAGGGTTTTGGGTGCCGCCATAGCCATAGCCATAGCCATAGCCATGGGTGAAATTCTTTAGTGTAGTTTTTTACAGTCACAGAGACTACTCTCCTCGGAGAGGGTTAGGGTTAATCACTGTAGACTATAAGTCGTATTCGGTCCACGCAAAACACGGCTGTATTTGGTAGGATTTGAAAATAAAATCTTAATATAATATAAATAGATATTTAATTGATAGTATTATTTTATTTATTTTATTTTATTTTAATTTGTGGCTAAGGGGGTGAGGTGTTTATTTTGTTGGTATTTAATTATGTGTTTTTATTATTTTCAAAATTATCATAATCACCGTCTTGCAAAAATGTTCGGTTTGTTTGTCTAAATTATGACATATTTTTCAATTAATTTATATTGAAATAATAAATTTTATTACTTTTCTCCCTGTCATCCGATTGTATATTCATATGACTGGATGAATTTTTTAAAAATAAATAAAAATAAAACAAGAATAAATTTATATGATAATCAAATTTATTCACTTTTTTTTTTATTATTATCATATAATTTTTTTTATCTATAAAATAAAAATTTTATTTTTATCTATTATTCTTAAACTTTATTCAATCAATGAGCATACAATTGCATAAAATTAAGACATATACTCTAAAAACAGATAGTGTGTGCGCTTGTTTGAATATTTAGGATTTGAATGGTAAAAAAATAAATTGTAATAGTTCTGTATATTGTGATATAAATAGACATTGGTGTAATATTTTGAATATAAATTAATTTTTAGTATACTATAAAAAAAATATTTAATTTAATTTTTTGAAAGAAAAATCTCCTAAAAGAACACATAAGTTTCATAGTTGAACTATTTTTTAACTCCACATCATTTTTTATATCTCATAAAAAATAAAAATAAAAAATAAAAAAAGCATTAAACTAAAACACTAACAAACATACTCAAAAAATAAATAAATAAATTGTTGTTGTTGATATGACTGTTTGATTGCAAAATTTACAATTAAACTGAAAATATATCTCACTTGTCTCTCAACAAACCACTTGTGTTTTTTCCATAATCGGAATAGTTCATTTCTTAAAATAATTTTGAATTTGAGATTTATTTAAATATATAAAATAAAAATAAAAATAAAAATGAAAAATGAATATTCGGTTATGTCCTTGCGTGTCTAATTTATTACTACTATTTTTATGGGCAATGATTTCTGAACACGTATGTAACTGTTTTAAGTATTTTAATATAACGAATGCTTATGATAATTATTATGTCACGTTACTGCCTTTTTATTATTAAATACGAATATGTTTATTATAATTCTCTCTCCACTAGTGACAAACTAATTTTAAATAATTTATTATCATTATAAAAAATTAATAATACGGAAAGCTGTTGACTTTGGGTGTGAATCTAAAATATTCTAGGTAACGTTTGATTCGCCGATTTTTTTCTTTATGTGATTGAAATTTCACAGTATAAATTATATATGATAAAATTTATTGAATTTAGAATTAATTAGTAATGGAATGTAATAAATATAAATAAAATTAATAATTATTCGCCTAAGGCCCAGCAATCGAAATTCTTTTGAGCAATAACCCTAAGTAGAAAATAATATTTTAAATTGAATTATTATTTTTTTTTATAAATAATAATATATATTATATTAATGTGTGTATATTTAAATTTTTTTAACAATATTTTAAAAAAATTATTCAATTGAGAAATAACAAGTAAACAGAGCGAATATATTTTTACATCAAAAGATCCTTACACATTTTTATATTAATATTATATATAAAAAAATAATACATATATTTATACCAAATTTTACAAACAAACACACTCTCAAAATCTTACGAGTTAATACATCTAAAGTTTACCTAATACTCCTTCCTCTTGGATGAAAGTACCTATTTGAATTTTTATAATATATTAAAAAATAATACTATTTTGTTAGTTAGTGATTTGTAAAATGATTTTAATATTTTTTCTTTTGTATTTTAAGCATATTTATAATTTATATAAGATAATTTTAACATTACTATATAATTACGTTTACTATAATACAAAATATGTGATTTTGAATAGAATAATAAAAATAATAAAAATACTATTTTGAATTAGAATAAAAAATATAATTTACTTTGTGGGTATTATTTGAAAAATATATATTGAATCCGACCCAAAATTTACCCATTAAAAAAAGCTAGCAATAGCAGAACAATAGTATTATTTTTAGAAATTTTATTTTACACATACTTTTTATTCATAATATTAATTATGAGATTTTGATAGCATATATTTGTTGAATAGAAATTTTAGGAGAATTAACCGTGATAATTACGAGTATAGATTTTAATTGTTTAAATAAACTGTCACAGATGGAATAATCTGACTTTGATTATGAATAAATCCCTATTAAAAAATATATAAATGTATGCTATTTGATAAATCTTAGAAACAATGTATTATTTTGAAATAAATGAAAACTATTTAGCAAAATAAAAATGTATGTAAAATTGTTTAAATTTCACTTGTGATTTTACAATTATACATCATATTTTCTAATGCTTTAAAAATGACATGAGGTTCCATTATGTTTTAAAGAATATTGTATAAAAATTTCAAAAAATTGTACTAAAATTCCCTTATATATATATATTTATTTATTTATTTATTGCACATAATCTTCTACAAAAATAAAAATAAAAATAAATAAATAAATAAAATTGTGTAATACTTTTAAATTTTATTTTTTTAAAAAAATCATGCAATTGATACATACTTTTCAAACTAGTGATAGGTTTATAAGTATTTTTGCCCTATCATATATGATTTTTGTATTGACATCTACTCTTATGAGATATTTTTCTATGATATCTATATTTGGGGTATTTTTATTATTTCTAATTTGGTCAAATAATTGAATCCAAAATTCCAATGTAGCTTTAGTAAGTCAATTAATCATAAAATTTAAAACTGACCATATTTTTTACAATAAAACTATATATATAATCAACCGTATGCATAAAACTAAAACTGAAATAAAAAAATGAAATTCATTTAAAATAATGAATTAATACTTTCATTATTTATTTGGGATTTGATTATTATTTGATTTTGAAGAGTTATTTACCTAATTTTTTAAAAAGACAATGACCTTATATTTTATTATTATTATTTTTTTGTTAAATTATTTTTTTTTTATTTTTTTTAAAAATAATTACATTTTATGTTTATAATTAGATATTGCATTCTTTTAAAGATAATGATTTGTTTAGTTTGATTCTATGTACAATTTTATCAAAAATTTATATAAAATATCATTTAATTTTTATATTTTATCGACTAAACATGCATATTTTATAAGTTTAAAATAATATATTTTTATAAAAAATTAAAAATAATACTATTTTACATTCAATAGATATGTATTAAGTGTTTAAACACTAAAAATATCATTGTAATAAATTATATTTAATGAATAATATGCATTTAAATAAATATTTGGGTAGTAATTGAATATTTGTTACTATTTTAGAGTCTATAGTTAATACTAAGTTCGTTATAAATATATATTCCATTTATCTATGAAAATTATATAATAATAAGTATTTTAACATATGAGTGATATAGATAAGAATAAAGTTAGAGTATTATAAAAAATATTAAAAATTAATAAAAAAAAAACAAAAGATAAGATAAGTAGAAAAATTATTATAATTTGATTAAATGTGTTAAAACAAAAATAACATAATTCAATTAGTTGATGAATTTTTAAATTTAAGATATGTGTGGATGTTTATATTAATAATATATTCTCTCCTTCCCAATACAATATTTCTGTTTACTATTTTTGTTCGTCCCAAAACAATAGTCTTATTTCCATAAATAATCATATTACAATAAAACTACATTTACTTTTTCATTATTATTACACAATTGTCACTACTTTTTACACTAATACACAAAAAAGTCTTTTACCGTACTTTTTATCCACTGTACATGCCAAACACAATCCAAACTATATTTTTGGGACAAAACAATATAAGTTTTGCAGACAGGATATTATTATTGGATTGAATTTGATTTAATGATCAAAATTGGACCTTTTGACACTTTTGTGGATATGCTTATTTGCATTATACTTTTTGTTTGATTTTGAAATTTTATAATTGGAAAAAAAAATTATCAGATATTTTAACTGGAGTATAAATATTACTTTTTTAATTTACTAATAAATTTTTTATTAGTCAATTTAATATATTCAAATTAAAATTTGTACTTTTTTTTTTATAAAAGATATATTTTAATTAAATATAAAAATATTCACAATTTTTACTTTTTTTTTCACATTACCGAGCAGACGAAAAGAATATTTTTAATTTATTTTTTCAGAAAAATACACCAAAATAGACGGTAGATCATTAATGTGAAAATAGAAATATTGAAATAATTGTCATCAAAACGACATCGTCCAGTAGTGGAAACGACGACGTATTAGATTTCAGTCAAGGCTGCTTTGTGTATATATATATATATAATATAATATGTGTATATATATATATATATATATGAGTTACATGTATAAATCGAAGTACCCAAAAACGAAAGGAAAACTGCCGGTGAGTCCTAGGCACTAGGCAGAGTGAAAATCATCGCCACTTCGTGGAGCATGAGCATCTGTTTACTTTTTATTCATCCAGAATTTCGATTGCAGGAAGTAAATGAACAGATTCAGCATAGGAGAGTGGTAATTCGGGAGGCAAGAGGATGAATTGGCAGGCCAGGCCCCTACTTGGTGCTGTTGAGTAGGCCGCGTGTTTGCTAAGGTAAGAAAAGGTTTTACTTTCGAAATTATGATTATGATCATTAATATAATTTTTTTTCTCACGGATTTGATGATGCTAGACAGTTGTTGGTATTTCCGTCAATTGACTCGGGTCTTTTTAAGTTTTTTGTACTCTTGATTACTGTTTGGAGGTTTTGGAGCTGGAAAATGTCAAGTTCCTTGAATGAGGATCACGGTTCCAGGTACTAGATTTAGTCATGTGGAGATTTTGTTATGTGTGTTTTATCCTTTTTCGTTTAGGTCATGGTGATTTTGGTACTTTTTCTGTGATTTTTAGGAATACCTTGTTTGGAAATTTGAAAGATCTGATTTTTGTATTAATCAATTTTGTGGTCTGATATTTATGTAAAGAAAATTTCAATTTATGTTAATTCGAGTGTAATTGAAGTCTATGTTGATGGATGGATGGGAACTTTGAAGTCGCTTTGGTTCAAATTGATAATTGAGGTGTTGTTGCTTCAATGTGAGTGTGGAATGAAGCTTAATTTTACTTCCTGTCTTGTCCCCAAAAATTTGCTAATGGATATTACTTGCATATACTAATTGTACAGTGAAAATTGATTGCCATGTTTAGTCATATTAAGAAGTACTTTATCTAATGAGTTGCTTTTCCAGTGTTCTTGAATCTTTAGTTTGTTGGAAAAAAAACATAGTGTAGAAAACAAGTGGCATATGAAGACTTATGGAGGTTTGCCTGTTTAAAACTATTGGAATACATAATGTTGTCAATGTTTAATAATTACTTTTCTAGTGTTTTTGAAACTTTAAACACAAGCAACAAAAGAAAACTTTATGTGACCTCCTGTATGATTGAAATAAAATTCTTTGCACTGGCTATTTACCCCCCCCCCCCCCCCCCCCCCCCCCAACTTATATTGTCTGATGATTTATGGATGGTGGTGTTAAAAAATGTATAATGCATGAATAGTTCAAAGAAGTCATATTTTTATTAACACACTCATGGTTATGTTGATGAGGATGTTTGCGATGAAAAAATTTATGTTGAATGTATTATGGTGGTTTCATGTTAAAATTGTTAGGAACAAACATCGAAATTAATTTATTATACATTTAGTCTGTCGAACAAGGTAGCAGTTATTTTTTTCCCACATTATTTCTGTTTCATTGTTGCTTTTGATATTGGATTCATCATTTAATTTGCACTATTCTGCCTTTATTTTTTGGATTCAGGAGAGTTGTATATGGATATGGATAAACAAGCTATGAGAGTCTTTCCTATTAACTATTATATGAAATATTCGTATAACCTATATTCAATTCAGGAGAGAATGGATAGGGATAAGAAGGCTATGAAATCACCTTTCCTATTAACTATTATATGAAGTATAAGCCAAATTCTTATAATCTCAGACCTTTACCAACTAGTCTAATTAATGGTGATGATTATAGACAATCAGCACATGATCCGGACATAGTATATTATTGAAGAACATGAATCATAATATATTGTTTATAGAGGAACATTTACGACAGAAAAACTTCCAGAAAGTTCCAAGTATAAATACAATGCGAATCAAAATTTCTATATTTAGCAAATTCATATACCGAATATGAAGTACAATAAATACAACAATATAGTACAGTAAAAGATACACTACAAAGTAGAAAAAAGCTATTCCCCGTATGTGCGTATGCCAACATACATTTGTTTAAAACCACCAAGTATTTCTTCTTTTCCCTTTTTTATTTTATAAAAAAAATTTGCAAGTGTACAATACACAAGCATCTACTTTCATGTTTTGTAGTTTTTCTGTGATGCTTTGGAGTTGTGTTTCTCAGTTTCTTCTCTATTGCACCGAATCAACTCTCATACTCTTCTCTTAAGCTCCCTTTCTGTCACAGTTTGATTTTTTTATGATTGTGCATGTGGAACTCACCAATTTGCCTTGAGTTGAGACAATTTCAATTGTAAGTTAAGAATCAGAGATGTGCTCTAGTCACCCTATTATGAATTTGTCACCCCAATAAACCTTGACCTCCTGCATTCATGACGTTAGTCTTCTACCTGAAGCAAAAGTTTCCATTCCTGTATTTAACTAGCATAATAACTTTAAGCTAGAACTGATTATTTTCTTTGGAATAGGATATTCTAAGGATGTGGTTTCAGTTTACTGCTTGTACTTCGTTATTGGTACCTTGCCAGGAGCTTCGTACTTTATTTGGCCTGAGTAAAGAATTGATGTCTACTTTTTTAAATAACCATTTATTTACATTTCTTGGGTTGGATGTTTGATCATATTATTTAGTAGCTCTGATCCTTTGAGGCGATGTTATGTCAGGAATACTACAATGGAAGAGAGTGCGATGACAATTGAATTTCTCCGTGCAAGGTTGTTATCTGAACGATCTGTCTCAAAATCAGCAAGGCAAAGAGCGGATGAGCTGGCTAAGAGGGTGAGTTTTCCCCAAGAGGGTTCAATCTCCTGTGTTTTGTATTGACCTTTGAATACTGATTTACATTGGTTTTAATGCTCTGTGATTTGAAGCCATTATATGTAAATGTGAAAATTTGTCACTTGTAGGCATTTCTTATTTTCATGGGGTAATTTGAGTTTAGGCACACCTTTGAAGAATTATAGGCTTGCCAAAGAAAAAATCTCATGATTTAAAATATCCACAGAATGTTATCTTCTGTTGCTTGGTTGCCTCACTGATCATTTGGTTTTGTATAAACTGAATCTTATAATTGCAACAGGTAGCGGAACTAGAATTGGAGCTGCAGTTCGTATCTGTTCAGAGAAAGAAAGCTGAGAAGGCAACAGCAGATGTGCTTGCAATTTTGGAAAATCGTGGAATAAGTGATGTTTCAGAGGAGTATGATTCAGATTCTGAAAAGGACGAAAATTCGCACAACTTTAATCCCAGCAACGGGTCATTGTCGATGAAAGAAACTTCTGACAATGTGAAACCTAGAAGTAATGAAGGAGAGGCATATTCCAGTTCTGAAATTGAGTCCTCTCCATCCACTGGTAGAAGCTTGGCCTGGAAGAGTACTAAAGACTCACAACATACTCTCGAAAAGAAAAAATACATGGAATCGGTTAGACGAAGAGCTAGTTTTTCATCCATTACTTCGACAAGAAGAGTTGGTAAATCATGTCGGAGAATAAGGCGCAGGGAGACCAGGTGAATTTTCTTGCCTTACAGTATTGATGCGGTAAATCTGCATTTGCATATTTGTTTCCACAATAATTTTCTACTCTTTTAGTCCTATGACATATCAAATTCATTAAACTGGGAAACTACTGTGAACTTTTAACAATCATATCATGAACGGACATAGAGATGAATACATTTTGTGGGGTTGAAAGTGTAATTTCACGTTTTGGGTACTCTGCGAACTGGTTGTGCGACAAATGAGTCTCCCAATAATGGCCTGTCTAATAGCAATGCTAATGTTATCTCAGTGGCTCTAATAACATAGTTACTTTTATTAACACTGCTGATGTTATTCATGGAAACTTACCTTGACAATAGTAATTCACTTTTGACGGGAACTGAGTTGATGAATAGTGGCAAGAGTTAAAGGGATCTATTGCCTTTTGTCTCTTGGTTTTTCCATCTTTGTTATTTTCAGTGGCTTCACAAAATAGTTATTAATATATTTTGGTGCTAGATCAATGGAGGAGATACAGAATGATGGTGATGGTGAAACTGTTGCCTCGAGAGAAGGTTCTGGATATGATAATGAAAAAGACCATCTGGATAGTGGAACAAAGGGGTTGCATAGTGAATCTCAAAAGATTAATGGGCATTACTATAGTGCGCATGAGAGGGATGAAGACATGGAAAGTGCATTGCAGCGTCAAGCACGACTAATCGATCAGTATGAAGAGGAAGAGAAGGCACAGAGAGAATGGGAGGAGAAATTCAGAGAAAACAACAATTGCACACAGGTACACTATTTTCTGTTCTCCATCTTAAAAGTGGACCTGAATATTAACCTTATGGTACGGGTGAAATTAATGAATTGTACGCGTAAAGAGCTATTTTATTTAGGAATGAAATAAGGTTATAAATTACATGTCATTACAAATATTTATCATTTAGCACTAATATTTGTGATTAATTCAACAATATATAACTCTGTTGATTAGTACATAAACTCCCAGAGTGAAAGTCGGAATATCAACTGAACCTATGGGAATGGCGTCTCCTTTGGGGATGTGGCTTTTAAAGTTCATATCATCCATGGATTTAGGAGCAGATTTATTTTATTTTTTATTTTTTAAAATTGGATTGAACACCGCTATAGTAGATTCCCAAGTTTGGAGTTCTAATAGAATCCCTTAGATTAGTGTTAGTATGACTGCAGTCTTAAATTCGGAGATTAAGTTGGGAATCACTATTCCTTATAACATTTTTGTAATAAGTGATGTCCATTTCAAAAATATATTTGTTGTCTTTCAAAATGTGATTATGAAATAATGCAATTCCATAAATTTTGTACTGCTCTAACAATGATAAGGGTTTTCCAGGAGTCGTATGATCCGGGGAACCATTCAGATGTGACTGAAGAACGGTATGAAATGGAGGCACCCATCGTGTCACGCGCTGCTGAAACACTGAGTTTGGTTAAACAAGAAACAAATCACGAATCAGCAGATGCTCGTTTCATTGAAGGACCCCAAATGCCCATGAATTCCTTGATTTCTGTCGATACTGATTCTGGAAACCTGAAGGAAGAGAAGAGCAATGGCCTCATCGAATCTTCAGCATCGGAATTTTCATTTCCAACAACAAAGGACAAACAACAGCCCGAGGCATCTGAGCTCAGACTTCAACACCATCTCCCTGCATCTATCATGGCAATGCATCCTTCAGGAGACTTATCTTCTCAGTTTCATAAAGCTATCCCGGGTATTTCTTCATCTCTCGATCTTGCAGTTATACCTAAAGACACTTCAAATAATTTATCATCTGTCCTAGAGGCACTTCATCTAGCCAAACAGTCGTTGAATGAGAAAATCCACGGTGTAGCTCCAATGCCCGCCGAATCTTCTAGAAAAACACTACCTGTAGACACCTTTAAAGTTCCGATTTTTCCTCCCGGTCTTTTCAGATTGCCGAGTGATGCTCATCCTGGATCAAGTCATGCTAATTTTCTCCCTGAAATTGCTCCCAGTAGATACCTTTCCGAACCTTTAGGTGGGTCGAGAATCCCTTTTTCTAGTGGCAGTCTATTTCACACTGCCCCCAATAGATCCTCAACGACGGAAATCAGTACAGGATCTCCACCGCAGAGGTCTTTGAGCCAGCCTCGACTAGGTGAAGGCGCTTCTTCACCTTTTGGCAGACTGAACCATCTCGATCCTCACATGGCCGCAGCTCATCCTGCAGTTGCAGATACTTATCTTTATCATCGCCCGGACATCACTTATGGTTTAATCTCCAATGAAGGAGGGCCGAAGTCTTTTCCTAGTTCGGAAGCCGGGTTGCCTCCCATTTCGCCCGTGTCCTCATACATCGATCAGTTCAGGCCAAATATGAATTTCAGGTAGACGGGCTACTGCAGGTATCGTTTATATATGCACATACATATATATATATATATATATTCTTGATTATCTAGAGATATGTTCAGGAGGAATGGGATAGTTGGAGGCAACATGTTGTGTTTGTGAGATATGGTTGTTGCTGTGCTTTGTCTTCCTTTCTTCTTCTTCTTGTTCTGCGGTATATGTTTGTTGATTAGAGAGAGAGAGAGAGGGAGAAGAGAGAGAGAGATTGTGTGATATTTATTTGGGCATAAAGAACTTGTGGTTGTATTGTATGATATTGATATGCTGCAAGTGTGAATCCTTTTCTTGGTTGAAAGAAAGGGATGCTAGTATGTGACTGACCTATATGGACACTCTATTTCGTCTTTTTACTTTTATTTATGACACCAGAATTCGCAACTCTTATTCTTTGAGATAAATATTGATCGAATTTAATAGCTTGTATATTAAGCTCGGCAAAACAAATTATACTAAGCAAATTATGTGTGACTGACAAAATTTGAAGATATCAAGGGTTTGAACATTCACCCTACACTACCAGAGTATTGCTTATGGGACACACTCTATTATGTTGTGGTGATTGAGACAAAAAGTGATTTAGGGAACAGATAAAATGTTAGCAGCCCAGCTTTGTCTGTTCATTGTAGTTCGATCGCCCTATACTGCTAAAACCTTGTAACGAGACGAGACACTATTAATTCATTACATCCATCACATTTTTACATATGCACATGTTTCTTTGTAATGAATTTGCCATCGAGAATTCTGTCTCATCGAGAATTCTTTCTCCACCTGATGCTTAGTTTACGCCTTAATGTGCGATAAATTAGTATTTATGATAGAATTGAACAGCAATAAAGGAGTGCGATAAATTAGTATTTATGATAGAATTGAACAGCAATAAAGGAATACTCGAACCAAGGTAATCGGCATTGTGTGCGAGATAAGTTAGTATTTATGATAGAATTAGATGAATTTAGTAGAAGAAAATGAGATTCTTCTTCCTACAAAATTTTAACACTATTTTTTGCATATTTTAATTTTCACACTTCATAGACAATGAAATTTAGATAAAATTTAAGCTATTGTATATGTAAATAAAAAAGAAGATATGAAAGTACAAATGTCCAGTATCTGACAATTCGAAATAATTCTCGTCCATACAATGTCTGTTCTTCAAGTCGAACATTTTATGCCATCATGTTTCGAAAGAATTCAAAACTAACATTAAATCAACAAATGCCGTTCAAATGGATAAAAGCTTTCATAACAGCATCTCGGTTGGATACAATAAGCTTGAAACAAGACTAGAGTATAAATATGCACCCGAAGTAAGAAGAAAACTTGCCGATGCTCTGAGACACATTCTAAGCAATAAAGATTGTGTGGAAAAGTTGGAAGACTACCGGTGGATGGATAGCAAGCCGCTAAGTTTGAATTATGACCTCTTAAATATTCATTCCCGGCTTCTATACATCCATATATGTATGGGTATGTATTACATGGGACACGTACAATTAAGGGCTTCAAATGCTGTAACACTTACCCGATATTTGTATGAGAGAGAAGCTCTTTGTACTCGGCCAATAGATTTGGGATGTCGTTCAATCGCAACTGAAAGTTTAATACAAAATTGCTGGAATTAGAATGCACCAAAACAAAGAGATGCAAGCAAAGATATCTAGAGAGCTAAGGTTGTGTTTAGTTGTTTTTTTCATTCTCGCACTACTAAATCGACAATATGTTAAAATTTAATGTCTATCCTCAAAAATTTCAAAATCATTAAGCAAGCGCAAAAAATTATTCGATAAATTGGTTCTGGCTAAGAGAAGAGTTGCCTAACCAAAGAAAACTCCATATCAATCACTATTGAGGATATATTTGCCTAGAGAACCCGTACTTCCACAGAGAAATTTAACAGATTTTATGTCGCGTACTAATTAATTAGTCTACTCAAGTGCAAGAAAATTCTTATTCTTATTCTCTCTCTCTCTTTTTTTTTTTTTTTTTTTTTTTTTTTTTTCATAAATTGTGTGGGGAACCTTTTTACACACATTAGTGAGTGAGAATTCAAACATGAGAGTTACTGCTGTGAATGTTAAGTATGAATGATAACCACACCATGTACAAGTTTAAATTGATCCGAAGATGTGCTAATTTCTATTTATCTATAGATAAATGTATGGAGTAGAACTAAAACTCGAATAAATTTACTCGAACTAGGAACCATTCTTAAATCCAAAATGCATTAAGGGGCATGCTCACTGTATGAACTTAAGACATGATTATTTTTTAATCCCACAAAACAATCCTTTTTCTTCCCTATTCACAAGTTTTGAAAATTGTTTCCAACTTTGTTAGATATCAAATAAGAGGGTATATTATATATATGAAAATCATTCTAATTCTCCAACTTTTAACTGTTATATCAAAAGCACTTCTAAGAACCACTTATTTGATTCACTCATATAAGAAATGTAATATATATATATAATCAATCTTAATTATGAGAATAAAAGTCCTAAGGAAAATGAAAAATTAAATGAAAGAACCATGACAAATTCAGTGAGGATTAATGTATCACATACCTGAGAAGCACTTTTGACATGATAGTAGCGGAAGGAAAATTTTCCAGGAAAACCAGATTCCGCAAGCTCTAAATTAGATCCAATTTTTCCTCTGTTCAAGAACAAAACAGGCCGCAATACATTAGTATATCGAATTATCCCAATGCACAGCATAGATGCACAGAGGTTTTGAATGACTATTTTATGACCTGAAAACAACTAAATACCAAAGTAAGAACATACTTTATGGTTGCTATAGAAATTCCAATACAGAATAGGGAGTTACCATTTGTTGATATCACGCTAATGTCCTTCTACTACATATATATATATATATATATATACATACATATAACAACCAAGCTGTTATCATTTGTACAGAGGGAATTCTTTTCATAAATTTTGCACATCAAATACTTTTTCATAAATGAGTAACAATGGAAATTTGGACCAAGCCTCAAAGTTAAAGTTGATATGGAGATACATAATTTTATACTTAATCTATTTTAGTTCCTCCAACAGGTCTTTATCCATGTTAGGAAGTCACTTTACAATATGTTAAGCAATGATTAGATTGACAATAAATGCAACGTATCAATGAAATGGCCAGAAAATCTACACTATGGAAAGAAAAACAGAGAAGCAAATATAAATAAATAAATAACAAGTAATTAGAATAAAAGACTTCAATCTCACATATGATGATGGGTGATCAAACGTTGGTAGTCACGAACTAATGGGCTAAGCTCCTTCAGTGTTATAGATTGAGAAGAGGAGTTCTTCCAGTGGTCTCGAAGGGCCTCTACAGCCTAACCAACACAAAAATCATGAAAGACAAGCTTTGGTCATTTTGAAATCTATGGAAATAATTAACTATGACAAAACCTGCATCTTGGTTACAGAATTTTCTCCACCAACTCTTGATGCCAGCTGGAGAAGTTCCTTGTCATCCATTTCATCCACAATTCGCTCAGGATTGGAACGTAGAGTTGAAATTTGTAATCGTTTTTGTAACTCTGAAATTGCAAATCTTTCACTTTGGCCATCCTGAAGAAAGAATAGAAAATACATTGAAGAGCTATTTTTAGAGAAGATATTTTATGATATTTGTTGTTAGTCTTAATACTTACAGTAAATTTAATATTTGATTTTATTTCCTAGTATCATAATTATCTCCAGTAAATGTGGGTATTTTTGGACCAGTTTAAATGGAAAAAAATATATATTCAGAGTACATTTCACAAAATCAGATAAAGAGGAGTGGTCAGTTTTAAAGACAATAAAGCTTAATACTTTCATTGCGGACAAAACAATTCCACATCCATAATTACCTTCCTTTCCCTGTCTGCAGTAGCATTTGCATGTGGCCCAACTTCAGGTGATGGTGCTGCTGATCTCTTTGCAATAGGATCATCTGAGTCAATCACAATCATGGGATGAACATCAAGTCCAAAATAATGAAATCCAAGTTCAAGAATTTGCTCTGAGCAAATGAATTTCAATCCTATAGAGTATAAGCCAAATATAATAAACAATGTAATTTATTATTATAATTACGACATACCAATATTTTTAGGTATTTTTTCCACACCAAAAATACTGAAATCTATTATATATCATAGTGAAATTTTCAGTATTTAGAAATATATACCAATATTGTATAAAAAATTTTGGTATAAACAAAAATATATATATATATATATATATAAACAACTTCCATATATGTGATTAATTTATTTTACATAGGGGAATCAACCAACATATTTATGTTTCCCCAAACACATTAGCCCTCTTTTTCTTAAAAGTATGATTGTTATTTGCGAGCATTTCAATTACTACTGTTGATCCTATACTTAACTTCCAAATCTTATTACTAGAAGTAAATATAAACTGGCAAACCAAAATTTCTCAAGATAATTTCTGTAGGTAGCATGGTCATCAATGCAGATTAAAGGGGCACTCGGTAATACATACCTTCAGGGACAAGCCACCAGAGATCACCAAAAGTTGATTTTCCATCGAAGCCACCAAACAACAGATACCGAGAACCAATAGAGTTCATGGAGTGGTATGCTCGAGCCGCAGGTGGATCATTGCTTGTGGGTAATCGTTTCCACTGTACAGATACTGCAGCAGTGAAGAGCATACAACGGTAAAAAATCATAACCAAAAAAAAGATTAGGGGGAAATAAAAAAGAAAAAAGGATTCAGAGACTGATAGATGATCAATCACAGCATCACACTTTGTATCACAACACTTGGGAATATTAGAGCCGCACTAACTTATGTTGATTGCATATCCGACTCAGACGAAACCTAAATGTAGTACTTCAGCTAATCAAAACTTGTATCATAATGAAAAAATTTTCAGGAAAAGGAAACTGCTTACATCATAATCATCTTTCTACTACTATCAGCAGACTACTTTTCTTTTTAATCAAAAGCTTGTTTGTGCACTAGAATGTGTTTTGACAGAACATTCGTGCATGCCCTTACTCAACATACTTTATGCTTGAATAAATAACCGTCTTTACACAGCTAGCCATCTGGATTGAATTTAATGAACTACACCAAATGGCATCACAATCTATTTATTGATCTCCATAAGTTAAAACCTCCAAGCACTTAAAACAATGCTCTAGAGCAATCGCTGAAAGCTTTGATGATGAAAAGAAAATTTCGACATCTTATGATTGAAACTCTCCTCTTATTTTATGTCTAATATAAACTTGCTACTTCAACCGATAAAGTAGCTTAATTGGTAAGACAGCATACCATGAAGGAAATACTAAGAACTAGATCTAATAAGAGAAAAAAAGAACCATGATTCACATATCATATATCCATTGTACTAACATCATAAATAGAATATAAAGTCTATTGAGGGCAAGAGAATATACACACCCCGGTCCAAAACAATACAATCATTGTAATAAATGTCATAACGGCTCAACCAACCACCAGTGCCATGCCCTCCAAATAATAAAAGCTGAAAATATGAAATACATTTATGCATCAGCTAGCATAAGAGAACAAATAAATAGTAACTGAACTTCTTTTTTTTCCCATTGAAAGAACACATGTCACAGAACATGAAGCAATTCATTCTGAAACAATCAGATAAGGTCACTTGTAGACTGTGTAGGATCAATGAAACTTTTCAAATGTGATATCTTGTGAGCATTATAAGACCATAGCCCTGTGAATGAATACAATAATACAACATAAGTGAACATATCCCCCCCCCCCCCCCCCCCCCCCCACACACTTGTTCTAACGGAATAAAAATTAAAGCGAAGTGAATGGATAAGAAGTCAAATAAAATGATCTATTGAGTAGATTTGTATAGCCTACCAATAGAGGTTTATGAATAAAGCACACATGAGTGGTGTTACTTGATAAAAAATAATAGCACTTTTGAAAAATTAAAGAATGTGGATAATTACATAGGGCCCTTCAGAAGCCATTGTGTGTCCACAACGAGGTGAAGGAGCTTGCCCAGGAAGCTTTAACTGGGTCCATCCAGGGGGCTCATTCTCTTCCTTCCACAATAAAAACATGTTAATTATAGAATAGATTAAGCATGCAATGAGTTCTAAAAATGTCAAGATACTTACAATAAGCAGATCTTAATATAGAAAGAAATTACCAGAATCAATTGTTTGGAAGGAAAACAACTCAGAGGATGATGAAGAGACTGAAGGTAGAATGCTCAGGAAACTGAAAACAGATGTATGGCTAATCGAAAACAACTAACGACCATAAAAAAGGCAAAGTAAACATCTCAAGCTTGAGGTGTTCCAAAGGTGTTATGTTTTTTTAGAACATCATTCTTCTGCACCTATCTTGAATTAGGAATCAATTACCAATTGTTATACCTCATATCATTGTAAAATGTCACATACTACACAAATGTAATCAAGGTTATTGTGGAATCAAACACCAACGAACAATTCTTTAATGGTGAAAGATGACTAATTCCTTTTCTTTTCGTCGTGATCTTTTCCTCTTGTAGTGTACAATATTCTTTTAAATTTAGTAGTTGAGGTGTATTGTTGGCTAAATAAATGTTAGGCAGCAGATCTATGCAAGTAGAATAGTTGAATCGAGTCTTTACAATTTGCTCATATGCAGGAATCACTCATATCATTACTAGGAACATGTTATAAATTATTTTTAATCGACACATATTTTTGTACCATTTGAGTGCTATCAGGTGTTGTATTTCCAAATTTGTGCACCACAGTCAATTTTCCCGATTTCTTGCATCAAACTTAACTCACTCGAGTCCGTGACAGCAAAGGGGCTAAGAAAGTATGTTGAGGAACTTGTTGCCTATATTGCTTATAGTGAGGTCTCATTCAATATTATGCTCAAAACTTTTGTTGGATCGAGGATTAAAGTAAATAAGGAAGGCATACCTTCTTCAATAAGTCCTTTTAAAGCCCATAGATCACCCATGATTGGCCCTCCACCACCTAGAGAGAGAGAGAGATGAAAAATTACTAGGAAAAAAAAAATTCAACTTAAACAACCGAAATATTGAAAAACAAATTAACAAGTAGCTAAAATGCCAGACAGAAGATTGGAACATGAGAAACAGTATATCCCTGGTGCAGATTTCTTAGTGTCAGCATATAATGTGAAATAAAGTTATATAAGAACTCTAACCTTCAAAATTTTAAAATTTAGAGGATTTTTGCAATTGCACAACCCACTGTTTCCTATAATCAGAAGAATTAAATAGGAACAAGTATTTCTCATTTCTCCATTTTGGTGAACAATATTTAAATTACCTCTACCGCCATAGATGAGCAACCTCTTCTCAATCATTGTGACAGAATGGCCACATCTGGGTGGAGGTATTGTCCCTGTAACTGACAACTCTGTCCACTCGAGTGAAACTGCTCAAGAAAATGAATTAAATATCAAGGTCCTGGCTTCACTGCAATAATTGATAAAGTAACTAAATTTAACCCGCATGAAACACTAAAAGTACTTGTGTCTAGGATGTAGACATCAGACAGCCACTTTTTGCCATCCCAACCACCATACCTGCATTAAATTCAGACACTCATATACAATACATAAAACAATCTTAATAACCACCTTATTTCAAAGTTTAAACTAATTAGGAGATGTATCATTGCATATTTATTCATCTTTGATTCCTGCAGCACACCTCAGGTGCAGCCAGAGTGATTTTCATAAAGCTGTGTAGGCGAACTACTTTTTCACAAATAGGTGATTGTGGGAATTCAAAATATAGAATCTCTCATTCCAGTACCATGTTGTTCCAAAATGACATGATTTCCTAATAGTTCAAGCTGAGATAGAGATGTATATTCTATGCTTATTTATATTATCCTCTAACTAGCTGAAGATGACAGAAAATATACAAAACTCACATAACAATTTTACGGTTTCCAACAGCTGAAGCAGCTGCAAAATCCCTTGATGATGGCAAGTCTCCGAAACTGGTGAGTTCAGACCATTGCCATATATCTGTGGTAATATGAAATGAGGAAGCAATATAGAAATTTCTTTGTTTGGTAACAAGAGAAATTAATCACCAAATACTCAATGTAAAATCGAAAAGCTTACCGGTATCTAGAACCCAGAAATCACCTAACCTGTAAATTAAATTTTCTCTGTAAACATCCAGTTCATGAATTATGTTACATGAAGATATGAAAATAAGTCATGAAAGGATACCTATTACCACCAGATCTTCCACCAAAGATGAACATGTGACAATCAATAGCAACGGCAATATGAAATGCACGTGCGCTTGGACCCACATTACCATCTGAACCATAGCCTGTGCACTCTGGTTTAAACCACATATTGTTGTCTGTAGCATTACAAATTCATAATCCATCAGAATATGAGTTTTATCAATTAAATCAACTCAAGATGCATAAAGAAATGAAATTAGAAGTCGTTAAAAAAGATTTTTATATATCATACCCAATCGGATTATCTTTAACACCCTAAACTAAAGTTAGTAAATAAATCTTGCATCTTTTGTCATCAACCAGTTATATATATCATTGTTCAAAAGGTAAAAAGCATAAAAAGAAGAAAGCCATTCTGAAAATCAGGTTTATCCAGAAACCAGCACCAGTCACTTGCCGAACAAGATTGCCCAAGTTATGGGAAGCTCTGTCAGCAGTTTCTGCAGATGCCAGCTATTAGCAAGCACCTTCCGCATAACAACAATTTTAGCAAATTAAGGTTGAAAATTGATAAGTTTCCCTACACAAAAACCTACACTACAATGCTAACCTCTGTCCTTATTGGTAGGAGTTAGGATAAGCATTCACTAGTTGAATTCCCTGCTTGCTATAGTTTAGCCAATCGTTACTACTAGCTCCACATGGCTATATACATTCTATTGACCTAATAACCAAACAAGGATATGAGTTTTGGGAGAAAATTCCTGCTTTCTTGGCTACTAACCACTTGATGGTTCTTTAGTCGGCCTCAAATGAAATGATCTCAAGTAAAATACAACAGTTGATTAGAATTATCAAAAACATCTGTTAGACTATTATCCAGAATCAATAATCCTTAGCCCCTCTTTTCTAGCCACCAAGATTAGGATCCAAAAATGTAAAATTTTCACCCAAACACAAAGTAGAACAGCATACTAAAAGCAATTCTGCATTTCAAAATGTTCACTAGTCAATCACTACTCCTTTATGATAAACATCAACACAAACTCCAGCCTCCAATATGTTAAAGTAAAATAAAATAAAATAAAATCGCAAAATGCATAGATACCTAATACCAGGAAAACAATTGAACAGCTTAGCAATCCTGATAAAGATTAGTATCTTCCAAAAGACATAAGTTACCTATGTCATAAACATTGACGTCATTGAGAAACTTCTTATCCTCCAGACCACCGAAAAACACAATCTTCGATTTCCCAATATTCACAGCTGTGTGCCCACTGTAATGTCAGCCGGATAAAAAACTAATAATGATAGTGATCCGAGTTCATCATACCAAAGGATTCAATTTTAAATTAATGGAAAGAAAAAAGGAAAAGAAAATAATTGACCTTCGAGGCTGCGGGACTTTCCCGGTGAAATCTGAGGCGGAAGCTTGAACCCAGCAGTGGGTCTTCATTCTCTCTTTCTCTCTCATTGCGGTATTCTACAAAACTGAAATTTCATTCCAGAACTATATGATGGAATTCGGTTTACTCGGTTACTGTAAATTTTCCTGTCGAGCAGCTTTATACAGTGAAAGGAAAAGCCGTAACACAGGGGTAAGTTAGACCTTTCACTCTCCAAACCCTTCTCAATTGAGTTCATGTGTGTGTTCAGTGTTCTTCCGATACTAAATAATAATAAAAAAATATAAAATATTTTATATAAAAATTAAAAAAAAAAAGTTAAAATGCTCATATTAAAAAATTAAAAAAAAAAAAATTATTTAAAATAATATATTTTACATTTTTATACAATTTTTTTTACTACCTACAAAATCTTATTTAATAATTAAAAAATAATAATATTTTAATATAAAAATAAAATAAAAGATACTATAGAAAATTATTAAAAATTGATAAAAAAAAATAATGTAATAATAAATAATGTTAAATTAATTATTGTTTACTAAAATAAAAATTATAAATTAAAAAATTAAAAAATAAATTAAAAAAGTAATAAATAAATAAAAATGTTTAATAAACATATAAGTTTAAGTGCCGGCATAAAAAAAACATTTAAAATTATTATGAGCAATAAACAAGCACTCAAAGTTTTTTTTTTTTGTTTTTTAAATCTAATTAAAAAAAAAAACATGTTAAATGAGGATTAAATGGACAAAAACGTCTTTTAATAATTTGGTTTGTTCACTAACAATTATTTAGTGATACTATAGTCATAACTATTAGTAAAAAAATATTATACTCCCTCTATCCATTTTTCTCATTTTTTATTTTTCATTTTTTATCATTTTTTTTTTTCGGTTCAAAATAAATTACTATTTCCTAATTTAGTAACAGTACTACCTATATAACATAATAAATACCCTTCCAACTTACAATATATTACACAAATATCAATACTTTTATATTATACAAATACAATATTAATAAATATATTTTTATCTTTTTTTACTGCAACCGTAGACGGAGAAGGGAGTATATATTCATAAAATTAAAATATGGAGCATAACAAAAACTAAAGATAACAAACAAGAGAGATAGATGTCTCACACATGGTTAGCCTAGTGTGACTTTCCCGTCGGGTCTAGTTTGCAGGGTATTAGGTTCGACCGAGAGTTTACCCAGGGCGCACTTTCGGATAGCGGCTGCGGGTTCCCACGTCATCCCAAAAATTAAAAAAAAAAAAAAGAAAAAAAAAGAAGATAAATGTCCCAATTTCTCAAACAAGTTTACATATTATTTTTCTTACAATTGTTCTACAATAAAACCATACATATTATTTTTCTTACAATTGTTCTACAATAAAACCATACACAACAAACTACTAATACTACTACAACACACACACATATTGCATATATTGGTGTGTAAGAATATACCATCCTCACAATCATTGTCAATTTATTACAAATCACATGAAATTAAAGAAAAACAACCAACACATAATTAGATCACAAATTCTAGTAGTATATAAGCAAGCAATGATCTTAAGATATCTCAATTTCTATTTTCATCTCTATCTTCTTTGAAAGTTGAGCACTTTGATTCCATAGACGAAGACGAAGAAGAAGAGAAGAGCCCATCCGACATGTGCCAAGGCGACATACCCGAGGAAGTCCGAATCATACCCCAAGAACTTCTTCAAATACTCCTTCACTGGCATCCGCCCGTGATCCGGCACTTCCACAAGCTCCATATGCTCCCCGATTTGCGATGTTACAAGCCCGTATATTGTCCACGCCACCGGCGACCCCCAATAGTACCACCGCCACCATATCGGGATTTCCTGTCAGCCAAACACACATACGTCGTCATTTTACATGTCATGTAATTCGTTGGTTGGTTAGTTACATGTTTTGAAAGTTTTTTTGGAATTTTGCTTTAGTTTGAGAACAGTAAAAAAATTGAAAAAAAAAATAAGACTGTTTACAGAGATATTGTGTTTGTTTGTGGATTTAAATTTTTTAACAGTAAAAAATTGAATTTGAATAGTTATTTGATATTCAATTTGATATTTTGAATGTAAAATAATTTTTTAGTATATATATATATAAAGAAAATTAATTATTTTGATTTCATATTTTTTAAGAAAAAAAAATATAAAACAGTAATAAAAACAATACTTATTTTTTTCTTATAAAACATTATATCAAGTACTAATTTTTTACTATTTTAATTTTTTTTCAAAATCTCAAATTTTCAATAGTATCTGCTAAATAAAATCTTAGTATTGATGTGATATAAATAGATATACGATATGATGTAATGCTTTGAACTGATATTTTTTAAAAGAGAAATTTTGAGAAATAATGGTTCCTTTAAGATAGAAGTTTGAAACATTTTGAAACCAGTAAAAAAAAGTTAAGTATTTTATATAATATATATTAAAAGAAAAAATATTTGATGTGATATTTTTTTAGAAAATTACTCCCGATAAATAATACAAAATTTTTAAAAAATATGTATGTAAACAGAGTGGCATTAGTTTGTTTCTTAACTATGTTACTCCTTACCATTCTCGGGATGAGGAAGCCGGAGAAGAGGTTCCAAAAGCTAAGGAAGAAGGACATTACGATGGCCGCGATTTGGTAGCTCGGCGTTAGCGCGACGAGCATCATTCCATACAACGTGAAGTACACGAAGCACATGAACACATAGTAGTAGAACCACAAGAACTTCGTCGCGCCCCACTCAAATCCGATCATGGAGTACAATAAGAGGCTATAGACGAACGTTTGGATCGCGATGTAAATAGTCTCGACGCTCACCTAAATATTACGCAAAAAAAAATTCTCAAACAATCAGTAGGTCCTGAGCAAAAATTAAATAATAGGTCTGATTAATTTTTTCTCTGAAATATTATAAACGAAAAATATAATAATAAAATGAAATATACTAACTCAATAATAATAAAGCCGCCACCACCACTAATAATAATAACTACGAATTCTGAGGGTAGATGAATATGAGATTAATTTTAGAAAAAAAATATAATTAGAGTTTAATTTTAAAATTAGAATTGGATTTGGTAATTATAGAAAAAAATATGAGATAAAATTTAAATTAATTTTTTTATTATATCTAATGATAAAATTTAAAAATATGGGTCTCTTGAAGCAGAGGCTTTGAAAAAATCGCTCATGTTGCTCCTACTATTAGCCGGCTTTGACAATCAGTCGATGTGCGAATTTAGGACAATATCCTTAAACTTTACCTGCGCGAAGGCATACGGCAAGGCTGAAAACATCCCGGCTGCTCTTTCGCGATAGAACACAGTCCGTTCGATCGCTACTACGGATTGGACGGCTGAGGTGTTAGTCCCTCCGAGGAATAGAACGGCGGCGTACATTGCTCCGAGGAGATTTGATAGGTCTTGTTGCTTGTGCCTATTAAAAGAATTGTAAGAAAACTACATCATGTGTAAAGTACAATGTTGAAATTTGTTAGAGAACTCACATTTTTTTGCCTTTGTCCCAAAATATGACTCCGAATATGATCCCGATGACTGTTGTCATAAAAAATCGAATCACATTGTATTGCGGATTTCGCCAATACGACCAATGTTGCTTCCAAAAGCAAGCTGCGAATTGGACGAAGAACGGTTGGGAGTATTTTGTCGGGAAGAAGAGGTCTTCGGAATCGAGAGTTGTTGTGGTTAGTTCTTTGTTGAGTTCTTGATTCCTCCTAGAGTTAGAACAACATAAGACACTTCGAAATACAATGTACATTTTGTCTAACATAGAAATATTTGCAGACTTAAGTATTTGATTTGATATTTTATAAGAAAAAAAAAATTCTCTCTGTCCGCTAAATTTACCCGATTATTAATTTTGGCAAAGTCAACAAATCAACGTTTAACTATTATTCTTCATTTAACACTTATTTATAACAAATGTCACTACTTTTATTATATTCTCTTTCGTCATTTTATTTAATTTCTAACTATATTTCCAAAAATATCCTAAACAATCTTTTTACTCTTATCACTTTTTCAATAAAATATTTATTTTTTCTTAATCTCCGTGTCAGATCCAAATATTCTAAATTTACAGGACTGGAGAGAGTATATTTAATATAATAATTTTTTTAAAAAAAATTACTATTGATTAATGAATAGTATCAACAGTTTCAAAAGTGTTTATGTAGACAAAGCTTAATACCTATATAGATCTGAGTTGGAGTATATTTCCGCAAAGTCTACTCCAAGTTGAGCTTCGACCGAAGAGGAGCTAACTTCTAACATCCACGTCGCCGGGTTGTAACCGTCTTTGATCTTGGAAACTTCCGGGATAGACTATAGGAATATCGAAACAAGCGAAGACATAAACATCCTAGTACTTATCATGTCTTAAAACTTCGATCTCAATTGCAATGAAACTCACTTCGAAGTAGTCTATCAAAAGCTGAGAGTTTCGACCAAGAGCGCCGGCGTAGATCACTTGTCCTCCTCTCTTCATTAGAAGCAACTACAATGAAAGCTTATCTTGATCAGGACAACATATTTAGTTGCTAAAGCAGACAACCTTCGATAACATATAAACTCAGTGACAGAACTAATCCTCGAATTTCAGGGGGAGGGGGGGCCAAAAATATGAGTTTATTTATATTAATTCAATGACGGTTTTTTTTTGGTGCAGCAGAGTAAGGAAAAACAAAAAAGCTCGAACAAAAATAATATATATTTGGAGTGGAAAATTTTAATATAACTATATAAATTTTATTATTTTTTACTAAAAAAATTAAATACTAAAAGACAAATCAATAAAACTCTATAAAACTCCCTCATTCAAATTTATGCTCATTTGATGGGAGACGAGTTTTAATAAAAGTGAGTAATAATTGTTATTTTTTTTATAATAAAAAATGTACAAAAATGTAATAATTTTTACTTAAAAAGGAAACGAGAATATTTTTTTATGATAACCCAAAAGAAAAATAAGTATGAATTTAAATGACGGAGAGAGTATAATTTTTTACACAAAAATAAAAATAAAATAAAATCTTTTTGAAGAAAATTACTAAAAAATACATAAATTTATTATTTTTTGAACTAAAAAACAAAATTTGGGGGTTGAGGGGTCAAGTGCCCCTCTAGCCCCCACTTAGTTTCGTCTTTGTATATGCGTACCTCATCGAATGCTTCAAAAATATCGATGCTCGGCTGGTGTATCGTGCAAACTACTGTTCTCCCCGTGTCCACCGTGTTCCTTACTGCGCGCATGACTATAGCTGCTGCCCTTGCATCGAGCCCCGATGTCGGCTCATCCATAAAAATAATCGACGGATTTGCAACTAGCTCGACAGCAATGGTTAGCCTCTTTCGCTGTTCTGTTGACAATCCATCGACTCCCGGGAGACCGACCAACGAGCCTCTCAAAAGATTCAGCTCGACTAACTCCATCACTTCTTCGACAAACATCTAAAACGAACAAAGACATGACAACATTCGTACTTTCGTTATTACATAAACAGATAAGAAGAAGATTTGTCTCGAGATAAAAATGAAGACATTGTATAATATCCCTTATATTTTAGTAAAATCGCACAAAATAATCTATGTTATATTATATACACATATGTTCTTTCGTTATAACATATGTTTAATTGAAACATATAATTATGCAAATTTTATAAATATATATAATATCTTAAATATTATTATTTTTGAATAAAATAAATAAATAAATAATTTATGGAGTATTTATTATTATTTTATTCAATTAAGACTATTTGAAATATTTGACTCATATAAAAATTGCATAATTAGGTGCGTATTTATAACTAAATATCAATATCAATTTTGGATGAAAATGGTGTTTTGTGTCTATTTTAATTTAACATAAGAAGTTTGACGCAATAAATAAAACACTTGCTACAAGAAACGTGTGTGTTTACTTGTAAGATTACAGTTTTTGGTTTTTGTTTTGAATAGTAAAATTTTAAATTGAAATAGTTGTTTGATGTGATATAAATATGTATTAATGTGATGTTTTGAATGTAAAATTAGATTTGTGTAATAAAATAAATAAAAAAATAGGTGTTTGATTTAATTTTTTTCGGAAAAATAAGTTAGAATAGTAAAATCCCACAAGTAAACTTTGTAACTAATTTTTTTTGTCCCTAAATTTATTTTTTCCGTTATTAATAATGTTAGAGACAAAATTATGGGAATTTTAAGGACGAGATTATGTTACAAATATATATATTTTTTTTTGTAGTAACATGATATTTTATGCATTTTACTAAAACAAAAGGAGATATTATGCAATTTACCCAAATAAAAATGACGGACTTACCTGTCGCGTTCCTTTGTTTACATCGGCGGGAAGACGAAGCCATGCCGAATACAAAAGGGACTCGTAGACTGTTACGTGTGGCGAATGGATGTCGTTTTGTTCGCAGTATCCGCTCACGCGAGCAAATGTCTCTTGATTTTTCGGGTAACCGGATATCTTAATGTCGCCTTCGATGTATCCGCCGGTTTTTCTTCCGGCTAATACATCCATTAATGTAGTTTTTCCGGCGCCACTTACACCCATTAAAGCAGTTAGGACTCCCGGCCGGAAAGCGCCGCTCACATCCCTCAGAAGCTGGAGGCGCGTCTCCTCGACGCCTTGGCCTTTCATTTCCTAGAAAATACATGCACATTGTAAGAATCGTACAGCAAAACAAGCGTTTGGTATTGTTAAATATTGTCCCACATTGGATATGATGTGGGAACTTATTTGGCTCATAAAGGTGAAGAACCACTCCACTTATCCATTTGATTTTAGATTGAAAGTCCGGATCACTTCTTAATATGTACAGAGAAATATACGAGTATTTTTTATATTATCCACCCATTTTCATATCCTTACATAAAAAAAAAAAAAAAAATTCTCAAGTAAAAACTCTTGGACAAACAAACATTGATGCTTTATTAAAAAAAATTATATTTTTATAGATTATTATCCTAAAAATTGAATATTAAAAATATTATCAAATAAACTCATTATCTATTTCTCATCTATTATTTACTGATTTTTTTTTTTTAAAAAAATAAAAATAGAGAATGAGAAATTATTATTTCTCAAGTTCAAATTCCCTATAACAAATAAGAAAAAATAAATATATTTTTATTTCTCTATTCTTATTTCTTTTTCTTTGTATTAAACACGTCCTAATGTTCTTGTCTTTGTTCGTACATCTATAGTTTTTTATATTTCTTACCGGTGGCATGTCGACGTAATAGTTAACATGATCGAACGAGAGCGACAGCGGTTTGAATGGAAGAACCATTCCACGTTTGCTGTCTTCGTTCGTTTGCTCTGTCGCGACTCTTCTATTCGCCGCCCTATTTTTCTTGTTTTCTTCATCATCGGATTTTGAACCGCCGGATTTGGAATCGCCTAAGGCTGCATTACATACACAATTGTGTAAGAAAACAAGTATGGAACAAGTGAAATTCAGACAAGGTCATTGATACGATGATCTTACGCTTCAAGTATGTAAGAGCCGCAACGAAACAGAGGTTGAAGAAGAGAGAAAATGCGAAGAGTGCAATGACACATGTCCAATACCAATGTTCTTCGGTGAACATTCCCCTCGCGGCAAGAAGCTCCTTCCCGGCTGTACTTCCGGCGAATCTTGGATCGTCGTTTGGCTGCCGTAAAGAAAATAGCAAATATCAGACAACTATATAATAAGTACATCCCAACATAATATATAATCCAAACAATAAATATTAATTTAATACAATATATGAAATATATTTTGAGAGCACATTGTATAATTTCGTATAGCACAATATATTTTAATTTTAAATCAATAAATATATTAGATATATCGTAATATTATCAAGATGAAATACTAATCACTTCAAGTTAGGGGACTAACTTGATTAAATCAACATGGTGCGGACTATTATTATTTTTATAAAATATCATATTTTAAACTAAACATCCAATCATGGCGTATTAATTTTGTACTTGAATGCATTAAAAATAATTTTTTACAAAAAAAAAATTGAAAATAATAAAATTAAAATTATTTTTAAAATGTTAAAATTACCAAAAATAACATTAATATTAGGGGGTGTTTCTTTTGATGAGTTTGAGAAATTTTGGTTTAGGTTTGATATTAAAATAATATATGATGAGAAGTTTTTTAATGTGATTGGAAAAAATATATTTTTTTCGGAATTCGCAGAGTTTAAATAGTAGAAAACTGATATTTGATTGCTAAAAAAACACACCTATTTGGTTGTAATTTTAAATCAAAATTAATTTTATTCATTTATAAATTTTCAATAAAAAAATATTTTTTTCACAAATATTATATAAAAAATCTTATTTTAAAAAAATCAATCCAAACGTGGTCTTTAAACTTGCTGGTCATGACTCACCGAAGACCATCTGGGATCAAGAAACTCGACAAGAACAATCGCATTTTGTCCGTATGACATAGGAGACAGATAGTAAGCCCATTTCATCCATGGCTGAAGGTCATCTGCCAGCAGAAAACATTCGTAATTCTTGCAAGCTGTTGTCTTAACTAACTCTTAATCCAATTAAGCAAACTATAAACATTACTACATCAACCGAATCGAAACAGATCGAACCTTTGGCGATGATAAATCCACCGAGCACAAAGACCAGCAATAACGTGAAGGTGCCGAGAGTGTTTGCAACAACCTGAGTCCGTCCAAGCGCCGCGATGAATCGAAACAAGCCTAACGCCATTTGATGAATCCCGACGTACGCCAAGAACTGTTTAAAGAACCTACGAATTTTTGCCCATGTACAGACAACGTTCTAAAGACCATTCTTACACGCATAAATGAATCAATGTAATGTTCAAAGGCCATTCTTACAAACCTGCTCGCGGCCGGAGCGAATCCAACGGTGTAATAAGTCAGAAGGATCCATATTCCCGACTCCATAAATGAGATGGGAATCCTAAGAAGCCAAATCGGGAGGGCGAAAGCCCAAGCCGGATAAAACAGAGCGTCTCTTTGCTTAAAGAAGACGGGAAGCCTAAAAATAGTCATTGCCAGCTCAGCCATTCCGTTGAACATTACATTAAGGAGACTAAAGAAAAGCGCGCCGTAGAATTTCCCTCCGTCGTCTATATGTCCCGCTTTCATGGTTGTCCTAAAAAAGACCGTGAATGTAAAGAACGCCATGATCGTAATCTGGACTGTCTTAAAGATGTAAACGAAGGCGTTGCGCTTCATGAGTAGCCATTCCCTCGACAGACATGCCTCGAACAACTCCTTGTTCGAGATACCTGTAAGAAGAAGTAAATTGTAAGTATGCGCACTTTACTTGTACTAGGTGAGATGATCGTTCGATGTAATAATGTTATGTGTACCGTATTTTTCCTTTACTAAGGCGGCGGGATGGGCTTTGCTCCGGTCGTAAGGGACACCGAGCTTGGAGAAAAGCTTTTGTCCGATGTAATAGGATTTGAAGTGTTTGACAAAGTCCGAGACCGAGATGTAATGATAAGGTTCGTGTTTTCTTGACCAATATTGTTCTTGGTCTTTTTTTGAGGTTACTTCTTGTAAGAAGTCCGCGACGCCTTTTCTCTCGGGGCATTTGAAGCCTATGCTGTTGAAGAAGTCGAGGATGTTTTCACGTGGACCTTGGTACACTAATTGTCCTTCGGACAAGAGGATTATATCGTCAAATAGATCGAATGTCTCAGGGGCAGGTTGGAGAAGGGAGATGATCATGGTAATGTCTATTATATGCACCATTTGCCTCATGTACTTGACGATTTGGAACGTCGTCGAGCTATCGAGACCGGTTGAGATCTCATCCATGAGGAACACCTTCGCCGGCCCGACCAACATTTCTCCTACATCAATGGAAGTTCGATCGAATCCATGATGTTCTAACTTCTAACAAAGCATACACATGTATATATCGTAGAGTTGTCCTAAGAACTCACCCGTGGTGACACGCTTCTTTTGCCCGCCGGAGATGCCTCTTCGCATCTCGTCGCCAACCATAGTTTCGGCACAAATATCCAATCCTAGAATCTATCGAGTAAATTAAAACTGCGGCGTTAATACAACAAACAACACATGATGCAATAAGAACTAGGCAAACATGATTATAATTCACTTGTGATTTGAAAATTATGCACTATTATCTCTCATTATATTTTAGAAAATATTGCACAGTGATGTATAATTTTTAGGGGATTAGTGCAATGTTTTCTAAAAATAACCTCATCCAAATTATTAATCATGAAAGAATATAATGCTGAATTTTCAAACCACATGTAAATTATAAACAGTTTCAGTTTTGTCCAGAACCGACAAACAAACCAACCTTAAGCACATAATCGGTGACCAAGCTCGTTTTTTGCCCGGCCACGGCGATGGATTTCATGAAAGCATCAATCTCCGGATCCGGCTTAATCCCAACATCCCTTTCCCTCCTCGAGAGCTCGGCCAACAATTCATACCTCGCGCCAACGCCAAAGCAACGACCCGAGAAATCCAAGGTTTCTCTTACAGTCATCTCCCCATGGTGAAGATCGTGTTGGCTTATGTACGCACAACTTCTTTGAGGCACGAACTCCCTAAGCTCGTGCCCACAATATGTGATCTCTCCAATCTCCTAAAATTCAGACAACAATAAAATGATCATCTCACCTAAACATTTACAGCATTATTACATTTCTTTTGGGAAGTAAATTTAAGACATGGTTCAACACCTTAAGATTTTCCTCAAGCTTCCCCGCTAGCGCCTTAAGCAACGTGCTCTTACCCGAGCTTGGAGGTCCCAAAAGTAGCGTCATCCTAATGACTCACCATTATATTAGCAAAATGAAAAATAAAATAAAATTTTACAAGGTTCGATATATATATGTATGTGAATTGTACCTTGATGGTTTCACTATTCCGGAGATGTCGTTGAGTATCTTTACAGGCTTCTTCCGAGATGGGAACAACCTAAGGGAACCGAGGATTCCCTTTACGATGACAACATTAAAAAGACAAGAACATAGCACATTTCCAACAATGTAGAAGCCTAAAGAAAGACAACCTCAAGAGCATTTATGGTGGAATTGAACAATGTTGGGAGCGCCCGATTTCCGGAAAATGCTTCGCCTTCGACGGATAAATGCGCGAACCTCACTTCACATTGCGGCACATTGATACCGACTCTATTTTACACCAAAATCAAAAGTTATAAGCGAGGCTAGTCTGAGTGAAGATGATGATAAATGATCATTTCACCTAAAAATTTAAATAAAAAATTTAAATTGGCGGAGAAAAATATATCATTAATTATATACCTCCTCTGTCCATTAAAATTAGCTCATTTGGATCCGGCACGGAGATTAAGAAAATAAATATTTTATTGAAAAAGTAATAAAAGTAAAAGGAAAGTTGATGATATTTTTGAAATTTTAGTAGAACTTAAAAGTAAATGAAAGAGAGAGAATTTAATAAAGATAGTGATATTTGTTATAAATAAGTGTTGAATGAAGGGTAATACTTAAATGTTAGATTTGTTGACTTTGTCAAAATTAGTAATGTGGTAAATTTAGCAAACGAATTAAAAAAGAAAGTAAGAATAAATTTGATGGGTATAGGGAGTATTATATAGTTTTCGAATAGATGATTACCGATTGATCCTCTCGCGAAGCTTCAAAAGCAACATCTCATTATCATCCTCGAACGCTTTTGAGACGCTATCCATAATATGTTTCTTGCCATGATGTCCGAGGTTTGCAAAGTCGAGTTCTTCGTGCACGACCTTGCCGTCGTCCGTAACTTGCTTCAATATCCCTTTCCTCATCCGATCGTAAGTCGGGAGCCTTTCAATGGCAGCCCACTTGAGCTCTTCCTCGTCGTCTTGCCTCTCGCTCTTTTGGAACACATCTGCTTTCGCAATAAATTAAACACAAGTAAACACACACATTAACATATACAGTGGCGGAGCTAGTAGGGAGGCCGAAGGGTGTTCCGCCCCTCTAATTATTTGAATTTTATATTTTTGTTATGTATTTATAAAATTTTAAAGTTTAAATAATTGGTCACCCTGTAGATTTAATAAAAATATTATTATTATTATTATTATTATTATTATTATTATTATTTAAAACTCAAACATTTTAAAAAATTGGTTCAAATACATCAAATATTTAGAAATATTTGAAAAAAAAACAATAACAAACTAAAAACTTGTTTGTAACTTTTAATTTTTTATTATATTATATAATTTAAAATTATTATATACTCTCTCCGTCCCATGTAATTTGGACCTATTAATATAGATACAGTAACTTAGTTAAAATGTAATTAATAAGTAATTAAAAAATGTATTAATAAAATAATTATTGTATAGTAAAATAATTATAAATTAAGATTAAGATAATTTAATTAAGATTAGAAAATCACAAAATATGCACATCATATTTCAAAAAAAATGAAAGAACAAATTATATGGGATGAAAAAAATAGAAAATAGAGACAAATTATGTGAGAGGGAAGAAATATTATTTATATAAAAAAAGTTCCCCCCCTCAAATACATATATGATATATATATATATATATAGGCTTGTGTCGAAATTTAAATATATATATCTATAGTCACCTCCCGGCGCGCCAAATGTGTCGCGGATGCTGGCGGAAGCCCAGCCGTTTTTGCTCGGCGAAGACAAGCTCCGGCGACGGCTGAGGGACTTGGTGAGGTCATCCCTGGTGGGTGCTGCTGCAGCCTCCATTGTTGCAAGGCTGCAGAAAGCTTTGGATATTTTAATTTAATTACTAAGTGTTGGGGAGGATGGAGATCTAGTACTGTATGTATTATGTAGGTGTCGTCTGTCTTCTGTATGCATATATATATATATATATATATATGGATGTATTATGTTAGTGTGATTTATGGAAGGATATTGAGACAAGAAAGAGCATAAGAGAGACAGAATGTGTATATATATATCTGTGTATCTTTCTATATATATATATATATATGAATATGTGTTGATTATACGAAAAGGATATGTTGTATGGTTTTGCGTTAAGTCCTATGTGGTGTGGTTAGTCTTTATTGTTGTAATCTGAAAACAATATTCAGGTTTTTGTATGCATGTGGTTTGGTGTAGTGTGTGTGATATTATAATTATAATTATAATTCTTATGCAAAATTATCTATATATAACTCTACGTGATTTTCAAACTCAACTTAAATTTGCATGTATTTTAAAACTTACATGACATTAAAAAAGAGTGGGGGTTGAATTAGTAACCCTGAAGTCATGACTTCAAATCCTCGACGCCTCAGGTCATCTGCCACACATGGTTCGTCTAGTGTGACTTATCTGTCGGACCTAGTTTGCAGGGTATTAAATTTGGCCGGGGGTTTACCCAGTGTGCACTTTCGAGTAGCGGCTGCGGGTTACCACGTTATATAAAAAAAAAATTCTATGGAACCCTCTATATAATTTTTTTGTGACGAGAAGATTTGTCATCTACATTTTTTACATGACAGAAGTTTGCAATATTTTTAAAAATATAAAGGCGCAATACAATTTTTAAAGTATAAGAAATTTACGTTGAATTTTGAAATTACAATTAAGTAATGGGCAATTTTACCTTATTAGTATTATCAATGAATTGAGAGAGTCTATCTTGTTAATTTGGACTATAGTTATATTGAAAGAATCTCAATTAAAAAAGTCACGGTCTTAAGCTTTTACATTTGCAAGTTATAATTTGTTTATTATTTATCGATTTCTTCACGAGTTAGAAGAATTATACAAATATTTCATAGTAATCATTCACACATATATATATATATATAATAATTCATTTATATATAAATTTATTTGTATTTTCTGAATTATATATGAATTTATTCATATTTTCTTTTTATATAAGTTTTTTAAAAATATAATTATGGAACAATAATAGACTTAAATAGTCGATAATAATATAAGTTTAAATAATTATATATAAAATAATTGCTTAATTAAAAGAAATTATAAATTTCATTACATAAAAATTATTATTATTTATCATCATACTATCTAAAAGAAAAGGTGTCGGATGTTATATACATTAAATACATTGTGATAAATCTACTAATAAATTCAATTGATCGTACATATTAAATTATGGAATAATAATTAAAATAAATAATAGTAGATGATAATATAAATTTAAATTAAATATAATTATATTAAAATAGATTACTTAATAAAAAAAATATAAATATAAAATATAATCTTAACACAATTTTATGTTTTGTTTAAAATATATAGTTACTTAGATAAATATTAATGTCAACAATAACAATATTATTATTCCAATATATTTTACAACAACCATGAATTAAATGAATTAGGTAGATGAGAGTACATTCAATCTTTAATATAATGTGTTTATATATTTAAACTGTCAATTATCTATCCATGATAAAAATAAATAAAAAATAAAAAAATCATCATAGAGTACATTTATATATATTGTATCTATTAAATATTATTATTTTATTACACATTAATAGTTAATTCGTGAAAAAAATCAAGAAATTAAAGAGAATATACTTACTTATATACTCCCTTTGTTAACCTTAACAAAGTATCAATTTCTTTTTTAATAATTGTATTATCTATTTAACGTTACAAATATCAATATATTACCCAAATATCTTTGTATATATATAATTAGTTTAGCCTTTTTATCTTTATTTCCTAAATACTATTTTATAGTAATAATTGACTTATTCAAAATATATTTATATTTTTGTACCATATAAATCTAATAATTTATAAAATCAGTTAACACACTGGTAATAATAATATTCTATAATTTCACATATGTAACAAATTAATTTTAACACATCATATACACATTATACATTACACTTATGAAACACATGTCTAAATACAAAATAAATAAATAAATATAGATGTACATGCTGGTTACCTTGTCCTTGCCAATTGCCATCGTAGAAACAAATTAAACCTAAAGAATCTCCACCGTTGATTTGTTTCATCTCTTCTCGAATCACCATATTTATTTATTTATTTATTTAATTACATTCACGCTGCTCTGCTCGCTCATTGCACTTTCCTGGCAAACCAACAATGGCGGCCGCCAATCTCCTCTTTCAATCCCCGACGACCCTCCCAACCAAATCGCTGAAGCTTTCTTCTGCCCCCGGCTTTGCTTCCCGCATTCTTCCCTTCAAATCGAAGCCGATTTCGTGCAATTTGCTGTCTCGACTTCCAAGGGCAGTTCTCTCTACCTCGGAGCCGCAAACGCAGGGGTTTAGGCACTGTTTTTCCAAGTCTGAAGATGGGTACCTTTGCTGCGATGGCGTTAGAGTTGAGGAAGTCATGGAAACTGTGGACAGAAGGCCGTTTTATTTGTACAGTAAGAAACAGATTACTCGGAACGTCGAGGCGTATAAGGACGCATTGAAGGGATTGAACTCGATTATCGGCTACGCTATCAAGGCGAATAATAATCTCAAGATTTTGGAGCATTTGAGGAAGCTGGGATGTGGAGCTGTCCTCGTCAGTGGAAATGAACTCAAGTTAGCTGTCCACGCTGGATTTGATCCTACAAGGTTAGTATTCAAACTGCCATCAAACACTTTGAATTCGAGATTATAATTCAGTTTTCGCTGCTGTTCATGTGTCTAATGTTTGATTTTACTTTCATTTCAAATGATTTGCTAGATGAGAAAGAAATGAAGAATTTAATTTATGAACACCAAGTGTTCGACCAATGTCACAGTTACTGCATTCTTCCTAATGTCATTCCACAACTTAATACTATGGAATTTACAATATATTAAAAATGTAGTTACAGTCAATTAAACTTGGGATAATTTCTTTCTGTGCAATGGGAATCGTCAAAAGCTATCTATATTGAACAACAGGCATTGTTTGTTTGTTTGTTTTTTTTTTTTTAATGCAGGTGCGTCTTTAATGGGAATGGGAAGACACTGGAGGATCTAACATTGGCAGCTGAACAAGGAGTTTTTGTCAACATTGATAGTGAATTTGATTTGGAAAACATTGTGGCTGCTGCAAGAATTGTTGGGAAAAGGGTTAATGTTTTGTTGCGTATCAATCCCGATGTTGATCCTCAGGTATTGAGTTCCTTCTCAATTACTTGCAATGTTTCCTCTTTGATTGGATGCATTGATGCAGAACGTAGCCGGTGAACTTGTTATGTTACTTTGAATTGTACTTTTGTTGTGAATTTTTTGTAGTTCATTGGACTTAGAGATTTGTGGTTTTAAATGACATTTGGTAACCAGAGACTTCTCCCTGAATCCCATAAGAAATGTAGTCGACCCTTGTTGTTTTGGCTTCAATTATGATGGTTATTGAATTATTGCATTCTTGTTATGCTATATATGTTCGTAAGATAACCTTAGATGTTGTGTAATTAGGTCCATCCTTATGTTGCTACCGGAAATAAAAACTCCAAATTTGGTATTAGAAATGAGAAGCTGCAATGGTTTCTGGATGCGGTGAAAGAACATTCAAAAGAGTTGAAACTCGTGGGCGCTCACTGTCATCTTGGTTCTACCATTACAAAGGTATTTTTTGGTTGTACTTTTCATCCGGGATATTTTGTTGTATCATATTAATTTATTTATATGTAATTTCGCCCAACCACCCTGTCATCTGTAGGGTAAGTTTTTTTCATGAGGGTTTGTATGTGACAAAGAGGAGTGGAATATCTAGATTTTTGCTTTAATATCAATTTCAATTACTACTTCACTTAAATTTAAATATATAATATCTCATATTATATTTAGTATATAGATATTTTTCAACAATAGTTTTTGTACGATGATCTATAATTGTTAGAGTAACTTCATAGTATTAGACACCCTTCATTTTTATTGTTATTTACATCGAAGTTTGTATATAACGAATTATGGATCAACAATGTTGCTTCTCCAGGTAGATATCTTTAGGGATGCTGCTGTTTTGATGGTGAAATACATTGATCAGATTCGCTCCCAAGGTTTCAAGATAGATTATTTAAACATTGGAGGTGGTCTGGGTATAGATTATTACCACACTGGAGCTGTCCTTCCGACTCCCCAAGACTTAATAGATACTGTAAGCAGTACAACTTCATTTATCTCGACTTAAATTGGCCTGGATGCTATCTTAATACTCTTTTTCTTAAAATTTTTTATAAACTTTGTTTTCTATAGGTTCGTGAATTGGTTATTTCGCGGGATCTGAATCTCATAATTGAACCCGGAAGATCCCTCATTGCCAACACTTGCTGCTTTGTCAACCGTGTCACTGGGGTCAAGACCAATGGAACAAAGAATTTTATTGTCATCGATGGCAGCATGGCAGAGCTCATTCGTCCGAGTTTGTACGGAGCATACCAGGTAAAGTTTCTTGGACTAATCTCAGAAGTTCTGAATTGTCAGAAATTAATTTGTCACAAAATAGGAACTAGAATCAATTCTAATATTCTAAAGTCGATTTTCATTGCAGCACATAGATCTGGTTTCCCCAGCACCTCCTGATTCTCAAATTTCCACTTTTGATGTTGTTGGTCCTGTTTGTGAGTCAGCTGATTTCCTAGGGAAGGATCGAGAACTGCCAACACCAACAAAGGTAAACGTGGAAAATCTTGAATGAGCAAATTTAGGAGACAATATAGGTAAATTAGTGGAGGGAATTGAGGTATTAAATAGTCACTGAAGGTGACAAATAGTCTTCAACATTAACGGATCTAATGGAGTAATGTAAGGATAAGTTAAAGGATTTTGTACAGGGACTTAGGATTTTTCTTGTTTAGTATGTATTGTAGGAAGTAGAATTGAAATTATACAATTCCTCGTGTTCTTTTCAACAGTATATATATATATTTTCTCTGTAATTTGTTTGTCATATAATTGTGTAGTTCGTTGTTTAATTACCTGGATTTGTAGGGAATGGGATTGGTCGTTCATGATGCGGGTGCTTACTGCATGAGCATGGCTTCAACATACAATCTGAAAATGCGTCCGCCTGAATATTGGGTTCGTATTCTACTCGTATTTTGTCTTCATTTCAAAACCTCCTCCAGCAGGTTTGGGTATCTATCTTTACAAGGAATCATTGACGGGTTTAAATTCAAACACACCTAATTAAATCTCTCAAAAGAATTCTCATATTTTTTGAAGCAGTGCAGTTAGTTTATCATTTTGGGAATTTTGTTGTTTGCACGAGGGCGGTCCTTTTAGAACATTTCATTTTTTTTTTTTATATACGAATTTACATAGAGGCATGTATGTCTGTAAGTGGGTATAATGTTTGGATCGAAAAACTACTCTGCATTGCAATTCGTATAAATTGGTAATTTGGACTGAGCTAGGGTGGTTTTTTAGGTCGAAGATGACGGGTCAGTGTCCAAAATCCGGCATGGGGAGTCGTTTGAGGATCATTTGAGGTTCTTTGAGGGCCTTTAAGGTGCTGCATTCATCATCATCATCATCGTCGTAGCTGGATTTGGTGCGACAAGAATCAATATTATTAGGTATGAGTTGTTTTAAGTTACTATTCCCAGGCTGGCTGTTGTATCAGATAGATTGTTTTTTGTTTGGCTGACTGAAATTTTGGTGTTAAGCGTTGTACTAGTTCAGTTAATAATTCGCATTTGTCTTGTTTGCTGCCTTTGTCAAAATTCCAGACCTTAACCTTTGTGAAAATATCCATCCATGTTTGTTTATAAACCTCACATTCTCCATCTATAGGATGTAAAATAAAGAGTAAAATGTGTGATGATATTAGTAAATAAAAATGAAGTGAAACAATATCAGGTGGTATGGGATGTTGGTAGTATTCTTGTTACTAAATAAAATATACAGTCAAGTATATTATTGAAGATTGTATATTTGGTCGATTGAATTATAGATGTTATTGAAATTATAAAAGTATATCCATGAATGATAAGTGTATTTAAATAATCTTAATGATCATTTTTTAAAAAATTAAGTTGAATATACATCAATTGCAGCTGTTTTTAAAAAAAATTAATTCTATCAGAAATTTTATGTGACTTTATCTATGATATTAATAATGTCCCTTAAATTTTAAAAAATAAAAAAATTATATTTATTTATTCATCAAGAAAATGTAATGTGACAATTTTAGTTTTTCATAGTTTTAAATTCAATATGACAAGCTCGACGTCGAGTTTGAATTCGTAACCTTACGGTCACAAATTCACAAAGTTCGAACAACAAAAACATATAGGACAAGAACGTCGAGTACATAGCAGATAGCCAAGTTAACAGAAGAACATGAGCATGAGCAAGAAGTTATTCCAAATTACATATACCATAACTTGGGAGGACAAACACAACAAACATTCCAAATTGCTTCCACATATATAGTAAGTACTACTTTAAAATATCTAAGTTATATTTGGAAAAGTCGAGTCATGCTGTGGCAGCCGTCTCAGCAGCCTTAGATGTGGGTTCGGACACTGCAGCCGCCTTCTCATCTTCTTTCCAAATAGATGTCTCCTTCCCAGTCTTTGAAACAGTCTGCAGAACGGCTTCCGGTTGGACATTGCCCTTCACGGTCACCTTTTGCTTCTCTAGATCAACATCGAATGATTCGACTCCTAGATACATCAAGTTTCAAAAGTTAAGACATTTGTGTTCTGTTCGGACAATTGAACTGAAAGCGAAGTAAAGAAGTTGAATAACGCAAGTAAAATATTACAAAATCGGCAGAAATAAATCTATCCAAAGTATTAATATATACATATCAAGATGCATTCTTAAAATGTGTTCTTTCTAGGAGACGTGCATTGATATTTGAAACATTCGACCATGATTGGGTTGAGAGGAAGCTCAGGGAGGAAGAAAATAAGCATAAGAACTGCTAATGTCCCCTGTTTTGAAAAACTGGGTTTTGTTTAGATAGGGGTTTTAGGAGGTTTTTGGAATTTTGAAAGTTCGGAAAAAATAAAAAAATGTATGTAATGTGATGTATTTTGAAAAATAAATAGTGTCAAATGAGTAAAAATTGTAATGTAAACAAAGCAAGTTGGCAGAAAAGGAATGGTTATTATTCTTAGATGTTTAGTTATGTTCAATTACTTTAGACACCCCCTTCTCCTCCATAAAACTCAACACATGAAAAACTTTGACATAAACAGGTGATGCTTCGGGCTCCAATTCTATGTTGAATGATCAATTTCTCTAAAACCTAACTTCACAAGATAATTCAGAAATTTATATCTTTTTGATATTTTATACCTTCAACACCTACTCAACAATCACTCTAGTCTAAAAAGCAGTAAAATAATTGAAGAATCAAAGAAACATAATATACTTACAGCTCCTACAGTTTCAAATCACAAAAAGAAAAGTCAGGGTCTAATGTTTACACAATCCAGCATCCTAGTGAAGTTAGATCACGACGTCTCAGAAAAGGAGAAGTTGGAGAACACCACTGAGCATACACTGAATCCAAATCGATAACATTAAATATGAATGATTCTCATGAATTATGGTAATGTTGACAAACCTTCTAACTTTCCAAGAACACGCTTCACAGCTCCAACACAGCCTTGGCATGACATGCCAACCTTAAGCTCCACAGTCTACATTTTTTCCAGTGTTACAAGATATGAGAATCAATACAGTAAATCCATAAGAAACCCTTAGAAATTCTAACCACATTCATTAGTTCAATAAATTTTCACTAAGACACATGCCAGAAATTTCATTTGTACCTACAATGTCAACTGAACAAAGAGTTTGATCTTATTTACAAAACGGATGTAATATTTGGCAGAGATCTCAAACTTTTTTATATAAGCACATTTGGTGTTTTGCAAATGAAAGGTTGTTGAATAAGTTTGAAAATTCATAGTTCTACTACAGCTTTTCCTTCTGATTTTAATAGGAAGTTGTAACGAATAGCAACATCGAAAATTTTTCAAAGAGCGCCTCCATACAGTAGGCATTCAATATAAAAAAAAAATCCAATCAATAAGGCAGTATAACCAAAAAAAAAAAAAACGATTCAAAGCCAATGAATGATTCAGGCGCAAAGAACTGCAGCGAGGACGCTCTACAGATTCAAGGAAACAAATAAGCTAGTCCAAAAAGTGGAGAGAACAAAAAACAAAGGCAATAAATTAAACATACAAAGATTTTTGCACAAAGTGGAAAACTCAATTCCAGTTTTGAATCAAATCATCACATTCTCTCACACTTATTAGCGAATCAAATCGACCGGCAAATCATTACCTCCTCGTAAATTTAATCCGCTCAATGTCGTATGAATCCTAACAACCAAAATTCCTCAATCGAGTGCAAAAACAGGAAAAATGGAAACACGAGGTACCAAAAAACAGAAAAACATCTACAGAAACTTGATTGCAACCATCATCATGAAATAAATCAACAAATATCCAATTGCAGTACCATTCTACTGCAATCAAAAATCGAAGAAGACGAAGATACTGACCTGAGACATTTGCGATTTCGATGGCGCTCTCCTAAATGATCACGAGTTTTACAGAAAGCGTAGAGGAAGATTGCGATAATGGGATGAGACTATGGCGTTGGGTTGAGGGCGATATTTATAGTGCACAAAATTCCAGGAAGAATAATAATAAATAAATAAATAAATTAATAAAACGAAATTGAAGAGGAGACGATTGAGTATTTTAAAAAAAATAGTATTATTTATTTATTTATTTATTGAGACCACATATTCGTATATCTTTTCATTGACTGATTTCGATATAAGATTTTTCTATTTAAATATGTTTTATTGATTGGTCTAAATAATGTAAATAAAATTTGTATAGTTTGTACAAAATTACAATTGAAAATAGAATAATTTAGAAATATAATACTATAATTTAATTTTAGCTACAATTATTTTATCTCATTAAATATTATATTTTAAAATATATTATGCATTTTGATCATTTAAATCTCACGTAATTGTTCCTTACTTACAATTACTTGTGTATAAATATTATTGAAAAGCTCTAAAATATGAGTTATTTATTTATATAAAAATTAGCCAATAAGAATTGAAACATTCCAATATTGATATTATATTAATTTTTTAGATGAGATTCTCATTTTAAAAATAAAAAGATCTACTTAATACCATACTTATTTTGTTTGTTTTGAGAAAAATTGTCATAACATTTTATTAAAAAAAATTAATATATTATATATATATTCATTATTTTTATATTACTTACGCAATTTTTTACATTTCATAAAAAAATAATTCTTCAAATCAAAATACAAAACAAACACACCCGAACTATCTCAAGATTGAATTTTACAAACATTTCTTACAAAAAAAATTACATATATATAAAACCTCTTCAATAATTAAATAAAACAACATATAATAAATATATTTAAATGTAAATAACATTGTGATTATTTAATAAGATTTAGTAGTTAAAGTGTCAACTACTTATCAAAAGGTCGTGAATTTGACGACTATATAAAATAAAAAGTTAAAAATGCATTTAGAAAATACGTATCTGATTCAAAGACGATTTTTCTTTATAAATATTCGTACGACAGAATTGTCGAGCAGTACAAATTACTTAATGTACAAATATGCTTTTGCACATTTGTTCTAAAAAGAGAAGGAAGACTAAAATCGGTAACTATATGAACAAATGTTATCGAAATAATGAAACTTGTAATATATTAGTAAAAAATATATATATATAATTCAAAAATTCAAGAAGCTTTAAATTATGTATTGAAAAGAATTTTATTTTATTTTTCCAACCCATTCTATTCAACAAAATTGTGTGATAGAATTGATAAAATAATAGTATTTAATTAATAAATGAATTATTTAAAAATAATTTGAGTGAGCTTAGAAGGAAGGCATATTTGGCATGGTATGCTTTTGATTAGTGGACCTAAAATGTCACAACTTTCTTTCCTTTTGGGTTGTATTGTATTTTTTGCAGTACAAAATATACTATGGTACTACATTGCCAAAAGATGTTGTAGTACTTCAAATTCAAGTACATTCCTCTTAGTTTTACATTTTTATTTATTTATAGATCAACTATTGATTCTAATTATTTATTTATGTTGGTTCTAATAAGAAATGGTTTTGGTTGGTGTGATTATTTGTTTGAGACAAAAATTTGTATTCTTACTTTTACTGAGCAATAAAATACATAGAAAAAAGTGAAAATATACAAAAATATATAAAACATACTTTTACATATTCATACATTGCAATTAGTCGTAAAGTAAAGTAAAACAACATTTATCTTACATTTGATAGTTGCATAGTATATCCTTAGAAGAAAAAAAAAAAAAAAAAAAGAAAAAAGAAAAAAAATGAAGAAGATATTTTCCTTGTAAAAAGTAGTTCAATTAATTGTAATCGTAAAATTATGAATTTAAAATTAGTCATACAAGATTTGCTAAGACCAACTTATGTTGCTGATGTAGTTTGTATTTTATTTAAATTTAAAAGTAGTACGGTAAAATTTGATACGCATATAAACTAGGATACAAAAATTGATGCGAGAGAAGGCTTAAGCCATGAATATACGGCCCTCCAACCGGCATCTGAAGGATGTATGGAGTCCCAAAATAATGAGTTTTTCCGATTCTTACAAACATCGAATAGTTTCTTCCCCATGTTGTCTATCCACCCACATCCTTCGCCGTTCGCCCCAACACAACATGGCTTTAATTTATCTGCAAATTGAAGTCACAAACAAGAATGATCAATACAAGAATGTCGGGGTATATATACACAATTTTTTGGACTTTTTTATATTCAATTACCTGAATTGTTTTGCCGTGTTTCGATGGAGGATATAAAAGCATCATAGATATCAAGATAAGCAAAGACTGGAGTAGAAACTTCATCGTTTAATGTCTCTATATTTTGCTTCAACAATCGATTGTGAGACTCAGAGAAATAGTTTTCTCCTGTGTTGCAGTTTCTATATGCATTTGTAGCGATATTTAGTGGCAAACAACCCAATGGATGGAGTCCTGTGATCACAATTTTCTTGATTCCCAATAATCGTATCCTTTTAATATTCTTCGTTAAATTACCGATCACAGATTTACTGAATTCGGGTAAATCCTACACATTCAAAATATAAAAATTAATTTTGCATCCTAATATAATTGAAGAACAAATTAAATTAAAAGATATATGTTATCACTCTTTTTTTATTACAATTAACTATAAATTGTAGTCTACTTACATTACATTTATTTTTTAAATTTGTAATTATGTTGAAAATTGGGTAACATGTTTTATATTAATTTTCTTGTTTCAATAATTTATTCTATTATAAAATGTATTGCATAAATACTTCAAAAAAAAATAAAAATAATAATAATAAGAAGAAATTATGTGATCTAATATTTTATATAATATAAATTACATTATAAATTTGTCATCCTATATATATTTATTACCATTTTGGTATAACATTCGATTTGTGGTTTTTACTAGTGATTGTAATTGTTACAAATGAGGAACATAACTGAAATTCAAGGAGATTTTAGGGTGTTTTCCGTTTGGATTTTAAATTCATACAAATACTATTCAGTGTACATAATTTTTGATAAAAAAAGATAAAAAAAATTATTTGATAGAATATTATATCAAAATACTATTTAAATAAAAAAAAAAATTGAAACTTCAAGTTCAAACCAAAAACCAAAAACCAAACAAGATCAAAATTATTGTAGTATTTATTATAATTTTGAAACACTTCAATTTTGTCCATTTTTGAAAAAAATCGTATAAATTTATGTCAAAGTGATACTATCAAAACTAGACTTGAATTTACTTTTAGGATACAATATTGTAGTTTTTTTTTTTCAAAATAATAACTAATAAAAATGAAAATGTTTAATAACTAATATATTTTTACCTAAGTGATATTTTCAAAATTCAAATTTGTGTTAGGTCACCTAATAGTTAAACACCTTAACAAGAAATAATTTTGCGATTAGTTTAACAACCCTAACATACCTTCAAACTTCCATTCTTGGCAAGATAAGTCGAATAATCATTCCCGGCAAGGGACACTAGCGCGATCGAAGCATTCAATGCTTGACTCGAGTACACTTTACGATCAATAATTTGTTGCAAGAAGTCAATTTGCGTGCTCATATTAGGATAATCAACCATTGTTTTGAATACGCCTGTCCCTCCATGAGCAAAGTTGATTCCATATCTCGTCGAATTGGTGTTCAAATTCTTCATCAACTTGTATGGAATTGGAGATTTTATTCCTAGAAATTTTGCTTCGATTCAAAAGTTCATAAATATGGTTAGTTATTATTGTAAATTTATATCCTGAATCAATAAGTTTATTCGAACAAACTTTGTATATAATAACCAACTATCAAGAGGGGAAAATATCAACAAATAGAAAATTAGTTTGAAAACATTGAAATTGGGTGTAAATTTAATATCTTATTGAAAGTGTGGATATATTTTGAATGGATAGATTTCATAGTTTGAAATATAATTTTTGAAACTAGCGGCTGCGGGTTCCTATATATATATATATATATGTATTTATATGTATAATATATAAATTTAACTTGTATAAGTACGTTAAGGTATAATCAATGAATACATTCACTTACTCTTTTATTACTATCAACCACATTCAATATAATCATTCAATTATTATATTGAATTATGGCACCATATTTACTCTTAATAAAATTATTTAAAAATTTAAGTTATAAACGACTATCGGATGTGTTTAGAATTATTAATCGACCCAATTAAGTAGCTTGTAGTTAAGTTTAATTCGACTCGTCAATAGCTCGATTCCACAAGTTTATAAAGATAATTTATTTGAGCTTCAATTTAGAAATTATTATTTCTATAAATGAATCAAATTTGAGTTACGTTCCAACAGTTTAATAGAACTCATTAGTAATAATATATTCGTAATTATTTTATATTTCCTCCGTCCATTACTAACTTTTTCATTTTCATTTTAATATGTCAAAATCAAAACTTTTCATTTTTTTTTAAAGAAAAGTAACTCTCAACTAAATACCAAATTACGTTTACTTTTTAAGAGTAAAATAAATATTACATTACTTTAAATACTGCGTATCTATAAAATGCTATTTTTTTTTTAATCTGCTTGCAAAAATCAAATGAAGAATTACAGAGTATATTATTAATATTATAGTTTTTATATCAAAACTTGCATTTAAAACTATTTTATTATAAAAAATTACGAATAAAATTAGATATGTTTAATTTATATATCAATTAAAGATATATAATATGAGCTCGAATTTGAACCTTGCAAGTTTGAGCTACAATTTTAGCTCAAAGTCTAAACAAATTGGGTTAAGCATATTCTGATAGCATGTTTGAGTCGAACTTTTATAATTAAGATGATGAGAGTAATTAACACCATACTGATCTCTAACTAATTACTCACAGTAAACCCTAGACGACGAGAAATTATAATTAATTGAATAGATGGAGTTCGGATTGGTAGCTAAGTTTAATTTACCTATGAAATCCGTAAAAACTCTGCCGTCGGAGAACCTGCCGGAGGGTTTACCGGGGAAGGTGATGCCGTAAGGCCATTTCCACGACGTGGAAGCTTCCCTGGGCAGATTTCCGGTGTCTGCGTATGAATCGCCGAACACGAATAGCAACGTCTTCTTCTCCACATCGCCTTCTGCGCGCACCTCCATTAATTAATTATCACTCAACTATACATACGTACAATTGTATATGTGTGATTTGCAGATATATGGAATATATATAAAATTAATTAAACCTGAAGAAAGCTGGAGAGCAAACGAGACGAAGAAGAAGAATACTGCTACGGCGGTTGCTCCCCTTTTCACCATATTGCTGCTCCACACAGATATTGGGGACAAATAAATTCACCCTTTTGCTTTATATATATATATATATATATATGAGAAAATTATAGCAACATTTCAATATTGTGTTTAATTTGAAAAAATAAAAATAAAAATAAAAATATAATATGAAATTAAATAATATAGATGTATAGCCAGCCAGGTGGCCAGTAGGCAGTAGCTACAATATATATTTAGTTTTTGGTATGACTAAATGGTAATGTGGTTGCAGAGTGGTTGTGTACGTTGTGCATTTCTCAGGACAAATAATTAATTATGTCTTGTGTTATAAAAAATAAATTTCATATTAAATATGAAAAAGTTTAATTATTTGTGAACAAATTTATGATACTCTCTTAATAAAAATTATTTTTGTATGCATAATTAATTTGAGTTTAATTTTAAAATTTTTACTTAAAATATAATTCCAATATTTTAAAAATATATTACTTTGCTTTCATAAAATAATACTACATTATTCAAATAAAATTTGGGTAAAATATAAAATGAGGTTAAGGTATTATAAAAATTTATTAATAATAGTAGTATGATGGATGGAAAAAAATAATGAAAAAATTATTATTTATTAAAATAAATAATAAAATAATAAATGGATGAAATTTTTTTTAGTTATAATTGGATTATTGTATAAATTTTACCAAAAAATTGAAACAATTTTGCACTATTGTATCCTCTTTACGGTACTAGGAGAATTTAGAAGAGTATAATTACTAAATAATTAATAATATATAAATAAAAATAATTATAATATAATAAAAATAATTTTAAATTAAAATTAAAATAACTAATTAGTCTAACTAAAAATTTAAAAATTATAAATTAAAAATTTAAAATAAAAATAAAGTCTATCATTCTTTAAAAAATAAATAAATAAGAGAATAAGTGTACGAACGATAATGAAAGAATGAATATGGTATATAAGACTCAATGAGTATAATACTAATAAATAATGATGAAGATACAACTATGCTATCAACAAGTTAATGATATAATGTTACGTTATATTCGATTTGTTGTACATGTTATTTGTTGAATTAAATTTTATATTTATTATATATGACATATTTTTTTGAAATTAAAATATTTTGCCAATAGCTTTATTTGAAATAATTAGTTCAAATAAAGTAAGAAATTGATTTGATATTAATTATAAATTGTATCATAATTATAAAAGATCTATTAATTACGGTATCAAATCTTATATAAATTTTAACTCATATAATGTTATGCTATCGGTTGTATATACATATGCTACCAACAACTCGATGATATGATGTCACGATATACACTGTTTGTTACGTATTATTTGTTGAATTAATTTTAAATTCTATTATATATAGCTTATTTTTGTTAAAATCAAATATTTTCACAAAAATATATATATATATTTTTTATAAAGTAACTAGTTCAATAAAGTAAAAAATTGATTTGATATTAATTATAAATGTTACCATAATTACAAAAATTAAGTTAATTTCAGTTTCAAAAATTTTCCAAATATTTGAATTAATTAGAAATGTTACTCTAATTAACATAATCTCATTAATTATGATTACAAATCTTATCTAAAATTTGATTACGTTATACCATCGTCAATATATATTTCATCCGTAATTATATAATATGTTTTTTTCATTACTTAATTAATCATGTATTCAGCGTAACGCTAATCGTATGTTATTTTAAGTATAAAATGCTTTTCGTATCATACTTATACGATGTTAAGTATGGAATAATATGCTATTAAAAACAATAAAATATGCTATTGAGTATACTCCGATCAACGCTAATCGTATATTATTTTAAGTTTAAGATGTTTTTTGTATCATACTTATATGATGTCAAGTACAGAAAAATATGCTATTAAAAACAATAAAATATGTTGTTGAGTAGATTCCCATCAACAAGCCGGCAAAATGCGTATACAAGCTTACCTGTATTTGGTGACGAGTCGATGCATTATTGTTGTATGCGATAGCAAGACTGGGATGTGTCTCTCCTAAAATTTTTTTCACTACTTCACATGGCAAAGAATCAACCGATTCAAGATTTTAGGAGAAATTTCGAAATAACATATGAATAAATGTAAAACAAATGATATAAAAATTTATGGATATATTTTTTTAATTTCTTTCCAAAATATTCCTATTCTATATGTAAATCATATTTATTAAGATTGATATAATAAATTTATGTTACTATAATTACTATCGTATATAAAATTACATTTTAATCATTCCTTCAAATCCCATAAGTTAATTTCATTTTCAGCATTGTGCTGATTTACAAGCGAATTGATATATCTATCATATTAATGTATACTGATTTACAATATATCTATCATATTAATGTATATATGTATCTATGAACTACATCTACATTTATTCATAATAATTAATAAAATCAACCAAACATCTACATAATAAATTACATAAAATATTAATCACATGTCCAATTCCTACTTGAATCCACCGGCGAATCAGAACTGACCCGACCCAAACCCATTTCCAAACACACTAAAAACTAAATCATCCATCCATCCATCCAATCCCAACCGTCCCTGGCAATCCAACGGCTCAGATCTTGTCAAGCTTCTTACCTTTGACCACCGGATTGGCCCGGGCGATGGCCGCCCTCCCCGCCGCCTTGTAATCGAACCGGCAGCTGTGCTCCTCCGGGAACCGGTGGGACCCACAGAACGTGAACCCACATCGGCACGTGAATCCCACGAGCCCCACGCGCTTCCGGCACGCGCCGCAGCGGTTAGGGTTTACCGGAGCGTCGATCGATTTCAATTGCGATTGCGAATGGGCGGGAGGGGCAGCTGGCTCGTCGGGCGGCAGAGGAGACGGTGGCTCCGGCGAAAGGAGGGGGTCGCGGTGGCGGAGGGCGGCGTTGGGGAATTTGTCGCGGTAGCATTTGGAGCAGAGATTGTGGGTGGTGGGAGAGCCGAAGAAGCCGCAGTTGTTGGCGCAGGGGCGGTGGTGCCACCTCTGTTCTTCCTCCGCCATGGATGGGGATTATGTGATTGTGCTGCTGCTGTTGCTGCATTGAAATTGAGAGGAGGAGGAGGAGAGGATGGAGGATGGGGTTTTGTTGGGAAGAAAGAAAGAAAGAAGCAAAAGGAATTTTTTTGTGGTTAGTCAACAATGGCGGGAAACCCTTTACGTCATTTGAGGCTCCGAGATGAATCTGCTTTTCTCATTTTCCCTGTTAAACTCCTACTATTAATTATATTTCGTTTAGTACTCACTTTTTTTTCTAATTACTATTATTTTGTTATTTTCTATTTATATTATATTTTGTTATGGTAAATGAAGTAACAATAAAAATAGGAAGAGGTTCAGTGCAGAAGAAATAATTTCTAACATCTAGCTAAATAGATAAAAATTGAATTATCTAATTGAGTTTTAGCTATTGAGTATGAGGTGCTGAAACCGGGTCCATGCTGCAATAAATAATACTAGTAATTCATGTAACAATGCACTTTCAATTCCAAAAAAAACAGTAAATTACTTGAGTGTTAATTAAAGCTAATCAGAACCACTATTAGTACATAGAATGAGATTGATTTGTATTGGCTCAGGACAACCATACTTTCCAAGTATTATATACATACATATACCATATCTTTCCTCAATACATGTGCAATTGTTGGATCACAATATTAACTAACATATCCCTACGTTAGGCAGGAGGAAACATAAAAATCAAACGATTCATTCGTCAAAGCCAGCAAACTCACGATAACAGTGGCGTTTCGATGTCGTCGTCGTCGTTTTCATTGTTCTCCACAGTCTTATGGGCATTGAGGTTCAATGTCCACGCAAACCACAGAGAAATCACCTATGCAACACAACCAAACCACGTAAACAAATGCAGGCAAGCATGATCGACGTAAAGGTTCTATCCAACAACTTACCATGCTTATGGAAGCGAATATAATGCTGAAACCTTTGCAGTCGAAAGGAGCATTGTCCGACAGAAACCACGCTGTAATGGAAACACAACATGCACAAAACCATTCGATTTTCATTGTGATTTAAACAAAAAGCTTTTTAAAAAATGATAGCAAACTTACTCGTCAGTGGACTCATTGCTAGCGGTGAAAGAAGGCTTGCAATTGACTGCACCCCCGCTATGAAACCTTGCGCTTTCCCCTACGGCCCCAAGAAATTTAAATCATGAGGAACATGCTTCCATTTGTAACTTTTTGTATATATATATATATATATATATAGTTGCTTGTACCTGATCTGCGGAGTTTGAAGCCAGTGAAATCACTGCATATGTCTGCAATCGATCAAGCGTGCAGTAAGACAACAAACATGGAGTAAAGGAAATAAATGTTAAGGAATTACAACATACAGAAGGTTTCACAAGGATGTAGATGACACCAAAAGAAGCACTCAAATACGGCACCTGTGTAAGCATTTTAACTAATCAGAAGAGAAATATGCGTCCTCGCTTGTTTCGGATGTAAAATGCAAGCTATATACATACCCATGGTGCCCATGCCAACCCGTAGAGCAGTCCCTGTTCGAACAAATATTTTGTCAGCCATTGTTGAAAGAAGTTGTCAAAGCTAAAGGTTTGGATTTGTCAGAGAATCTTACATATGCTACTGAAGCTAGCAAGCCGGCGCAGAGGATCAGTTTCTCTCCGACTATCGGATTTAGTATGGGAAGTAGCAACATCTTGGAACACACAAGAATTAACGAGCATGAGATAAGACAAGAAAGGACGGCGTAACAGATTGAAACTTTATTGGAGTCGTATTAAGACAGCCTATGGATGAGTCCAGATGCACTGGTCAATTATTACCTGAGAGAAAATCGAGCCAACTCCTACCATCATCAGGATTTCGGATAACTGGTTTTTGTCGAAACCAAAGACTGACTTCAGATAGTACTGCAAGATTGTTGGATTAAGTTAAGAACAATTACCGAAAATTAGACAAAGGCGCAAAGATGTTTACGTGATGTTTAACATTAGAAACGTACAAGCAAAACACCGCTGATTCCGGACATCCCCAATTCATAGAAGAAGGAGATGAGCGAGATGCGGTTAAGAGTCGTGCTGAAGAGAAAATTACTATCATTTTAAACGGATGCTAACGGTAATTTAAAAAAAGCCGCAATATAAATGAAAACATGAAGTACAGATTAGCCTATGTGGAGCAGTATTTGCAATTACCTGTCAGTGACTACATTTACAGCAGTCCTCATTGAGTGATATCGTTCTTGGACGATTGTGATAGTCTTTTTGAAGAAAGGTATACGCTGGTTGGCCTTTTGTGCTGGCCTTCTTGTCTCAGTCAGAAACAGTGACATGTAAAGAGGGACAAAGATCAACAGAGCTATCGATACCTAGTATTGGTAAAAGACAGTGGTGAATACATGAAAGGTAATTGCAATTGCAAGTGTAAAAATCGTGTAACGAAATAAGGCTACCTCAAAAATGTAATCTTCTGGCAGAAACCGTGCAAGGATGTTTCCTACAACATGAGATGCAGAAAACAGGCCTGTGATCCAGCTAAAGGCGACAGCCCTCTTACTGTCTTCGACAACGTCTGCCTAATTAAAGGATGGTTAAAATAGTTAGTATATATATCGAGTCTCTGAATCATGGCAATGTGATGTTCGATTGTAAATTTGTAATGGCATTGAACAAACTTACAGCATATGCCACAGCAATGCAGAAAATGCTGCCCTGACTGATGATGTAAGAAACTGTCCGGAGAATGTAGTAAGCATACACAGAGCTTCTAGACTGGTTGATAGCGAGTAAAGCTGAAAAATGAAAATTACGTGATGTTAAGACAAAGTTCAAAATACATAACAAAATTTAGTCTGAGGATTGAAGGTGTCGAGAGAAGCATACTGAAAGGAACAATAGTTGTTGAGACAGTGAGAAGAAGCAACGGTTTACGCCCATAGTCGTCAGCCAACTGACCCAACAGTGGAAGGACTATCATCTTGAATATTCCCACAACCTTCGGATAAAAAACAATGTGAAAAACTTGATTGGTATATATCTTACAATTAAGTAGCTATTCAATAAGTTTAACCTCTGGTTAAACAAAATTTAACAGTGGTTTTCAACAGATCTTACTCAAGATAATCATTCAATAGATCATACTGTAACTTCTGGTTCAATATGAATGATCAAGCTAGAACTGCTGGACGAAGATCAAACTGCTATAAACAGACACAGCACAATGAAGTTCAAAAATGCTAAAAGGGCATATGATCCCTAAGCTTTGTGCAATAAAGTGATCAGACTAAAAGGAAGAATCCAAAATCAGGCATATACTGCAAACGAATGGTAAAAAAAACAAGTATTAAAGTAGAAGCACCCAAAATCCACATTACGAATAGGCCAAGACATTAACGATCAAAGCTTTCCAACGGCGAGGACAGCAGAAAACAGATAATTCGAGGAAGATACAAACCGTTTGCTGGACGCCATTGACGTAGATGGCCTGAGGGCAGGTCGTGTGGCCAGGGCAAAGAGCATTTGTTGTCACATCCACGAGGACCGACACAGTCATCTCCTCCGCAACCCAGTGGACGCATAACGGCAGCAGCAGGTGCACCAATGGCCGCAGAGTCTTCATTCCTTCTGCCTCGACCACTCGCGATTGTCGATACTCTCTGCACTCACGATCAAAAGGAAGTTGCGCAGTAATGGCTCCTCTCCTCCGTATCGGAATCCGCAGAGGGATTTATCGAAATGCGGAGTTGGGGGGTTGTTGGAGGTGAGGCAATTTCAGTCAACCGAAGATGTTGAAGTGCTTCGAGGGGTTGTACGTTCCGCTGACATGGTTGTGCTTTGCCAGCGGTGCAGGGTGCCGCCGTGCGGCACTGCGCTTTCGCGTGCCCGGCGTCGATGGGCGCGTGGCGAATCAGTGGCGGCCATTTCCTTACCAATTGTAAATATGAAGTCCCGGACTCCCAAAAAACTTGGGCCAGCAAAAGCCCAAGTTTATTTGGGCCTTCATACGGATGCTCCAGTTAAAAAAAAAAAGAGCTCCAGACAAGTCACGTGACGGGCACGTGACGTCCCCGGAGCGATGGCAGAAGGTACGAATAACGAAAGCACGCAAAACGACACAGGAAGGAAAGAAAAGATATAAAGAAATTAAAGAAAGAAATATAAAGCTCCATCAGTAGTCGTCAAACCCTATCTTCTCCGTCTTCGTCGACGCGCTCTCTCGCCTCCACCAACCCTAATCGAATTCGACTGAACGATATGCATTTCGAAGCTTTCTTCGAATCGGGGGCCTGCGGTCCCTCGATTTTTAGCTGAGTTCTCTCTAATTGGCAGGTTGTGGAATCAAGCAGTGATATTCCGCCGAGGTTATTCGAAAGCGTTCATGGAGGATTCCGCCGCCGCGGCGTCGTCAGCGGACGACGGACCGGAGTCTTGGGAGATTGCTGATGTCGACGCCAGCATGCGCCGACTCATGCTTACCTCCAGAAAGGATTCGAATAATAAGCAGGAAGAGACTGCTGAGGGTTCCGGTGTCAGTTCGGCCGTGGGGAAGGGCTCGAATGGACCGACGGAGGATTTGATTAACTCGGTGGATAACTTTCTGCGGGAAGCTATACAGAATCCTCGCGAGCGTGTCTCTGGTGAGTTTTCTTTCTAGTAATTTTCGCTTCTTTTGCCTTTTCGATATATTCTTGTCCAAGTTTGGGAATTTTATTTGAGTTTCATGTAAGTTGTGTTGTGTGTGTTTTTTTACTGCCATTTATGGATAGATTCTTGTTTTTATTAATTCTCTGGATACTGAAATCAGATTTTAAATTGGATATAAATACAAATGTAATTTTTCAAGAAAGTGTTATATTCATCTTGCTAGTTCAGTTTTTTGGAGAGAATCTGCAGTCTTGCAAGTATTATGTACTGTAGTAGAAATTTATGAATTCAAATAACCCAAGAATTGAAGTGGATTTTGAACAAGAAAGTGAAGTTATCATCTTTGTGCAATTCAACATTAGATATTTATAATTAGTTTATCAGATTTTCCTGATTGCACAGAGCAATGAAATTCAACTACTGTGAGAAGTCTAAATTCCTAATCAATTGCGGGGAAGAAGTAAAGAGGATTATCCTTTTCATATGTCTTCCTGATTTCTTCTGAATAAGTGATCAAATGGAAGATTTCCATTGATGAACACATCCTCAAGTGTTTGAATTTTGAAATACTTTGAAATTCAACTCTATTATCATCTGTGGCTGAATATGGGAACTGAGAAGCCAACAGGAAGACTGATTCTTGTTTTCAATTTAAATAGAGGCTAAGCCCTAGGAACAATGGTATTTTATACTTGTTTTCTTTTCTGTTAAAGATTGTTCATATTGCATTTCTATGGGCGATTGTAAAACTTATACTCCAATTGGTAGTGCTACCTTGCTCATGATTAATCCATACTTGTCTCTATAATATTGATTTTGGTTGTACGTTTCTAGCATTGTATTGTTTTTTTATAATGGTATTTCAATGGTCCAGTTTTGCGGATGGAGCAGGAGGTGGAGAAGTTCATCCGGGATCCAACTAGAGAGCAAATGGAGTTTCAACAGCTTCCGACTTCTTACTTACGCTTGGCTGCACATCGTGTAGCACAACACTACTCACTGCAGTCAATGGTTTTATTGGATAATAGCTTACCTGATGGCTCTGGATCCAGAATCATTGTTCGCAAAACTTCTAATATCCGGCGTCCTTTGCTTCGACTTGCCGAAATTCCTGTAAATTTACCCACCGAAGAGAGTGGTTCTGTCAAGGTTGCTATTAAGCAGAGGCCACAAAAGGCATCACATAGTAGTGGCAACTCAAATTTGCAATCGGCAAAATCGAATAGTTCCAAAAGCGTGGAGGAAAGGAAGGAGGAATATAATAAGGCCCGAGCACGGATTTTTAGCTCCAGCAGTTCTAGTGGAACCTCCAGTGGTAAGCTAGAAAGCAATCCAAGAATTCAGGATACTTTTCAACAAGGTTCGCTCGCAAGAACAAAGACGGAAGAGAGAAATTTTCAAGTTGATGAATCCGATGTGATGATTAGCAGAAGTTTATCCGACTCTTCTGCATCAAATAGAAGAGGGCCTAGAAATAGGACAGATAAGGAGCCCATTGGCAGAACAAAGACAAATAATAGGGTGGCTATCTTCCGAGATCGTGAGGTTGATCGGAAAGATCCAGACTATAATAGGAGCTATGACAGGTACGTTCTTATCTATGCTAAATCCTTCAGATTTAGATAATTTTACTTCTAGGTGATGTTGAATCATGGATTTCATATTTTTCGCATATGTGCTTGTCATCTATTCTGTCGGTCATGTACTTGGGAATTTTCTTCTACGTACACCCATTGTTGGAGAAATATATGATATAACTTGAAGTAGCCTATCTTTCAATTGTTGTAAGCTTCTAGGAGATATAGTCATTTAACTTGCTATTAGAGGTTGTGTCGCGCACTCATGTATTGAAGTGTTTCATGTGCTAGATATAAATAAACATGACATAATATTTATGTAGGAATAAATATTCATAAATATAAATACATCATCCTTATGATCACTTAACAAGTACCTTACTGCAAGCGTTGTTTTATTTTGCTAACCAGTCTTTCAATTTTCTGTGGTACTAAATATAAATCATCAAACCCATTGATCATACGATATTAGTTCCCAAAAAATGAAAGATAAAAATAAAATCAGCCCTTTCGGAAGGCATACTTAATTTGAAGTGTGACATTTAAGGCTACTCACTAGGCATTTTAGACAATCCATTTTGGTCTAGTATTATAATGTCTTATCTTTTGTTGTAGATATGTGCAGAGGTTTGACCCTGGTTTTGGATTTACTGGAGGTCCGTATGCTGTTCAGCCTATGTATGCACCTGCAATAAACTACAACACGGAGTTCCCACAGCTTGGATCAAACCACAGGCTCCAAATTTCTTCTGAGCATCAGCCTCGACCTGTTCCCCAGCAACTACCTGGGCCATGGGTTCCTCCATCTGCTCCTGCCGGGATTGGGTATGGTCCTGCTGATGCCATGTTGTCTCCATTTAGTTCTGGTCATGTCAATGCACATCCCAACCCTGCTCTGTACCTACACTCTCCTCAGTACCCCACACAGAGACCTGGACTGCCGTATATTCGTCCTCTTGAACCTATTCACCAGCCCTTTTCACAGGTATGCTAATGATTTAAATTTTGAAAGTTGTATAATATCTTTCTCATGATCTCAAAAGGTTCACATACCCTATCAGATAATAATGATTATGCCCACAGAATTAGATGACTTGCATCTATTTGTAAAATTTTGAGGGATAAACTCGCAAAAGTTGCCATTATGTCAAGTTTGGAACCTACCCGTGGTGTTTAGCTCTTGGTCGATTTGTAGTATGTTATAGAATATAGGTCCTTGGAAAGTTGTTTATGGCTAGCAAGTGTGGAACCTTTGTTAGGATGCTATCACTATTCACTAATGCATTTCTTTAGCAACATAGGTTTCATTAAGAATCCCATAATTTAACTGTCCTTTGCTTCTCTCTCTTTTCAGCCACATCAGCAGCAGCATCCTGATGCAAGTTTCGGACTAGCCCGGCCCCGGTGAGGGGCCTGGACCATGCCTGCACCCTGGTAGGAAATAACTGGCCTCGATCTGACCTTAGCAGCAGCATATATGGCCATTACTGACCAGGGTGCAGGCAAAATGAACTGGGACCTGCTGGGTAATGGCATCTGATCTTGCACTGGATGCTTGTAATCTTTCCGGCCGGTCCCAGTTCAACATAGCTCTGTGTTCAACAGGGCTTGTAAAACAGTGGCACTGGACATGTTTAGTACTTTGTCAGTGCCCATGATGACGATGAAGAAATCGGAGAAGGCGGAGCTTTCATATTTGTGGTCCATGTTTGGCACAGGTATCTTCCAACACCATTTGTGGTTTCTGATTCTGTTAGAATTAGATATGAACGCATGGCCATTATCATTTATTAGGTTTGCTCATTTTTGTTTGTTTTTTGTTTTTTTTTTTTCTTTTTTTATCACAGCACTGGTTCATATCTTGTGGAGTTGAAATATGGCTCTCATTTGACTACACGGTTGGTCTCTGATCTGATTATCGGTGCTATGATGCTAACTTGGGCTTTTGTTTAGAACTCTGGTTGTAACTCGTTTAATGTTTGTCTTAGTTGCTTAAATAACAAGATGAATTACTACAGTTAGTTCTAAGAGCTATACTGCCTTTGATCAATGAATCTTGTCAAATCTTTGTGCTTGTTTTCCCGAAACATTCGACTGGTGCGTATACCCTCTATGCTGATGTTTGTGGGAGCTTAAGTTATTATATGGGAGGTAAAACCTCATCCTGACTTATTTTAAATTTTGTGTGCTACTCTGTTGGCTAAAGAGACAAAAATATGCATATTCTCTAACAAATGCATAGGTCTAAGATGTTTATAAGCTCAACATATGATATATAGATTAAAAGACAAGCGATGTTTGCTACCTCAGTTTTGCTTAATGTAGTATATTTTATATGGAGTTATATATACATATATATATATATATGTGTGTGTGTGTGTGTGTATGTGCCTGCATGCATGTGCTTTCTACTAAATATATACGTGCTAAAAATTATATAGTAGCGTTATATGTGCCTTTCAAATTGTTTCTGCATGCTTCTACGTCTGAATTCTCTAGAGATAATCTTCAATTACACTAGCATAGGCATGTTGAAATTGTATCTCTACATCTGGTGCATTTGCAAATTCCCTTCGCACATGTTATTGGAAAGTTCAATAGGTATGTAAAGATGTATTTTAAACCATCGTTACATCTAAACGCTCTGGATATCATCGTCAAATGTTCTAGTTAAAAAATCACATAGTTGTGCTATATGTGTTTGGAAGTCTTGCTACATCACAAATATGTGTTAAAAAGAGTGTTGAGAGATGTGTTTGAAAACATCACTCTGAAGATTTCCTCACATATACATGTTAAAAAATTTCCATAAACATGCTTAAGTCTTAACACATGTGTAAAAGATCTTATTCACATTCGGGGTATCCAGAGATTCTCCTCAAATAGACATGTAATAGATTTTATTTCTACATTCGGAGAAGGTGAAATGTTTCATAGTGTGTTGAAACTTAAATATAGGTATGAAATCAAAGATTCTCTCAAATAGGGCAACTTTTCTAGCTGCTACTGAAACCAATGCCAACAAAAAACAAAAAGTTATCTGATCTTTCTAATAAATAATGGAAACAAACTTATTTGATATTGCTGATTAATGCATTGGGGAACAGAGAGACTAGGACAATGTTACATCCTTGTGGAATTCATGAAGTCCAAATGTTCATTAGAGGGAGGGCATGTTTGAATTCATATTAGAGTAGCAAGCAAGAGCATGCACTGCAACAACCTTCTTGCCTTTGTTTTTTATATCCCTACACATGTTTGAGGAGACATTATTTATCTGTTTCATATACTAAGTCAGTCTTCCTATGCACACTTAACGTTCCCTTAGCTTCAATTCTCTTGTGTCCCCTTGAATAAAACCTTAAAATCAGTAAAGCTATTTCACATGCTATCTAAGGCATGGGTGGTGTTTTGAGATGATGTACCACACATACACATGTTAAAGCAATTCTAGATATCTTTTTAGCAGGAGCTAAGGAAAGGGCCGAGGCTTTACAGTTTATGGCCGTGGTGCCCTTTCTCGTGCCCCCACGACTGTATGTGTTGGTACACAAGTTGTATAAATTCAGGCCGATGGTTCTAACAGTTTCACATGGTTTCCTCACTTGTGGGATTTCCTGCGTTTGAGTAGCTTGTGTAAACAGGTTTGATTTCTACTTCCAACCTCCTGTTCATTACACATGCCCACACACGTGCACATAAACACATTGTGCAACCTCATTGGTACACCAAACATGGTGTATGTAGTATTTTTGTTCCTATAGCTGCATTTAATTCTGTTTTCTTTAATACTATTGAATTCAGTTTGAACCGATCCGTCACCTTGCTATATGTAAGCATTGACATGAATTGGGTTCAAACTAAATTTCAATATACAATTGTGGAAGAAAGTTTAACATAGTTGAATTATGTTAAATTACCACACTGAACAGGAGAAAGCGAATTAAATTTTGCAAGATTGCGAGGCATATGTTTCCAATAAAGAAACAAACGCAGTGGGGCTTGCATGCATATGGTTTCACAGCACAAACATTCCAGTATATTTTTAACTAACCTTGAATGCAGTAGGTTCACCTCACTCCTGTTTATTTTTCAGATCTTGGAGATGGAGAAGCAGAACACGGACCTGTTCCTGGCCAACTGTGTGATGATTTGTGAGAATGAAAGGCTGCGCAGGGAAGCCGAGCGTCTCAATAAGGAGAACCAGGCGTTGCTGTCACAGTTGAAGCAGAGATTTTCAGGTGAACAAAAATCTGAAACCCGTGCCAGCACCAGCAGCAGCGCAGGCAGAGGCGCGGGAATCAGATTGATGACGGGTGACCAGAAGTGAGATTACTCAGTTCTCCAGGAGAGTTAATGTAGAATGACCATGAGCCATAAGCCATCCCTACTTCCATTAATGCATACTCCTTTAACTAAAATACTCGATTATAACAAAAATCATCAGTTGTATGATGTTATATGGATGAGGAATAAAATTCTATGAACTAGTTTATGGCCCTACTATTTGTTCCAGTGGTGTCTTTTATTGTTGGTTCTGAATTATAGCTATTACTTTTTGTCTTTGTAAAGAAAAAGTATTAATTTGAGAGCATTGTAGATTTGGACCAACCTTGAACACAATCACAATAGGAAGGCGATCTACGACATGAGACTAGAATCACCTTTCTATTAGCGAGTTAAACTGGAAATTACATAACTAAGTTAAATTTGAAAATGCATAATTGAAATTTTACACTAAGTTACAATATAATAAATACAAAATATAATATAGATTAGATTAAATTAAAATCAAATGACTAATGGGCTCTCTAGCTATATCTTGAAGCAAGGCTAAACTTTTAACTTGATTTTGTTGTCTTAAAGAAATTAGGGGGATTTGATTGAGGGAAGTAATATATAGAGGCTTTATTTTATTGTATCTTTGCATGGCTTTACTAAAGCCTGCGTGTATGTGGGAGGGAGCCTTTTAACCTTTTATGTCATTTTTGGTTTCAAATTCAAGGTTGATTTGAGTTGCTATTGGATTATCATTTTTATCTAAAGGTATTTCAATTTTAATATTAAAAAATATTGCCTTTTAACTTCTGTATCAACCACAAAGTTGGAAGTATACGTAATCTAACTGTATATGAGTTGATATTTACACATCTTTAACTTATCATACCTAATTTTATAATTCATCTGATCTAGGAAACAGTTGTACAGCTCTGTAAACTTTAAATGAATCCATGGAGAGCATGATCGTTAAATCAAAATTCCAATAATGTATCTTCAGTAAAGTTGAAACAAAATGCATAGAACACAAAATGAAATCAATTCGCGCAAACTACTTCACCGAATTTTCCTTCGATATCCATAGAACGAGTATCCAGCAGCATTCTCAACTTGCTTAGATATCCATAAGATAGCGAGCGACGCATTGCCTCGACTCACTCTACAGTTAGAAGTCCGAGCATCACACCACCAAACTGAAATGAAAATAATGAACATACGAATAGCGGATACATTCTGAGAAGTAGCGAACCTTCTGCGGTGGCACGGCCTCCTCCACCGAGCGAAATATATATTGAAAACCGCGCTCCGGCAAGCATTTACACTGAAACTGAATTTTGTTGGAGTGATGATCGCACAAACGCGCACACATATATATAGCCCTGGTTAATTTCCAAATTGCCCTCCAACTATACGCCTCTATCAATCTGCCCCCTAAAATAACTTCACTCAATTTACCTCCAAGTCCTCTATTTATTACCTTATCTCAAAAGGTCCCTAACATTTTCCTCCTATTTAGATTCACTGGAAAAGCTCCGATGAAACGATTTCTTTCGCACCAAGAAAAAGCTGAATAATCGAACGATCAGATCTCCTCCGATCCATGGCGAAGGAATTCAATGTGCCGCCGGTGGTTTTCCCGTCCAGCGGCAACCCCGCAGCCCCATCTGCTGGTCCACAGCAGCGCCGACTGCCGACGGCGCCGTTCCAACCGCCGAGATCCTCAAACCCCGGCCTCCCCTTCCTCTCGTTCGACGTGAACTCCGCCGCCGCATCCACCTCCTTCTCGGCTGCGCCGCAGTTCCCTCCCAACATCGGCGGAGGCGGTGGGGGAGTCGGGTTTGATGACGAGCCGCCGCTCCTCGAGGAGCTTGGAATCAACACCAAGCAAATCTACCAGAAGACGCTCTCGATTCTCAATCCTTTCCGCCTCAATCACCACCTCCACGAGGACGCGGATCTCTCCGGGCCGTTCCTGTTCCTGATGGCGTTCGGATTGTTCCAGCTCCTCGCCGGTAAATTGCACTTCGGAATCATCCTCGGATGGGTGACAATGGCGTCAATTTTCCTCTATGTGGTGTTCAACATGCTCGCCGGAAAAAATGGGAATTTAGATATGTACAAGTGTCTCAGCCTGATTGGCTACTGTATGCTTCCGATTGTGATGTTATCGGCGATTTCGCTGTTCGTGCCGCAGGGCGGGATGGTGATCATGGTAGTGACAGGGATATTTGTGATCTGGTCGACACGTGTCTGCACTGGATTGGTGGTGGAGCTAGCGAGCTGTGGCGATGAACACAGGGGCCTAATCACGTATGCTTGCTTCTTGATTTACATGCTTTTCTCACTGCTAGTGATTTTCTAGTGGAGCAAGAGCAACACCATTACACTAGGTTTGAGTTACATTTTGATTTATAATAGTTTTTTGAGCTTAGCTTGGATTTATTGAACTGTTGTTTTATTTTTTTTTCTTTTTATGTTTGTGGGTTTTTACAATTGTGAGGATTCTTAGTGGGATAGAGATATGATCATAATTTTGTTGTGGAATTAATGTGATTCATAATGGAATGAGGAATTTAGTCAATTTGTGATGAGCAAGTCATTTCTTGAATAGGGATGTTAATGGACTGAATTGTGTGTCCATTTAGTTTGAAATGTGTCTCCTTGACAGGTGAAGGGATTGGTATGATGGTGTCGGGGAGTTTGTCGGATATTTGATTGAGTTGAATCAATTTGCGATGACTGGTTAGAGGTCTTTAATATGACATTCGTGGTATGGGATTATGAAATTGTTTTGTGTTGAATGTGCATGGTGAAAGATTGAAAAATATTTGAGTTTGATGACAAACTCAATTTGAACACCTGATTTAATCTTCTTTCACAATTTCCGGGATTCACATGAACTGAAAAATGTTTTCTTTCATGCTACAAGTCCATTTTTGCACCAATTGTTCTAAGAGAATGTTTGTTATTTAAATTCTTTAAGTAAACTGAATTCAGCTTACTAACTATGGGCTGCCGTAAATCCAATAATGCGTTTATGGATAGGTGAAGGGTGTAAATTTATCAAGTGAAGCAGGGAGATTAAACCGAGTTTAAATTAATTTTATTATTATGGACATTTATCTTGAATATAGCCAATAATGGATTGACATAATGTTAAATGAGCGTGCTGCTTGATATGTTAAGTGATTGATGCAATTACATAGAGGATCGGGTGAGATTTAATGCTTTCAATTAATATGTGATGATGGGATGATGTTTCGGAAATAGTTGTTAATGGAATGAAATTGCTTATCTTTTACTGTTAGTTGCATGCGGTTCTCGATATGTGAAGTCACCAGGTATTGAATAGCTGGTGAGATTTAGTGAAATCTAGTGAAATCCACCCATTCCGTGCCATCCGAATGATCACTATAACCGGAATGTTATTTTCGAGTACAGCTTTTACTATCAAAATCTGTGGTTTTTACATGGAGAAGCCTTTGGGAGTTGCTACTATTTAATGAATTTGTGATTACGAACTGTCGAGCACTTGTGGTTCTTAACTGAGTGACTGGAATAGTTGTATGGTACTGACAGAAGATGTCTTTGAAACTGCTTATCGTTGAAATGAAAATGTGTTTTCCTTTTTTTTGTTCGATGTTGGATCTTGAACTCGCGAAGGAGTGATTCGAGTTGTGTTGAGAAGCTCAAATGATTCGCTACCTCGCTATATGTTATATATTGTTGAGAAGAATGTGTCCAGTTAGCAACAATATATTGAACATTTTGATCCTAGTTGTCATTTTGGTCATTTTCTACTTAGAAACTGATAGCATACTTGGAATTTTTCAAATTTTCAAGAGTTCAGCATTGAAGATAAACTATTGAAGTCATCCAATTAAGGGATAGTTTCTTTCTTGTACAGTACATTCAAGAACTTTTGAATATCCTTTGTTTGATGATACTTATTTCAGTGATTTTTATTTGAGTTTTATATATTTATGCAATGATTCAATGGCCAGAGCATGTAAGAAAGTAACTGGTGCTGAATTATAAACTGAATAATTCAGTAAAACTAAAACCCACATTTGAACATAGGTTTAAATTAGAAAAAGTATGACATCTTATTTTTTAAAGTATGGGAACTAAAAAACCACAAGTCAATAGACATGAAAAAGCACAAACACCATAAAGCCACAAAACTTGAATAAGCCTCAAGGACCATACAATTCCACACATCAAAGCTACATGGTACCTTGGTTTTCTCTTCACTTGGGAAACCCGGTTTCGGGGTTGATAAGGGATTGGCTTTCGTCTGTTAATACTGCCGGGCCTCTTCCAGGCCTCGTGCAGATGAAATAACTGACCTCTCCCTTGTACCTTTGGCTCGAACTATTCTCTTTAACTTCTGGGGGTGGAGCTAAACCATCAATGTCTTTAATTCCCTGGATGCCGGCATCTTTCAATATTGTCTTGTCTCCGATGACGTAACTGTTGAGGAGAAATATGATCAATCATCTGATGTTGAAAGTATATGCAAGAAAACATTTCATTGAATCTTATCCCCCAAAACTACCTGTTCAAATCAGTGTCTGATTGAGGGGGGAAGTAAAAGAGCAGCCTCTTAAGCAGGTCAGCAGCGGTGCTTCTGTTATGCGAAATTAGTACTGCATTTGGGCCGGCATCGAAGGTATAGGCAACCTGTGAAGTATATTTTGTAAACATACCATAAGTGAGTTGGAGATTATTTGCAAATTACTATTTCTACTCCTAACCACAAATGGAAAAGAAAAGGGAGAAGCAGTTCTCAATGAAAAAAATTCTCCTCGCATCGGCTGCTGCTCTGTTTTAATTTTTAACAACTGAATTACTACTAGAATAGTCTATATTTCGTGAATATCATTTCAATTGTAATTGTGGCTAAACATATTTCTTGACATAGAGATTAATAATGAAGCACTTTGTTTCTTGATTATTTCAAGGTTTCAACCACTGCTACCACTTCTAATGTTAAGTTCTTATTCTGATTTTAACTAGAAATGACAATTAGAAGCTTTTGCAAACTGTAGGGCTCACAATATTACTTGGTTAAAACAGGTGAATTATACTATGATAAAAACAAAGGAAACAATCTATGATTTTCTTGATTCATATGATGTGTGGTCACGTATACCATTTAAGAAGCAAAAAGTATAAGAGAAAAGAACCTGAGGAGTTCCTTCATGACGATTCCATTTCTCAACACAGCTGATAATCCTGAAACATTGATGTCTTCATATTAATAACTAACAAAGAATAAGATGCTAATCGATAAAAATATGGAGGGGAAGAGTAAGTTTAACAAAAGATGCTTGCCTATGAGATGTATCATTCATGTAAGAAATAGGCGGTGAGGTATCAAGACAAACAGCATGAAACTGATTACTGTCCGCACATGCCAGCCGGGCAAATGATGGAAAATCACGCTTTTGTATCGCTTCCTCCATCTCTATTACTCGTTTTGGTACTACTTCCTATGAAATTTCAATTGCACACAACAATCCAAGATAATTAAGCATACCGGTCAGGCTTAAAGTTATCACAATGACAAATACCGACATCTAATGAGATGCGAAATGCCCACAAAATCGTAACACAGGTTTAAAATATACCTTTGCTCTATATTTGATAAGTGCACTGGTTTCAACGGAATCACGCATCCCAGAGGTACTACTGGTCTCCTTCTGTCGCGAGCTTACCTGAGAAGAAAATAGGGCATGGCAGGCATTAACCAATAGAAAAGTATTTGCTTCATTAATTATTTTTTTCAATTAAGGTAAAAATATCCACAGTTTAAACCTTTTCAACTGATATATTAATGCAACTATCATGAAAATAGGGACTACCTTACAAGAAAGACATGGCAGTAACTAATATACTAGAAGTATAGAGAGCTATTACAATATTTAGAAATCTGTAAATGTAAAATTTGAGTGAGCAAAGCAAGAAGGGATATTTTTTCATTGTTTATCTTTTCTAGTTGAATACAAATGCTCACACACAATATATCTTCCATATATTAAGTTTATATATATATATATATATGAAAGATGGATGCTCACCACTGCAATGATGATAACAAGATCATCCCAGTGCTTTTCATCTGCAAGTTGGACAGCAATGCTGTCACTGCCATTTTCCTCCTTCAGTCATAAAGACAAGAAAATTATTCACAATATTTTCAAAATATACGAGTATGATGCATTCTCCAGAACAAACATACTTTTCCCATAACCCACTTGACGAATCCACCAAACAGGCTGCGGCATGCACTCCCTGAGCCTTGCCTAAATAAAATGCACAGATAAATTGTTTACTATTTATACTGAACATTTGTAGGTGTATTTCTAAACATCTAAAAAAAATTCAGAACACCCAAATCCACTGAATGGCATTTCCATACATAACATTTCATCTTCATACATAAATAAAAAAATAAAAAAAAAAAAAAAAAAAAAAACTAGCAATTTAACAATAATTCAACCACTAGCCCATATTCACAATCAAATTCAAATCGAAATTTATTTATGCTTATATACCTCTTTAACCTAACACCTAAACATCACTCTCAAGTCTCATCCTTCATCAATATTTCAATCACTATATATACAAGATACTTCATATAATATAGTATACACTAAAAAAACACCATTCATTGTTAGTTAAGGCAACAAAAACAAATGACAAAATTATCTAGAGCCACATCTAGACATTAATGAGAACCTAAGAGAAATTATTGCAAATAATAGTTTTCAAGGGGAACAAGACATAAATATTTATGGGGTTCTATGTAGTTTCATTTTTCAGATATGTAAAAAGCGTCTCAGACCAATGATCTTTGAATAATGTGAATTAGTGGATGTATAATTACCTTGCAATAGCAGACAGTTGACTGTGGTCTTCTTTCACATTCATTAGCTTAGCCAATGAGAAGACTGTAAAACAAACCACAGTGTAAATGTTGCATGCAGAAACATGTATTCACAGAACATTGCAACCCTAAATCTAGCACATAAAGCTCTGGTTTCCATTATCCCATAATTTGGACAACATTGGAAAGAAGAAAGCAACATCCCATAATATCTTAATCAATTTCTTTTGGGGGGAAATTTGAAATTACCCAGGCATGCCAAGCCCGCAGCTGATGACGCCAATCCGGCAGCAGTAGGAAAATTGTTATAGGAAACAATATGTACATGCAGTTTCTCCCAGTCCTCTTTTGCAATCTTAATGCCCTTCTCCTTGTCCTCGACATCACTAGCACGTGACCGAATTTCTCTCAAGCAATTCTGAAATCTGCTTCCAGAAAGAGAGACCTCCTGAGCAAAAAATATTTGATAGGCAAACAAATGCGTCAGAATCTTTGATGCAAGATAGTTTCATTTTTGAGATTTCCATTCTACCAACAAAATTTAGAAGATAAAATTGAAATTTAATGAAATAGATCCAGGGATAAACAACAATAGAGTAATTTGAACTTTGAAATATCTCTTAATGTGCTGTTCTAAAAGTATAATCAAGAAACAGACTATCCAAAAGACTCTCATACTGCCATTAATGATTACACAACATATTTATCTACCAATGGACCTGAATGTGTATTGCTTTCTAAAAATCTAAACATAAAAAATGGAGGATTTTGAGTCGCCTGTGAAAGAGAAGTGAAGAGAGTACAATAACTTCACATGTTCGTGCACAGTCAAGCTCCTAGTTGAACTACTAAGGGTTTTAATCAATGAATCGCTTTCAATCCAAATATTGAAGAGTTTCTTCACGTCTCAAATCAGCATCAATGTAAACTCCAAATCAAATTGAAGAACAAATTTAACTGGCATGGATCGATAAATCAACCAAGCGTACCTTGCCGTTGAGCCAAATACGATCGTGAGTGAAAGCGGGGCTAACTGCGACGGAGGTGGTGGTGCAGAGGTGATCGGGGTCGAGAGTGACGCTAATGCTGTCGTTAATGGGAAGAATCCTGTCCTCGTCGCGCTTCCCCCAGTACTTGATGACGGCGATGTTGGTCGGCGTCTGCGCCGTCACGGAGAGCACCCATTTCTCAGCCGCCATCCGCCGGCGTGGATCGGATCGGATCTGAGCAGAGCAGAGGGGATCGGGGGATCAAAGGGAATAGGGAATGCGGAACACGTGATAGGAGGAGAGAACGAGGAGTGGAGTGATGACTACTTATTATTATTATAGCTACGCCACCATTGTTGAATGTTGAATCCACTTCCGCCATTTTTTGGTATATATCATCATATCATATTGATTATTATTCAATAAATAAATAAATTCATTATTATTAAATTTGTTGTACAATTCATATGATCATATGAATAGGGTTTGTTTTTGATGAAGTTTAAAATTAATTTAAAATAATTACAGTAAGTATTGCAGGAAACAAACACGATGGAATTTGTGGACCCCGCGATGTTTCTGTATTACATCTACGACTACCAACAAAGTAAGGAATAATTACTCATCGAACAATAATTAATTAATTCCTCCCCAGCCAGCGAATTTGACCAATACCGAAATATGCATGTGCATTAGTGAAGTGATCAAACAACTTCTCTAATTCCTACCAAAATTGAAAAGGAAAAGTCGCACGAAATAACGATTTTACCTTTTAAGTGGTCCAAATAAATCAACTACTCACATTTCTTGACTGCAACAATTAATATTCAATTCCTTGTATAAAATAAATGGTGAATAACAACAAAAGTGTTTTTGTTGTTTTTTGGCCTTAGGCTTCAAACTTGTTAGCAGACTTCATAGTCCATAAGATAAGACATTTGTTATCAAGATTAATAACAAAAAAAAAAACATAATGGATTGCAGTGGTGGAAGCTTAAGTCTGAATTTACCAGTACCCTTTGATTATTTATTTTCCATGTTCAAAAATAAAAAAAAAAAAAATGTAGTTAGTGGAGCTCTAATAACAAGTCAAGTTGAAATTGAGGATTTTGTCTCCATAACATGGGAAATTGACAAAGATATAATACTAAATGTTAACATCCAAAGTAATTGGGCCAAAGTTAAAAAAAAAATTATTTCTATTATATTTGAGCCTACACCCAAGGAATTGATCTCATGATCAAATAGGGTATTTTCTATTTTATAATTTAGATTCTTTATTTCTCAATATCATATAATATCATTACAAATATTATTTAAATATAAAATTTAACGCGAAGCCAGGCATGTCGGAATCGTAGACTGGCACCACAAGTCAACGAGCCCTTCCAGCGCGCTTATGCCTTTACACTTAACTCTAACTCTAGAGTTCTTTCAAATCTATTCAATTCATTTACCATCTGATTCAACCTTAAGGGTGTTTCATCCTCCCGACCCATATCACTTTTCAACTTCGGGGGTATTACAATTAATATAGAAGAAAGTTCAATACGATCATGATTGAGTAGAAATCAGTTGGACGGGCCACTGCCTAAGTCCCTTCTCGATTGTAAGCAACTACAAGTTCTTGATGTCGGTTACAATGCAATACAAGATTCATTTCCATTGCGGATCAAAAGCCTCCTAAATCTTCGAGTCCTCATCATAAAGTCCAATAGATTCTATGGAAATGTATTGCCTTCTTTAAAGACCTTGCGTGCCTTTTCCCAAGGTGCAAATTTTGGACATATCGCACGACATGTTTTCCGGGCGAAAACCTGATGAATACATGAAGAATTTTGCAGCCATGATGAATGAAATATATCTAAAAGTGAAGGAAGAAACTGGTTTTTGGCTTACCAAGAATCGGTGGTTCTAGTTGTGAAAGGCCCCGAGCAACCAACAATGAGGATATTAGTAGAGTTTACGATCATTGATCTATCCAAGAATGGATTTGATGGAAGTATTCCAGGTTCAGTTGGGAATCTCCAATCTTTGAAATACTTGAATCTTTCACATAACAAGCTCATTGGATCAATCCCTACGTCGTTTGGGAATTTAAAGCCGCTTGAAGCTTTAGATCTTTCCTCGAACCAATTGGTGGGAAAAATTCCGACAAAGTTAGTTAGATTGACATCTCTTGCAAAGTTAAACCTTTCATGGAATCATCTTACCGGGGCTTTACCTTGGAGTTTTCAGTTTCAAACATTCGACAGCACATCGAATCTAGGCAATCATGAATTGTGTGGAGATCTTTTTGAAGAAAGGAAATGTGATAATGGTGGCAAGATGCAGCCTTTGTATGACACAGATTAAGATTGTTGGATAAATAATCTGGATTGAATAAAGATAGAAGAAATCGAATTCTGCAGGGTATACACGATCTTGGATATACTTTGAGTCGCGTAAATTCGCTTTCCTTATACGATATTTCGACCCTATTAACGCCTCGGGTTACACGAAATTCGTACGAGAATAAAACAAAGCAACACTCGAATTTTAGGCAAAAAAATCGAACAAGTAAAAGTTGGGAGATTATTTGTGCATGTCAGATTTATTCTGCAAGACTATATTATTTTTGTTCTTCTGTCTGACAGAATTTATGAAGATAAGTTTTATATAATAAACTTTGAAGTGATGCACCTTTCACATTTAAATCCCAAAAGTTGTCAATAAAAAAATTGCAACTTTTAATTTCAAATCTAAGAGATTAAATCTTTTCAATTCAAATATTTCATTTAATCTCAATTTTGAGAGTTTTATTCATGAATTAATTTAATTAAATTCCTACTTTTGAAAATAATAATTTTCAAAATATATCACAGTATTTAGAAGATACTGTGATTTTTCATACTACAATATATAACCTTTGTGGGCATGACTAAACCATCAATCCGTATACAAATTCATATAATTATTAAACACTTCGTTCAATATCGTATAGGCATTCTCGAACACGCACCCCACGCGACCCTTCCCAATAGCTCAATAAGGCATTCCTTACCTTCGAATAAATTCAATAACAACAAAATAACCAACAAAGACAAGGATGAGTTCTTTGATGGATTCACTTGTCGCGCTGTATTGATGGGCTATATATGGCTTCGGCTCGATTGTGGGAGCTGGATATTGGTTTATTTCATCTTTTTGTTGGGAAGGCCTCTATGGTTTTTGAGATTCTTCTTCGAGCTTTATTCTTTCATTAAGCCCTTTTGGTTCGAGAAAATTGATTGAAGGAATAAGCTAAAAGGAAGCTTAGATGTTTACGTGTATATATATATATATATATAGTTTTGAATTGTTCTATGAGCGATTGAATTATGTAACTACACTTTTAGTTCATTTGGTTGGAGTATTATTATGATAGTTATCCTTCAACCAATTGCCACATTGTTGTTAGAATTCAAGAAATGGGAAATTTTAGGACATGTAACAATTTTGTGTTCATGGGATGCTTAGGATTGTTTAACATGAAGATAAGGCCAAAGAAAAAAAATAAAAAAAAAAAATCGAATAATGATCTAAATTTATAGTAAATTTTAAATAATTTGGAAAACAATTCTAGTAATTTATTTCTTTTTGTCATGTATGGAGGTGTTGTAAATTCTATAAACAATTTTGTGACATTCATAAACATAAACTTAATATAGAATCCAACAGTTAATCAGTAGTGAAATCACTTGGATTAACGTCAAAAGCAAAACTTTGGTTAAAATAATTAATCCATTAAATGAATGAAGGAAAACAGATGGAGGGTTTTATTTTTATAGCCATATATATATATATAGATTTATTGCATGACGAGGTGGGCAGAGAATGTGTGTAAAAGAAATGAAACAGCCTCAAATACTGCATCACCACAAATCAAAAAATAGATACCAGATAGCTTTTTTATGTGCCTATATAAATACAATTTGGCTCTCTGTGCTTAAATCAAAATCGATCTTCCATTTCTTCAGGAGGAAGCATTCACTTCCTCCATCACCTCATCAAATAATATATATATATATATATAATGGCAGCCAACAAGCTGCCATTCCTTGCTCTGATCTTATTCACCATTTCAGGTCTGTGCATGTCTTCTTTCAGCCAAGTTTGTTATTTACTGAATCCCAGAATAACCATCCATCAATAAATTCCTTATATATACATATATATTATATATATATATATATATATAGATGTGTGTGTGTGTGTTTCACTGCAACAACACATTAATGCTTCAATGAAAATTTTATATATGTTGATTTTTGTGTTATTTGAGCTTTCTTCTCTTTACATTTTTGTTTTCAATTTTAATGTGATGTTTGAGCTTTTTTGAGCAATATATTACAATTCCTTAAGCGAAATGCAGATAATATTTAATTAACTCTATATGATTAGCAGGTGCTTTCCAAACTCATGCTATTCCCTACGATCATTCATTCACAGCTGAGGTAATTAAGATTATTGATTAAATTACACTTAAGATTATGATTGTTATCAATTCATTTACATGCATGATGTATGTATGTATATATATATATATATAATCAGTGTTTGGAGAGGCCATGGGCACCTCAGTATGGAGGAGGGATGGTGGCGGATCCAGAATTCAGCAATAAGAACAATGGAGGAGGAGGAGGATGGCTTAAAGATGTGCGCAAGGCAGTTTATCAAACCTCCACAGATGGCAGCACTTACTACGTTGCTCGTCTGTTTAGCAATGAATCCTCCATTCTCGCTGATTTCAACTTGGAGGCCGATAAGCTTTACGCCTTCTCCGGTACCAATTCATTAATTAATGAAGAACTTAATTATATAACTCTCAATTAATTAGTAATGTAATAATATTGTAAATGTCGATATGTACATATATATATATATGATATATCCTGCCTGTATATTGGTTGGTTGCAGCTTGGGTGCAAGTGAAACAAGGGCAAAGCTTCATCAAAGCTGTTTTCGAGACGCCGACGAACAACTACACCGCCGGCGCAGTCATCGCCAAGCAGGGCTGCTGGTCGATGCTCAAGGGCGGCGTCGTCGTCAATGTTTCTGAACCTGCTCACCTTCGCTTTCAGGTTAGGTTAGGTTTGCTATATATATATATATATATAACAAATTGATCATTTATTGATTAATTCAGAGCGGCGGCGACAATTTGACGGCGGAGGTGTGGATCGACAGCGTGTCCCTGCAGCCCTTCACCCGGGAAGAATGGCAGTCCCACCGGGCCGCCGCCGTGGAGAAATCCCGGAAGCGGCGCGTGAAGTTCGTGGCGGAGGACGCTGGCGGCATGCCCTTACCCAACGCCACCGTCTCCGTCAATCAGTCCCGCCCCGACTTCCCCTTCGGCTGCGCCATCAACCAGTTCATCCTCGAAAACCCCGCCTACGCCGACTGGTACCTCCGGCGAGGCTTCCGCTACACCGTCTTCGAGAACGAGCTCAAATGGACCACGACGGAGCCGGCGCAGGGCGCCGTCAACTACACCCTCCCCGACGCCCTCCTCAACTTCTCCAAATCCCACGGCCTCACCCCCCGCGGCCACTGCGTCATGTGGGGCTCCAACAAGGCCAATCCCGACTGGGTCAACAGCATCACCGCCGGCGACGCGCCGCGGCTGCAGGAGGCCGGCGACGCCAGGATCCAGTCGGCGATGAACAGGTGCTGTTACATTTTGCAGATTAATGTGATCTAAAAACATCTAATATATTTGTAAAACAGGTACAAAGGGGAGTTCTTCCAGTGGGACATTGTGAATGAGAATATGCACAATGTGTTTCTGGAGGAGGTGATGGGGCCCGACGCGTCGACGAGGTACTACAAGAAGGCCAACGAGATCGATCCGGCGACGGTGCCGTTTCTGAACGAGTACAACACCATTGAGCGCCCGTTCGACATGGAGGCGACGCCATGGCAGTATTTGCAGAAGGTGCAGACGATTCGTGCCCAGGGGTATAAGGGACCTTTGGGGATCGGTCTCCAGGCACACTTTGCTGCACTCAATTTGCCCTTCGTCAGAGCCTCCATTGACGTGCTTCGCTCTGCAAAACTCCCAATTTGGATCACTGAGTTGGACGTTTCTTCCACCCAAGGCCCCAACCAGGTAACCCTAACCCTAATTTTGCCCTAATTATTAACCCTAACCCTAATTTTACTCTAACCCTAAATTCTCATTAATTAAATTGATGGCGTGGCAGGCTCCATACTTTGAGGAACTGTTGAGGGAGCTCCACGCGCACGAAGCGGTGGAAGGGATAATGATTTGGGGGGGGTGGTGGCCCAAGGGTGGGTGCTACAAGATGTGCTTGACGGACGACAACTTCAACAACTTGCCGGCCGGCGACGTGGTGGATAAGATCATGGCGGAGTGGACTTACGGCAGAGATGGAGTCCAGGGAACGACGGATGCTAGCGGCAGCTTCAAGACGTCGCTGTTTTACGGAGAATACGAAGCCATTGTTAGTCATCCTAAACTGGGGAAGCTGCCGACTGTGCAGAAATTCAGAGTGGTTCCAGAGGGGCAGCGCCAGCGCAATGTGGCGTTCAAGATCTGAATCTGAATAAATTGAAAAATGAATTTGTGAGTGAAGGAGATGATGGTTTGTAATGAAATGGAAGCTATGGCATTGGCATGCATATTTATATATATATATATATATATTCAGACGATATGGATCTGTCTGTGTCTATATATATATATTTATGCATTCCATTTTTGTAATTAAGAATTTTTATTTATTTATTTTTTGATTTTATATGAATACGTACTCCAATTATCCACTTTCGATACATGGTTGCTTTAATTGGGTGTTGCATTGTTTGTTTGTTTGCATATGCATATTGAATAATATATATAAATAAATATAATAGTGGTATTTAATAAGGAAGTTCTTTTTCCGAAAATATATAAATCTCAAATCATAAGAGTTAACAATTAAGTGGATTGAAAGATGAAGCAGTCCGTGTCCGGCCACCGAATTAATTTCAGGGAGTGTGTGTGTGTGTGTATGAGCACAAACAAGGTAATTTAGGAAAGTTTTTTCAAATATTAATAAATAACAAATTAGTATAGTAGTAACAATTACCTATTTTATTTTTTTTTGTTTAAAAATTCACTTTTTAAAAAAAAATTATTAAAATTGTCTCATCCTCACAATTAAGATTTATTTAATTTTGGTTTGAAATTGAGTGTTTTATTAAAATAATATTGTAATATGATATTTTAAAAAAATGTTTTACTCTCTTTCAAACAGTAGACTTTTCCACCATTTTTGCTTGTGCTAGTGCCCCAGAAATTCTTGGATTTCTTGCAATATGAGATTGAATGCCATAACTCTGATTTGTATTTTACAATATGCTGTTTTTATTAAGAACTGTTTAAATTAAATAATATTATCTCATTTTGTATTTTTTTTAAAGCCAATTTTGAGTAGATACTACTTAGAGGTTCCACTTTCAATATTTTGAGTATATATATAGTGTATTAGAGGGGGCGGGAAGGGAAGCAAGAGAGACTGGTGATCCCAAGCTGTGAAACAATATGCATCTACTTTATATTCATTTTCTATCAATTTTTTCTTTTTCTATTTTTAACTTAAAAAGTTTGAGCTTGATAGTTTATAATCAATCATTCCTAATATATTGTCTCAAAGACAGACAATTAGACTTTATTGAGGCGTGGAATTAATATTCCAAGAAGTGGTTCATGTGTAGAAAGAGTTGAAAGATCCACTTAACAAGTGACTCCTCTTACACTATCTCATATTTAAAATGGATAAGCTATGTCTGTTGCTCCAATAAGGCCTGATAAATATATAAATAAGAATGTAGTAAATGATTTGCCCAACAAAGAGAGAGAGAGAGAGAGAGAGAGAGAGAGAGAGAGAGAGAGAGAGAGAGAGAGAGAGAGAGAGAGAGAGAGAGACCCGAAATAAAGAAAGAAGAAAAGGCCTGCTTTTTCAAAGCTTCTAACTTAATCATTCAATCCTTCTTTTACCCTCAGATGAGCTGCACAGTGACAATCTCAAGTACTGTGTATGGTCTCCCCATTTCACTTTCTCTTACCCCACATTGATTCCCAACAATCACGGCGATATACAGATAGATAGATAGATTCAATTAACCATTATATATATATTTAAGAATTGCTATGTAAAAAGCTAAGGTTTCATTTCTGCAATGGCAGTGGCAATGACAATGACAATGGCAGGGCTGCACCCTAACAAACACTTGTTTCTTCTCATCCTCTTGGTTGTTACTTCTTTGTGGTTTTCCTACATTGAGTCGTCCTCTAGATATGATCAAGAAGAGCTGCTGCAATGGCTGGATGGAAAAGATGCTGCTGCTGCTGCTGCTGCTGCTGCTGACGATGATGATGATGAAATAAGCATGATCCAAGCAAGCCATTCATCTCTCAGAACCTGTGATTTCACCAAAGGAAAATGGGTGTATGATCAAACATACCCACTCTATGACGCCACGTGTCCTTATCTCAGCACCGCCGTCACCTGCCGCAAGAACGGCCGTCCCGATTCCGACTACGAAAAATGGAGATGGAAGCCTGATGGCTGCACAATCAGAAGGTACATATATATGGATGTTTTCAAGATTACTATAATGTTTGGACATGCGATGGAATGCTGCTGTTTTATTGCATTGATTATTTCTTAGGACAGAGATGAGCATGTGTAGTAAATGTGATGCAGATTTGATGCATTGGAGTTTCTTGGGAAAATGAGGAGGAAAAGAATGATGCTAGTCGGCGATTCGATAATGAGGAACCAATGGGAGTCCCTTGTTTGCTTGGTTCAGTCAGTCATCCCGACTGCGCGAAAAACCGTTGTGTACAATGGTCCTACAATGGCCTTTCTTGCTTTAGTGAGTAAAAAAAACAAACTTGCATTTATATATATATATATATATATATACATGAATCTAAGTTGATCTTCTTTGTTATTACACTTTCATAGGATTTCGAGATGTCAATAGAGTATTGTTGGGCTCCATTTTTAGTGGAGTTGAGAAGAGGACGCGATCGGGAAAGAATACTAAACCTCGATTCCATAGAAGAGAATGCTAAGTACTGGCGAGGAGTCGATGTTCTTGTCTTTGATTCTGCTCATTGGTGGACTCATTCGGATAAATGGAGCTCGTGAGACTAATTTTTAGTTTGTTCGTCGTAGTTGTTCCTATTAATCCGATTCATCGTTTTGCAAACTTATGGTGAATTTCTTGCAGGTGGGATTTAGTGAAAGAGGGCAACAATTTATACAGAGACATAAATCCAGCAGTTGCATATGAGAAAGGGCTGATGACATGGGCAAAGTGGATAGACTTAAATCTTGATCCAAGAAGAACTAAAGTCTTCTTCAGAAGCATGTCTCCAAGCCACAACAGGTACACAGAATTAAGCATTTTTAGCTTCTATATATGGTGTAATGATATTAAAAAGTTGTCTGATCTTGAATCATGTATGCCTATCTATTGATGAACAGAGATCATGGCTGGAAATGCCACAACCAGAGTGAGCCCTTGGAGCATCTTAGTCGACCCCGAGTCCCCGAACAGATACTAATCCTGCAGAAGGTGTTCAAACGAATGCAATTCCCAGTGTACATTCAGGACATTACATCACTTTCAGCTCTCAGACAAGACGGGCATCCTTCAGTTTACGCTCGAGCATCGTCATCTGCCGAAAAGAACAACCAGAAAGTTAAGGGCCACGCTTCCGACTGCAGCCACTGGTGCTTGCCTGGCGTGCCCGATGCCTGGAACGAAATGCTGAGCATAATGCTCTGAAGCATCAAGATCAGAATATATACATATGGTTTCGTAAAGTTTACGTGCGATTTTATCTAAAAAGTTTCGTCGTTGTTGCTTAGAATTTGGAGTGATGTTAGATGTGGGAAGCTTAAGTGTTTGTAAGAATGGCTGGCTGGCATGTCTGCATGAATTCAGAAGTGTAAGAAACTGAGGGGCAAGGATGGATCTTGTCAGGAGTTCCCAAGATATGTCCAGATATGGTTTGGTTTTCTTTGATTTGCAATGTGCGCAATTCTTATCAGTTGCACCTTCTTCTAATCTTTTCTTTTTTCAGTGTTTGGTGAATTCTGCATTGTTCGATTCACTTGATACAGACAAAGATCAGCTATGTAAGAAGAGGGAGGACAGAAAAGCCTTCTGTGAAAAATGAATGGTTGTATGTATGTATGTGTGTGAAATACAGTATATCATTACATTACAGGAACCTTCCTTTGCACTGCACTCTTGCATAACATGAGTGATGATGATGATAGATGTTTGGTGGTCGCATCTTTGTTACATATTTGCATTAAATAATAAATTTCACAAGCATGTGCAACTTTTGAGGAGTGTATTTGGTAAGTGGCTTTTGACTAGGTGTTCCCCAAATTATGGCTCTTTGTAAATTTAAAGACAATCACTACCAAGTCTTCCCATAAGAAAAGCATCCAATGCCATAAATGGGATCAAATAAATTATTTATTTAAACCATTGAAACAAGACACCTACTAAAGAGATTCTGATTGAAACTTCTTGTTATAAAGGATGTAAGAGAAATGGAAAAACAAGAAAAAGGGATTTCAATGGCTATACTTCAAACTTCTTCCTTAGCTTGGAGAGATCTTTGGCATTCAATCCAAAAACCTTCTCCAAAAGCTCTTCTTTGATGCCTGTCCCAAAAACAGCAGATGGGATTTTCACCAGCCCTGGATTTTGGCTGTTAAAACTCCCTATAATTGTGGCGCGCTTATCGCCGACGTTCATCTGGAAATGCAGCAGCCCTTTAGGGAACACCATCACCTCTCCTTTCTCGAGCACCTTAGCGAAGACACGGTTCTGTGAATCCACAAAACCTGAATAAATCTTGCCTTCCAGCACAAAGGCAACCTCGGTTGCCCGTGGATGATAATGGGGGGGATTTATCCCACTAGGCTCAAAGTCTGCTCGGACAAATGACATTCCTAGTGTGTTTAGGCCGGGGAAAGTAGTGGCGCTGACCGGAATCGATGAGAATCCTGTTTTTGCAACGGGTTCTGCGGGGGATTTTATGCCTGAGAAGACAAAGTCGTCAACTGTGACATCGGATGAGTTCTTACAGGAGAGGAAAATGGATGAGAGTTCGGGCATTGGAATGCAGAAGTCTTGCAAGGGATCCGAATCCGAAGCTGAGGCCGAGTACAGAAACAGAAGGAGGCTGATAAACAGGGGTTTCATTTTTGGGGGCATTGGTTGAATTGTTCTTTTTGTGAATCTTTCTAACACTGAAATCCCAACAAGTTTTATAGATTATGGGAGGTGTATGAAAGTTTTGAGACCACTCAGAAACTGTGGCTTCAAGTCTAATCTTATTTTAACTTCAAAGTGTTGTTTTCTGGGTGGAATGATTCTAACCACCAACTCCAACCTGAACAATTTTATTTGAATTAAACATTACCAAACCCAAAAAGGGATATGATTCACATGGAATAGGAGGATCCACATGGAGTCTAAAGTGCTTTGCTTCGGAACAAAGATAGGGAGGATTAGTTGGGAGTGGATAGCAATGCACAGTAGTTGTTTTCATGCTGTCCTACTGATGATACTTGGATTCTTGATGTTATTTGTCATTTTTTATGTTATGTTGCTGAAGCTATATGAATTTAAGAATTCCAAGTTGGGAACACACAGAAGAAGAATGATATTCTACTAGGAGAGGCAGTTGAGGCTAGAAAACCATAAACAAAGCAAAATATTTGCAGACTTTGCTAATTCATTCCTAACTAAACTAGCCAAGCTCGAACATAAAGTTCATCTCACTATGTTTAAGAATGAGCTCAAAAGGACATGCACTCAGTATCATTTTGCAAACATGGGCAAGATGGAATTAATAGCAAGCCATCGACAGATATTCAAAAAGCAATGGGGTATCCAAAAGGAAGTAAAAAGTTCTTACCCTGATAATGTCTATTTCTACCAGTAACATTTATCGAGTAAATAAGTAATTGTGGAAATATTTCAATGTAGTAAGAAGTTAGAGAGAAAGAAGTATACAAAGTATACAACACAAGCTTGACAACACGGTATAATTGTGTAAGAACCGACCAATACATGCATTATTGAGCAGTGTCAGAGATTAGAGGAATCTTGGATTTCCACCAAATGGCAATTATTTAAGCCTTGGATGAAATTCATAGTATCTAAGCTAGTGACAATTACATAAATATTTGAATGTATGAGAGGGTTGCACATGCTCACATAAGATCATACAGCAGTCGACAAGTAGTAGCCATCCTAGTAGCTATCCTCGTCAGTTTCAGGCCTCCGCAAGTAGTAACGCAGGCAGTTCACAAGAACCTGTATTTAGATAAATAAATACATAAAGACAGACATGAAACATAACCCTTACGACACTGATACATTCTTCAATCTATATTTATATAAACTCAAAAATGAAAGAATAAGCTGCAATGAAAATTAACAGTATATGCAAACAAATAAGCATGTTTGATTACCTGAGATAAGGAAGTGTTTAATGCTGCCCCTCGGTAACTGACATGAAACTTGTCCTTTGCCACCAACCCCTGAGCGTTTACTTACATTAAGTTACAGCAGTATTCCCAGTGAATTAATTTAGAGCACATCAACTGTTTCAACTTAGAACAAGAGAATATTACTTCAGTATCAATCTCTGCTGATTCAACAGTCACATTGATATCTGACATAATTTTGATAACCTCCAAAAGTAGCCCCGGACGATCTGCAGTCTCTAGATAGAGCAAACTGAAATGAAACAAACAAGCATGAGGAAAAAGAAACAGGGCAGTATTCACCTTTATAATCTCTAGGCATGTGCAAAAATAAAATATTTGAATAATGGTCACAAAGCAATTGATCATTAGTTTCAGAATCATTGAAGGCTTTCATCATATACAATTAATATGTTTCCAATTTCAATCACACCTTCTCCTAGGTCCATCTTCCTTAACATGTATGTGAGTTGCAACTTCAACATCAACCTGCAGTATAAATACATCAAAATTACAATGTGTATAATACAAAAACTACAACCATTGTTTCAAAATAGAGTACACTCTCTTACCACATTTCTTGACATGGAAGGTGAAAGGTAGAAGAATAAACAAAGGGAATATATATATATAATAAAAATAAATAAATAAATAACTATACTCTAGGTTTGCAAACTGGAAATTGTAAGGTGTCACTTCTGAACCAAGGGCAGAACTTAAATGTGCAAACATTCAGTGAGGCAGGAGTGGATATGTTTTTCAGAATTGCAAACTACATGATAAGAAAGAATTTTGAAGTTGAGTTAATTTTATCTCGTCTAATGTATAACACATTTTATGGCATGAAAAAAAAAAAAAGGCATATACTGCTTAACTCAAATGTTGTGGGGAAACACTTAAGGTCAAAGGCAATAAACAATAAACAAAGCATAGAAGAGAAGATAGTGTTCAGAATGGAAAATGGATACTCAGAGACAGAGTGGATGTCACTTTTGTAGGTACAATAATCAAATACATAGAAAGGGATACGCTCCTCATCAAGACATGCAAATAAAACAGGAAGTTGTCGTTACCTTTTTCTCTGGTGGTTTTATTCCAAAAGCTTCACCCATTGCAAGTTTCTCACTAGACTCCTGAAGAATCAATAAATTCAGTAAATCATCTGAGGAAAAAATATTATTCCATGGCATTACAATGACTTGAAAATCATCTGAAGATTGTAAACCAGGCATCAGATACATAACATACCGGGTGATACTTAAGTAAGTTATTGATAATGGTTAAACGGATTCGCTCCAGGAGATCAGGATTTTCAACTTTACGCCCTGTTGCCCTGCATAAAACTCCTCAAATAGTGTACCAGACTCTCGACTTTATTTTGTTCTAGTTAGTCAGATTGGTTCTTGAGTATATACATGATGTTATTCTCTAATGCATTCAACTTAGTTGTGATATATAAATTGATTATGCTCAAGTGCAAGACAAACAGGTTCAAACAACAAAGGTAGATTCCCAAGCCAAAGAATTTTTGGGCAGACAAATTTCCACAAATAACATAATGCAAAAGCAACCAATCATTTTCAAGAATCACAAAGTAAATCCATGCAGTAGATTGGATTTTCATAAATCAAACCACAAACTTAAAGACCAAAAAATTAGAAATAGATGCATGTAGCTACTTTCACTTGGCCTGGCTCATGATATGAAAACAGGTGATTATAATGCATACCCATTACACTGAATGTGAAGAAAATTATCAAATCATCAACACAAGCAAGCAAAGCATAAAGTTAGTGAACAATCTCTATTGTACAGCCAGTTGACAAAGAATCAGCTGGACTTAATATTACCAATAAAACCTATAAAGAAATCACTTACAATAGAGTGATAAAGAATTTTGTTTGTATGACCGAGTTTTCAGTATTAACAGTCCCTTTCAAAACATCCAAGCCCAAATCTTTAAGTGCCTTCATCTGCAACAACAGGGAAAATTTGCTTCATGAAATAATTGCTGTAAGATTAGAACATGGGGCAGAGCCAAGCATTGACAACTCTAAATGACATAATCAAAGGGATAAAGCAAAAAAGTTCCAAAAACAAACAAAAGATCTAAAAGGATTATGCAATCATGAAATATGTATCCATTTCAAAAGTATATGTTACCTAAAGATGATAGTGGGGTGAATGGAGATATGCTTGGTTTAAGTGAGAGAATGCAAAGTATATATAAGCCCAAGAGTCAATTTTGTGATAAGAAATTCTTCAAATATGTAATAAATGTCTAAAATTGCCTAAAACAACCAGATTGATTTTCACTAAAAAAAACATCTTAATGAAAGTAGAACACTACACTCCATTGGTGACACTATCCTATTAGGCTATTACAGGGACACGGAGATATGATATTAAATGTCTCAATGTATGACAGGCAGAAACTAAAATATGCCACTTTACCGTATCAAAGAGAGCTCCAAGGCGATCTCCAAAACTAACTTGAACAATTGTTGCATCAGGATCAGAATCCTGATCTATCAGAACAACAGGCATGGGAACATTATCATTCTCCAGCTCATGCTTCTGTTATAGAAATATGGCTTTAATGAACAGACAAGATTGATTGTACAGAATTATAACCTGACACATCAAATATTTGTACATTTCAAGCATGAGCCATACTATTATTAATTTGTACTCTATGTGCCATCTTTACTCCAATTACCCAACTAATTTCAGAAAAATCTCTAGCATAAAGAAGAGCAACAAGTTTTCCTTTTTGTTTATTTATTTTTTATTTTATTTTATTATTTTTTGAGGGAGCATGCTAAAAAATTAAATCTGGGAAGAAAAATTTAACAAGCAGTCAAGCACCCATTAGATATTTGGGTCTCCCTATTGCTTTAGACGGATGGAAAGTCATGAAAATTATTCCTAGAGAGCAAAACCACAGAAGTTGTGGAGGCTCAGATAGCTGGATACGTGCCCCCTCATCCTTACTCCTTACACACACACACACAGAAAAAGAGTTGTAGAAGAAGCATATTTAGCAGTTTAAAGTGATAGTGATGCATAGTATACTACTGTGATATGCACTTGTGCAGCAAACAGGATGCCGCAGATATTAGTAAAATTGACAAAAGCAATCATCCTATGCCAATTAACAGGACAACCCTCAAGCACTTCGTTCTGAAATTTATACCAAGCATTAAAGTTAACTAATTATAGTCCCATGAGACAGTTTTCTTATTCACTCCCCACTCAGAACTGAGAGAAAATTTAAAATATATGAAACTTAAGTGATCATTTAAGAAACTATGCTCAAAGTAGACCAGGTTAGACAAAGAAGCCTTTCTTATTCATATCCCCACTCAAAACTGTGAAAATGGAAAATATAAAAATATATTATTTTCAAAGGGATATAAAACATCTTTTCAAGTATACTCTATGCCTGCATCCCCAGAAATTCTACCAGCAAAAAATAGGGTTTATGGAGGGAAATGATATATGAAAGAATCTTCATAAAAGCTGACTTCTCTCTGCTTGCTGGCCTATTAAAAAATCTTGAGCGAGTTATGCAAAAGGGGGTGATGAGTACAACTTCACAAGCCATGCTCATCCGAAATTTCAAAATCGCACATCATATAGAAGATAAATTAAATCGCGATGTTAGACTTACAAGTGAAGTAGCACCGATGGAATCCACCCCATCGACTGAAGCACCGATCTTATAAATCCTACAAACAATTCCAACAACGCCCACAGATTATCGAATACTGCAAGATCAGAGAGTTCCAATACATCCCAAAAACACACACTCGAATACTCGTCAACGCAAGCACCGGCGACAACTAAAGAAACTCAAGATATATATATATATATATATCACCAGCAATCGACTAAACTAGCTCAGTTAATACGAAGAAAGGCTGAAACGAGCAAACAGGAGAAATCTTGTATGTACTTTCTAATCGGCGCATGAAGTGTGGGATCGGGCGAGAAGGAGCCGCGAGGATAGTAAGCGAGAAGCTTTGGAACGGAAGCATTGGAGGGAAGAGCCGTGAGAAAAGAGGCGGAGAAAGCGTTGGGCATTGCCATCGTTGCGGCACTCCTTCCTTAGCTTGGCCCTTGGTCTTCTTCAATTCAATCTCAAGAGAGAGAGAAACAGAGACACAGAGGTGGCGCTGTGATTCTAGTGATCGATTGATTAGGATGGATTTAAAATATATGGTGAACTGACAAATTAGGTACAGGTGATGGCGTCACCCCGTCACATCACACCAATTTAATACTCTCCGTCCATTTCATCCAATAATATATATAAACATAGTCCCGGAGGTTTCATTTTTATCTGAATTTTAAGATTGATTTGGATTTTTGTATTTAGATTTGGTTTGAGTCTAAAGGTTTTGACATGTACTAATTTAATGGATAATAAATATTATAATAATATAAATGTGTATTAATTTATATAATTTGATTATAAATTTATATTATATTTATATATATTTTAAAGTTTTTATTTATGTATATTATAAAAAATATATATATTATTGACATATATTTTGTATATATTTTATTAAGAGTGTGTTTGTTTAGAAGATTGTCCCAAACTTTCACTGTTCATCAAATTTTCAGGTTTTAGTTTTGGGTTTTGATTTTGAATAGTAAAATTTTGAATTGAAATAGTTGTTTGGTCTGATATAAAAATATATGTTGATGTAATATTTTGAATGTAAAATTAGATTTTAGTGTAATAAAATAAATAAGAATTGAGTGTTTGATTTGACGTTTTTTATGGAAAAAGAAAGTTGAAAGAGTAAAATCAGACTTAAAATCGTTATTATATCAATTATATCAATATTTTAAAAAAAATTAATGTTTATCAATTTTTTTCAACTAAAAAATATCAAATCAAAAATCTAATTTTTAATTTTTATATTATAAAAATCAATAAAATTATATAAAAACATCAAATATATATATACCACATTACATAATTATTTTAATTCTAAATTTCTACTAAAAAAAGTTTCATATTTTGTTTTGTTTTAAAAATAAAATTTATTAACAGTAAAAGAGTATATATAAAAAAAATATTCCCTCCGTCCATAGTCAATCTATCAAATTTGTCATTTTAGTCTATTCATCGAAAATGTATCCATTTTTTATTTAGTAAATATATTTTTCTACTAAAATATAAAATTATGCTACCATTTATATAATATTACACAAATGTTATCAAATAACACCACTTAATACCATAAATATTAAGGGGTATAATAGTCTTTATGTATATCAATGCTACCAAATATCAATATAATACTAATATACTAAAATCTACATGGAAAAAGTAAACGGATAGATAGCTATGGATGGGGGAGTAGTTTGAGTTTATTTATGAGTTTTAGTTTTTGGATTTATATTTCTTAATAATAAAAAAATTGAATAGTTGTTTGATGGCCTTATAAATAAAAATTAGATGTATTTTTTTGAATGTAAAATGAATTTATAATTAAGACTATAGCTGGAACAATAGAATAAAAAAAATGATGAAAGCCTCCTAAAACTTGTGCAAGCTAGGCCCAGCCCAGCCCAAGTCATGTCTTTCTCTTTAATACTCTGATGATATTGTGCAGATTTTATGATAAAACATTTAAAAATTATGTATCAGATGACATGTAAACAAGATAAAGCAATTTTATGCATATGCCTCATAGAGCAGAGCTGATGACTTCTTGATAGCTTGACCTCCTTTTTAACATCTAAACTCAAGCCATGCACTGTAATTTTTATTATATTTGGAGAATAAAAACCTCTATTATATATACTTCATTTCTTGAAAATATATTATATTTATGGTATTTATTTTATTTATAAAATTTGTAAGATTTTTTATTTATTTAAAAAATTTATATTTCTATAAATATGTATAAATTCTTATTATTGAAATAGAAAAAATTAGTTTCTTTAAATAGTTATTCTAATATGACTAGTTATTTTGATTTCTACTTAAAGCTTTTATTTCGATTATAACGATGTTGAGAGTCCTCTTTTTCACTTTAACCCCATTGAGAGCCCTACTCTTGACTAAATCTAATCACATTGAAAATTCGGTTTCCGACTCCAACGACGTTGAGACTCCATTTCCGACTCTAACGATATTGAAAACCTAGTTTTCGATCTAATGGCATTAAGAACCGTGTTTTCGATGTAATGTTGTTGAGAGCTCTGTGACCCTAACAACGTTGAGGCCCCGTTTCCGACTCTAACGATATTGAAAGCCTTGTTTTCGATCTAATGGCATTAAGAACCGTGTTTTCGACTATAATGTTGTTAAGAGCTCTGTGACTCTATTAACGTTGAGATCCTTACTTGCGACTTTTGATTTAGTGGATGATCTTAGTCTCTCTTTGTTAAACTCAAGTTGGTTTGATTTTCTCTTGAGTTTGAAGAGATGTTAAGATATACTTAAAAAATATACATATTATATTAATGGCATTTATCTTATGTAAGCTTCTTGATTTATTTCAGTTTATTTTAGTTATCCTAACAATAGTATTACTACAGGCTAGAGGTAATCTTGGAGCAGTTAATCATGGAAACGTGTGTGGCTCTGTTTCTTTTTTCTCAATAGACCATGGATTGTGCAAAATGACAATAATAATCTCTCTAGATTACTTTGTGTTGAGTGATCTTAAGGTTTTCTAGCTGTAGGAATTGTCCTGTTCTTCCTATCTTCATACTAACCTGCATTTGTGCTTGCAGTTACTGTGGTGGAAAAAGTTGCAAGACATGCTATCATCTGTGTTGCCTCGATGATCCCTCTCTTGCTAATGCTGTAAGAACTGTTCCCAGTAGTGTGACAAGAAGCTTTTATTTGGCCTCTGTGTCAAAGGGCATGGAGTCAATTATTTGGGATTTTAGAGAGGTGGATATATGAATATCATACACTCATTCATACTCCAGTCTGATATTAGTTATATAGTTAGTTGGTTAGTTGTTGTTTTTTTTTCTAAAATGAAAAAAAAAAAATTCTTCTTTTATCTTTATAAAAACTGGTATTTCTGATAATTATGGTGTTCTATAGTAAACACGCATATTCTGATTTTTCGTTTATAGTGTATGCTCACTGAAAATTATCCAGGATCTTATCTGCAACTTTATCAAGAAAAATAAGGTTCGTTTTTTTTTTTTGGTTAAATCAAGGTCTTTCGGCTTGCAATATATCTATATCTATATATATATATGGTGTGTTGAGGAGAAACAGGATGAGATAATCTTGATGATATGTAGTGATTCTGTAGGCTGGGAGATAGTGTAGAGATTAGACAGTGCAGTGCAGTGCCCCATTGCTTGTTAAGAAGAAGATTCATTGAGACATCAAGAAGGCCATACTCTAATGGAATGTTATGAAACTGAGACATCAAGAAGCTAGTAACCAGGTACGTAATTGCGGTTTTTCAAGAAAACAAACATTTGGGTTGTGTTCTTGGCACTCATGGCTGGGTGGCTAGCATGGGTTACCTTTTAACCAACCACATTGTAATTGTTTTGTAGTTCTTGGTGTCCATTGTCTAATCAAGAAAATCTCTCGAGTTCAGATGCCTAGTGAGGAAGCGCCAAGAACTGAAGATTCTTCTTCTATTCCATCTGCTGCTGATCCTAATCCTGATCCTGATCCTGATGGTGGTGGAAGAAGCTCTTCTCCAACTCCAACTGCAATTAGTTCAGCAGAAGAGCAGCGGACAAATGAAGTAGTTAGTTGGAATGAGGCGGCTGCTCAAGCTCAAGTACGTGGAGCACTTCAAACTGAGCTGGAGACGGTGTGCCGTGAAAACGAGCAATTAGAGAAGAACCGAGAGAGCTTGGTAAGTAAGTAGAGCATTAAGCATTGATCGCAAATTTTAGTTCAAGTCACCTAACCTGTTCTATTCTCTCTTGCTACATACATACATACAGTATTCGCAACTGATGCTCGAATTCGACAAGGAGACACAGCAAGCTATCGCTGAGACACGTCGCAAGTATGATGTGAAAATCCGGGAGGCTGAAGCCGAGTACAAGTCGAAAAGAGACGAAATGGAGAGAAGAAGGAAGATGATTTTGGCGCAAAGACATTCAGCCGAAGCTGCGAGAGCCCTGCGCTGGAGTGGCAGTTCATCATCCATCAAGCAGCCCAGCAGCAGCAGCAGCAGCAGCAGCAGAGCCATGGTGATGCACCCCTCCTCCCAGTCCCAGTCGCAGTCCCAGTCCCCTGCTCCAGCCCTGCCGATCAGTACTAGTCCCTGGCTTCATCCGTCCCAGTCCCCTGCCCCTGCTTCTTCTTCTTCATCTCAGCTGCGCCCCCCTGCCCCTGCTTCTTCTTCTTCATCTCAGCTGCGCCCCCCTGCCCCTGCTTCTTCTTCTTCATCATCTCAGCTGCGCCCCCCTGCCCCTGCTTCTTCTTCTTCATCATCTCAGCTGCGCCCCCCTGCCCCTGCTCCTGGGCAAGGTGCGGTTACTGCGACAGCTCCTCCGTCGTTCAGACAACCTGTACGAGCACCGCCGCTCAGCCCCATACCCCTAGTTATCAGAAACATTACTTCCTTAGGCAATAACAACAACAACAACAACCGGATCGTGGGCCGAGTGATCCGTGCTCCAGCACCACACCTTCGGGCATGGAGACCTAGACCACCACCACCACCACCATCAGTGACCAGCTCCCAGCGTTACACCGTGCAGCCATCGCAGCAGCAGCTGCCATTAGTACCAAGTATGGATGGTGGTGGTGGTGGTGGTGGTGGTGGTTCTTCTTCTTCTTCTTCTCGCCGGACCCAAGCGGGTGGCGGCGCTAGCGATGTACGCAGCAACTCGGACCCTGAGAGACCTCCAGGTTTTGCCGTTTTGTCCGATGAGGATGAACAATAACATGCTGTAAAATGTTGGATATCGAAATGCTGAAGTTTTGTAGTATTTCTTTGAGAAAGAGATTTCGATAGCATGCATGAGTGATTCAAGTCTCCATGAATGTATTACTTTTTTTTTTGTGAGGGGGAGGGTGGAAAAGAAGGGTAAACTACACTGCTGGGTATTACAAAGATGAACTCGCATATGTTTATTTATATACTATACTCGTATAATATATTTGTAAATGAAATTGGAGAAACAAGTTATCCCAATTATTTTGTTAGAAATTTTTTTTATGATGTTTACTATTTGTTTTGTTAAATAACACAGCGTTAGTTGTTACAAGATCATCAATATAATAAAAGCATTTTTAGCAATTTCTAAATTATTCTGATGATTGAAGTTGTTATCTTTAATATTGTTCTCACATAGAACTACAAGCTCCATCCAAAATTCATCACTTAAGATTTGTTGCGGAAATAAAAATATAATTGCATATAAAATTAATTTTAAACTAAGAGTGAGATCATCTTAATTTTTTTTAAAGTGAAATTTTATTTCAAATATATATATATATTATTTGTCACTTCTAAAAAATACAAAAATAATATATCTGCAATATATAATTGTTATTTATCAATGTTTTTAAAGATTTTCAACTGCAATCATATTATTACATCATTACAGTGTACTTGATTGAGGATTAGCCTTAACTGACACTATAACCAGCCTAATTTTTAAAATATAAACAATTCTAAGAATATAATTACTAGAACATAAATAGATATATGTTTCACTTTATATGTATAAATAAATAATAATATTTTAAAATTTTAAAAAATTACTTTTGGCGCAGTGTTTAAAAAATAATAATTACAGTGAGTAATTAAAAATAATGATATTTTTATCTTTTTGGTGTAAAAGTAATAATGTGATGTAAAGCAGATATATTTATGAAAAAAAATGAGATATTTAATAAAATATTTACTTTGTAATTAGACGTGTCAAAATAATAAAAATATATATATTTTCTAAGTAGACTGATGAAGTATTATCTTAAATCGAACTTTACTATCTTTGTAATTTAGTTAATTATAAATATCAAATTCAAATATTCAACCGGAATTTTACATTGTACTATTAATGTAACATTAACACGTTGTTAATGTTTAATAGTAGGAAAAAAAGTTGATCAAATGCATTCAATGTAAACACTTAAGTATACACGTAATTAGCACCAAATTAATTAAAATACTAATGGTGTGTTTGTTTTGATTTTTTTTTTATACGAAATATATTAAATTGTGTAAATAATATAAAAATAATGAGTGTACCGCTCTAAAAGAAGTGATGGAATTGAATGCAAACAATTTGCAAAATGTGATGGATTCAAGAACATTAACAAAGTAAAATTAGAATTTAGTGTATAAAAAGAAATTTATTGTGGACACCATATACTTATATGTTTAGATACTACTATAATTCTAATTAACTTTGAAGAAATGGTTCATTCATAAATTACGAATGGTTTGAAGTTTGAATTTTTATTAATAAATGGATGTATTATTCTTTTGTAATGATTTGTATTTTTGTGCTGTAACGTGTACTGTAGAATTTTGTGAGCAAAAGATGAGCTTCTAGTTGGAAACAATTACTGTAATAATAATAATAATAATAATAATAATAATAATAATAAATCGTTGTTATTTTAAATTAATAAATCCCACCCGTTGAATCCGGTCTCCGCTCAAGAAACTTTTATAAGGCAACTCAGAAGCTGCAAAATTGTTTTAGTATTTTTTTTCATTACAATAAATTACTATAAACGACTGCTACTCCCACTATAATTCATACAGCGCCCTAAATTTTTAGGACATTTGCGTCCACAATCCCTTTTCCTTATATTTTCTTGGGTTTTCTGAATTTACTCCAAATTCGGCGACGAGGCCCACCCGAGAACAATCAGTGACGACATACAACTATCGCGGAGGAGAAAATCCGAATTCGCTACAATTGAGGAGGGTTCCCTCGTTGCGGGTTTTGCATTTCTTCTTTCTTTCGGTTGTCTCCGTCTTTGATCCCCCGATTGATCGGTGAATGCAGGTTAGTTTGGGGGTTGCTCTTGGAGTTGGGATGATTGAATTTTGGGTGAATTGTGTAAATTGTTGAATTTTGGGGGGAATGGGGATTTCTTTATAAACCCTAATTGGACCTTAGCTCAATTAGGGTTTTGAGTGTTTGAAACGGCGCTTGACGTGTTCAATTATGCGGGTTATGAGTTGGTTAATTTTCTTTTTTTGACATACTATATATATACGGTCTTCATGTTTGATTGGAATTTGGCGGTTAATTATTTGGCAGTGGTTTATGCTTTTTGTGTCGTTTTTGATGAGATATCCGGTGTTTCTTCTGTTTATTTGATTTCCCTCTCCAAGTTATGCCCATTAAAATAAAGCATGTGATAAATGAAATCAATCCAAGTGTACTATTTTTGTGATTATTGTTTGTTATATATAGTCTGTTTATAAAGGGATTTTCTTTGGTTTGTGTAGGTATTCACAATTATTTATAAGATTCTCAATAGTCAGTTGGCAAGTGTTTGCAAAATTAATTTGATCAAAGTGCTGCTTTTAATAATGTTTCAGGCAGAAGGGCTTTTCTTGGCCCACCTAAGCTTGTGCAAATACACAGTACATACTCAAACATATTTGTATTTACATACCTGTTCTGCTACTTTCATTGAGAATCTCATTTAAATTGGATACAATTTTTTCTTTGCTGATGCTCATTACAACTTCTTTTACTAGGAGTAACCAGTTTGTAGCTGCCAAGGGTATCGACATGTTTTGAAGTTAAGGATTCTAAGAGATATGCTACTTTCACTCTGACAATGGATGGGAATACAAGATTTGAATTGTCTTCAGCCAGTCCTGATTCAAATTTTGCTGGGAATTACCAAAATGGGCAGAGGGGATATTCTGCTCCCACTTTAGGAAGGTCTTCTAGTTTCAGAGAGGGTTCAGAAAGTAGAAGTGCTGGGTCTGGGAAGGTGAATTCTAGGGTCAGTGCTTCCCTTCCAAAAGATGGCTCTATGCTATCACAATACCTCATGTTGGAGCCTATTGTTATGGGTGATACAAAATATGCGCGGGGTGACTTCAGGAGGGTTCTGAGCCTTTCAGAAGAAAATTCTTTTGGTGCAGCCCATCTGAAGAGTTCACCTCCCATGGTTGTTGAGGAACTAAAACGATTAAGGGCAAATGTAGCTGATGTTTGTGCCAAAGCGAGGTAAATTTTATATCATTCTTATATTATTTGAAAATTATTCCTTATTTTAGAGTCCGACGAAGGTCCCAATGAACCTGGTCATACATATCCGAGCAATGAATGCACTTGCATTTTATTTTTCTACCTTCCTTGTATGAATTTGAAGAGATTATTCTAATTTGTTCAAAATGGAGTTAGTCATTTATTTTATTTTTATATATCTAAAATCTGTGTACATTATTTTCTATATCTAAAATCCGGGCACATTATTTCTTGATAGTGGTAGGGCCAAGAAGTTGGATGAGCATTTGAACAAGTTAAACAAATTTGTTGAGGCCATGCCTACCAAAAAGCAGCAGCAGCAGCAGCAGCAGAGGAACGACATGTTGACAAATGACCGCCCTAGTGGCTCAACTTTGAAAATTGGATCTCAGCATCGAAACCCTTCGGAATTGGGAAGTCAAAAATTTGATGATCGGCCTAAGAGTGCTGGTCTGAATAAGCGCTTACGCACATCAGTTGCAGAAACTCGGGTTTGTTTTTTCTTCTATTTTAACATTTGCAATGGCTACTGTAAGATTACATATCCTGTTGAACAGAGATAATAGTTGCCTCAAGTCGTCATTAGTCTGACATGATTTCTATGGACGATTTCTGCTTGCCAATATCTGTTCCATTTTGCTTAGCTAACAGATGCCAGGAAGACATTTTGCTCCTTTAGTGTTTGTCAACTTGCATTTCCATATTTTGTTGCGTATGCAATATTAATGAATGAATGCAATTTTGGGAAAGTATCTTGTGCTTTATCTGGGATCAAATGAGCTACTCTCATTTGAGAGATTAATTAAAATGCTTCAATTCTATCCAAGATTAAGAATCTAGTTCCATGTGGATATTATTATGTGTTGTAATCGATGGTGTTACTAGTTCAGATCATTTACTTGATTGTGCTAGAGTGACTGTCACCCGACTATGTCTTATTTATACTTGGAAAAGTTCTTAGATTTTGCCAACTTTCAGGCAGAATGCAGGACTAATGGTGCCTTGCGGCAGCCTTTGATGGTGACAAAAGAACGAGAGCTGGTTAAAGAAAATAATGCTGATTCTGATGCGGTTGATGAAAAAATAAGGAGGTTACCTCCTGGTGGAGAAGGCTGGGAAAAGAAAATGAAGAGGAAACGTTCTGTTGGTGCTGTATTTTTGAGATCTGCTGACAATGATGGCGAAGTGAAACGAAATGTGCACCCTAAGCTTACTGTTGAATCGAGCCTGCAGTCGAGCGATTCCACCCATGGCTTCAGGTTAGTGCGAAGTTGAATTTCTTTGCTTTAGGGTGCTGCATTGACTTATTGTTATTTCTAACTAATTCTAAAGTGCTGTTGAATTTCTGTGGTTTTCAAAATAAACTTTATTTTGAACTTTATTTTTGGATTCTGGTTGCTGCCTTCGATTGTTGTTGAATGGGGCTGATTTAATGGATCAGGATAATAATGGTTACTGTTTTCTTATAGCCATATTGTGTTTTGATGTGCTAATTTCATTGGTTAGCTTATGTGCTGATCACTTTTTGATGTTTTAGTTGAACTTCATAATAACAGATCTATACCAGAAATTTATTTTGTTTATAATAACTAAGACGTACACGAACACTAAAGCAGCTGGTCAAGGTTATCAGCCAAGTGATGAATGCTTGGCAGATAGAATACATTGGGCCTGGGATGTCCACTAATTAATTTATATCATTTTACTTGAACCATGATTCAGTTTTCTACAAAAAATTTCACTATAGTAAGTTTTTGAAAGCATCCATGTTCACGTATCATTTAGATTTCTTAAGTAAATCAAGCTTTTGAATATAATGCTATTAATGAGCCTTATAGACTGTTTCTATTTCCTAAGAAATTTAGAAAACTATGTTAGTTTTGTTACAAACTTTTAAATAGTTTCAATGGAATTTAAATAGTTCTGCTATTGAAAATTACTTGCTTTTTGCTTATTTATGTTTTCTTCAACGTGGTTTTATGTGCGGACATATCCTCAATTTATACAATGTATTATCAAGCTATCACCACCTTTTTGTTCAATTATCAAATCTCGAGTGAAGTTATCTTGTCCATTCAGTGTATCTTGTCCTAAGCCTGTTTCTCGTTAAAAATTCTTCAAACAGGTCAGGGGCTTCTGGTGGGAACAACAAATTAGACCCTCTGCCATCTCCTGCTGGTTCTTCAGGTCGAATGAACTTAAAAAATGAACAAGAAAAACCAGTGCTTTCAAGAGAGATTTCTGGTGGACCAATCAAGGAGCGAGCTTTAGGAAAAGTAAATGTTAAGTAAGTAGCTCCCCATGTGCCCATAAATCTCCAGTTTAGCTGCTCTACTGTAATATCCAGACCCTATCCCTTTGCAGTTAATTGTCCAAAAACTGGTTCTGTGTATTTATGTATCTGTTTATTTCATGTAAACTTGATATTTTGAGGTTGTTCCTTTTGTTTGATACTTTTAGGTTGAATAATCGTGAGGAAAACCATTCCGTGGGCCCTAGTCCAATTGTAAAGGGAAAAGCCTCAAGAGCCCCAAGGAGTGGGTCCATGGCTGCAGCCAATGCAGTTGGTAATAGTCCCCAAATACCTGGAACTTTGGAGAGCTGGGATCAGCCACAAGGTATGAACAGAACTCCTGCAGTCAGTGGGCTTAACAATCGCAAGCGTCCCTTGCCTGCAGGGTCATCTTCCCCCCCAATTACTCAATGGGGTGGTCAGAGGCCGCAGAAGATCTCTCGAACAAGGAGGACAAACCTTATTCCTGTATCAGGCCATGATGAAGTACCACTGCAGTCTGAAGGATGCTCATCAGATATTGTTCCTCGTATTAGTATTGGTGGGGTCAATGCATCTTTTCTCCCCAAGAGCGCTGCAAATGGAAGCCAAAATTTTAAAGTCAAGTCTGAAAACGTTTCATCTCCTGCAAGATTGTCAGAAAGTGAAGAATCTGGTGCTGGTGAAACTCGGTTAAATGATAAAAGCAGTAGAGAAATTGAAGAAAAAAGTGCAAATGCTGGTCAGAATGCTGTACTTCCTGCAATTTCTATGAAGAAGAATAAAATTGTGCTCAAAGAAGAAAATGGTGATGGTGTGAGAAGACAAGGGCGTAGTGGAAGGGTATCGCCATATTCTAGAGCTAGCATTTCTCCTACAAATGAAAAATTGGATAATGTAGTGCCAAGCAAGCCACCTCGAAATGCAAGATCTGGCTCTGACAAGACTGGAAGGTTGCTGATGTTTTCTTTTGCAGAAAAAAGTTGACTGTGATTTTTTATTACTGAAGTAACCCCCTCCCCCCCCCCCCCCCCCTCTCTCTTCCAATTTACTTATCAAGTTCTTTTTCTGTCTTAAATGATTCAGTAAATCTGGCCGCCCCTTGAAGAAGCTTTCAGATCGCAAAGGTTTTTCTAGACTTGGCCATGTAGCAAATGGCGGTTCCCCTGACTGTAGTGGTAATCATTTAAATGATGCATCTTGAGATCGTGCTTTGTCGATATTGTTTTCCTCTCGATAATGTTTTTCTCATTTTACATGCCTTGCATTCTGTAACTGCCAACACAAGAATAGAGCATATTGTTTTTGCACATTTTGGATTGTAGCAGGTGAAATATAGGTCTACTGTAGGATTTTTATACTCAATCAGTTTGTCTGCTTTATGATAGTACGATCATGTCTCTGCTAAAGATTGCTGATCTATGGTACTGGATTTTTAGAGCTTGAATTGGTTTATATGCACTTCTAATTTTTAAATCTGTTATGCCTAGATGATTCCTAGTTACTAACCTTATGTTTGGTACTGATCTATTTGAGCTTAGAGTTTCTTTACTCTGCTTATGTTCGAGTCTGTTATGCCTGGAATAAGAATTCCTGGTTACTAAAGTCATACAGTCAGTAGAATGTCTGGAAGACTGCCTTTTTAATTGAGTTTGTATGGTCAACCTTTTTCACTGTTTTGATGATAAGGTGCTCTACGGATTTAAAGTCAAAGTGAAAGGAAAAAGATTCTTATATATACTGATTCTTGTATTGTTATGTCGTTGCAGGGGAATCAGATGATGATCGTGAGGAGCTCGTAGAAGCTGCAAAGCTTGCTTCGTGTTCTAACTGTATGCATCTGGAATCATTTATTTTCTTATGCCAAATGTGATTTTTGTGAAAAATGCAATGACACTTCTAACTGTGCAGTTAATGCGTGTTCAAGTGCATTCTGGAAAACATTTGATGCTTTGTTTGCTTCGGTTGAACAAGATGATAAATCATTCTTGTCAGAACAGGTGACTATCAAAATGGTTCAGTAGATTAACCAGTTTTGGTGATGGTTTGATTCTTAAAAAATTCAATTTGTTTTCATTCAGCTGAGATTGGCTGAAGAATCCCTTGGAAGTTTGTCTCAGATCTGTATCAAGAGCAATTCTGCTGATATTAAAGTGGTTTGTAGTTTCTAATCTCCTTTTATCATGCACACAACTCACTTGTCTTGATTTTATTGGGTGTTGAATATATTGTCGTTGTGCTATTTGTTTTTGGAGAAGGGTTATCTTATTTGGGCTACTTGCTTTAAATAATGATTCCTACTATAACTTCTCTGAATTTATTCATGTCAGGATGATAATCACCATGAAGAAATGGCAGCAACAAACAACGTCAACCTCAAGGATTCTTTGGATCAAGTTGGGTTTCTTGGACAGTTTCAGAATGCCTTTTTACCTCGGGGTTTGGATGAAGAAAAGAATGCGAAGACCGTTCCACTTTATCACCGGGTACTGTCCGCTTTAATTATAGAAGATGAAATCAATGAATCTGAGGAAACTGGATTTGGGAGACAAAGGAGTTCAGGCTATGGTTCTTTACCCCTTACTGGCCTTGAAAGTACACGTAACGACGGGCTGGGATATTGTGATACTGTTTTTGGTGTTCAAGGTCTGAAAAATGGTAATTCACAGAATGTATATCCTTGTAATGGTAATATGGGTGTTGATGTGAGCCCTAGTGCTCTGGATTATAGATGTAACGGTGAACTAAAACAAAGGGACAGTGGACGCATGCACCCAGATCTTGAAATAATACTTCAACTCTCAGGATCTGGTTATGTTCCGCAAAGTCTGCCGGAAAATAATGGTGACATCTCTTCTTTTGGTACTCAAGATGAACAGCTCCGTCTTGAAGAAAAGCTTACCCTTGAACTACAAAGCATTGGCCTCTTTGTGGAAAATGTGGTGAGTTTTAGATTATTTCAATTAAAACTCAAGTAGCATGTTTTGGTCATGAAGTACGTATGTTCTTTCTGAACTTATGTGGGATCAAAGTAATTATTTTCGTAGTGAGTTTTCTAAGGTTAAGAGGCAGTATCTTTCTAGAAATATGAGATGTTTAAGTTCTTCATTACATGTTATGTTTTCACCCTTTGAAATTCATTTTGTATGCAGCCTGCTCTGGAGGACAAAGAAGATGGGGTGTCTGAGGAAATTGTTCAGCTACAGAGGAAACTTAATGAGAAGGTCTTCTCGCATAAAACCACTTTAATTACTTATTTTCTGCATTTCACAAGAATTCCACTACACATGTGATTAGATCTAATTGTATGTTGATCAATGTAATTCACAATCTTTAGATGGGGAAGAAAAAGGCATGCTTGGATAAATTATACCATGGGATTCTAGAAGAGGACAAAATTGGAAGGTAAATCACTTAATATGCAGTAATATTTATGGATCATTATATTTTATGTCACCATTGCACTCAAATGTGATGACAATATAACGCTATCATACAAGTAATGTTATATATATATATATGTGTGTGTGTGTGTATCATTCTCAGGGATTGCGAGCAGACTGCAATGGATAGACTTGTTGAGCTGGCATACAAGAAACTTTTGGTTAGTCTTTCTACCTTGATTCATGCTTTATGCAGCCTTATCACATTTGTAGTTATGCATCCATGCGAATTATTGTTCAGCTGGTTTGTCAACAATCTAATATCTATATGAGGTAAAGGTTTACCAAGGATTGGATAAAGAAAGAAGCTATTATCATGGAAAGACTAACATTTGATCCAATAGTCTGATAGATGTGTCTGTTTGTAGGCATTATGATTACTTAGATATCCTACAACGCATTTGAATAAAATTTGAAATAATTATATTGTTTCAATTATTTCATGACAAAAGTAAGTCAAGTTTTAAATAATGTTATATGTGCCAATAAAAGAAAACTGATCGTGAGGGTATAAGCTCTTGAAACTGGAGGTCTGAATAAAAGTAATGATCATTAAGCTTGCTTGGATGCTTCCTTGGTATTGTTAGACGTCTAGTGTCTCTTTCCTGACAAACTTGTCATTTTTTGCTTGATTGTTCTGTATAAATCCAATGGTAACTTTAAACCTAGATAAAGTTATGCACATCAAAGTTATCCTTGATGGTTTGTGTAGTTGTGTCAATGAGGTTCTCTTCCAATTATAACTGGGTTGGCTTATCAGCACCTTGTAGTGCTGCACGTAACATGCAAAATAATTTGAGAGAGGAGAGTTTGATATGCATTGGAGGCAAAAGAGAGTCGAAGAATTTCAATGCGTACCTATAGCTAGAGGAATTAATAAGAAGATGATAGAGATGGGATAATAAGTTTATAAACAGTCATTGTGGCTTGTCCTTAAACTCTTCATTACTATGCTAGTTAAGAGTTCATTATATAAACATTGTTTGAAATGATCGACAGTCAACTAAGGGAAGCTATGCTACCAAACATGGAACTCCGAAGGTGAATAGACAAGTTGCTTTGAGTTTTGTCAAGAGGACGCTTGCTCGATGTAGCAAATTTGAAGAAACTGGAGAAAGCTCCTTCCCTGATCCTGCACTTCGTGATATTCTCAATGCAGCACCCCCTCGGTTTCCCGAGACGGATTTGCTTTCTGGTATGAACAACGATTCATCTATGAACTGCGACAATATTTAAATGTTGTGTTAATATCGAATTCATTTTTTTAATTGCTGTGCAGATTTGAACACTTTACACCCGTCTGCTGCTAAAAACTGGCCATCATCAAATCGAGGAAAGAAGAAGGAAGTCTTGCTGGACGACGTTGGTGGTGGTTCTGCCTTCCGGGCCTCTTCTGCTCTCGGCACTTTGGGTGGTGCAAAGGGAAAGAGAAGCGAGCGAGACAGAGACAGGTTTCCTAAGGCAGGTCGGCTGTCTATGGGCGGCTCCAAGGGCGAGCGAAAAGCAAAATCGAAGCCCAAGCAGAAAACAGCGCAGCTCTCTACGTCAGGAAACACGTATCTTGAAAATCTTCCGGAACCAAATACTGCTCCTGCCAATTCCACCATCAGCAAGAGAAAGGATGTCCGGTTCATGTCCACCGCAAACGGCCCATCAGCAAAGGAATCTGCAGACTTCGACAACCTGCAACTGGACGGCATAGATGAAGCGCTAGTTGACCCAGACGGCGGCGCCCCTCAAGACCTCAATTCTTGGTTCAATTTCGAAGTGGATCCCATGCAAGACCACAACATAGCCGGCCTTGACATACCCATGGACGATCTCTCGGAGTTACAGATGTTTTGATCGAGACTTGCAGATTCTTGTACAGCATCGATCGGTGATGGTGATTCGATACTTATTTTGTTTAGGCGTTTCTTGTTGTCCTTTGGTGTATTTCTGCACCATATGCTTAGTGCCGAATGGCCCTTGTAATTATGCACTTTCTTTCCCTTTTTTTAGCCTTTGTTTGAACTTTTAAATTCTTTACCATATGTTGGTCGATCATGTGTTTGCAGACAATGATGTTTCCTGGTAAGAAAGTATCAGCAGCAGTATTATTCACCCATTGTTAAATCCTTATGAATTCTTGGAAACACACACAAATGAATCCATACAAAAAAAAGAATCCATCATCCATATTAGAACTACTTCTTTAACTGTAGTGTTTGCCAAATGTTCGTTTCAAACGCCCCAAAGCCTGCTTGGAGATGACATTCTTGAAACACAGAACACTTGCAATCTCCATAGCCTCCACATTCCATCCTGCGAAACCTATCCCTTCCACCAAAAGAACGTAGGTTGTCTCGTTCGGGCGGCACCCCTTTTCGACCATTTCCCCGAGCACGTCGATGGCCTCGCCGATCCTACGAGCTTTGCACAGTCCTAGAAGTACTATGTTGTAAGTGACAACACTTGGGAGGAACTCACTTGCCTCCATGTCCCCTAACAACTCGATCGCCCGATCCACCATCCCGTCTCTACACATGCACGATATGATCGAGTTGTACGTGATCTCGTCCGCCTCGATCCCTTTCCCAATCATCTCTTCGACGAGCATCACTGCTCTACGTCGATCGCCGACATTCCACAACCCACTCACCATCGTGTTGTAAGTGCTCACGTCAGGAGGACACCCGTGGTCTGCAAGATTCGCGAAAACCTCCATAGCTTCATCGGTGCTACCGTTCTTGCACAATGCAGATAGTATCGTGTTGTAGTTGACAATGTCTGGAAAGCAGCCGCTCGATATCATGAAGTCCATGAACGCAACGGCTAAGTCCAGTTGACCCTCCTTACACAATGCGGATATCAAGGGATCGTATGTGTACGTATCGGGCTTGAGCCCGTCGTCCATCATGATGTCTAAGAGTCGAATCGCCTCGTCTAGCTGCCCTTCTTTGCATAAAGAACTTATGATGATGCTGTATGTCACGACGTTCATATCACAGCCTGCTGAGAACATTTCAACCATCAGATGCTCTGCATCCTCCCATTTTCTTTTATTCAGCAATGCCCTCAACAATATGTTATACGATATCACATCCGGTTTGCAGCCTCGACTAGCTAAGCTCCTCACAAACTCAAACGCCTCGTCCATCAGCCCTTCCTTGCACATTCCTCGTATTATCGTGTTGTACGTGTACATGTCGGGCTGCAGGCCCCTCGCCAGCATCCTGTCGAAGAGCTTCATGCCTTCGCCGATGCCTCCTTGGAGAATAAGCGACTCTAGCAAGATCGTGTAGGTGATCACGCTCGGCTGGCAGTTGTCCTCGGCCAGCAGCTGGTCCAGCATCTCCATTGCAGATCGAAGCTTGCCTCGATTGCAAAGGCTGCCTATCATGATGTTGTAGGTGACAACATCCGGCGACAATCCTCTGCGGCGCATGCTGCTCAGGACTTGATTGGCAGTGTCGATCCTATTCAGCTTGCACAGGCCGCTGATCAATGCATTGTATGAGAAAATGTCAGGCTGGCTGTGGTTCTGGAGGATGGCCATGACTTGAAGGGCTCTGTCGACATCCTTAAGGGTGAAGAAGCCTTTGATGAGCTTTGTGCAGAGGATTACGTCAGGTGTGTGGCCTAAGGAGACCATGCTTTCGAGGAAATACAGGGCCTCATGATAGTTTCCAGCCCTGCAAGACCTCTGCAGCAGTTTCAGGTAATGGGATTCCATGAAACCACCACCATTGCTGTGGTTGTGATGATGAGTGAACCTTTTGGAATTGGGATTCTTCCTAATATGTGTGTATCTACTAATGCTATTGGATTTGGGGTTGGGGTGGCTTCTGCAGCAGCAGCATTTCTGGCGGGAATGGGAATATGAAGTGGTGAATGACAATGTGAGGCTTTGAAGACCACACTCAGCATGGAAATAAATTGCAGTCATCAGTTCTCTTTCTCTCTCTATGTTCTGCACCACTTCTCATGGAGGGAGAGAGGGAGGAAGAAAGGAGTTTATTATATACCTAAGTCCATAAACCAATTTACCAACATCCCCGGAGTGTTTCAAAAATAGTGGGTTGTGAGAGATTGACTGCTTTTATGGCTTGGTTGCAGAACCTATGGATAAGAAGAAGAAGAAGAAGAAGATATTTATTGATCAAGAAACGACAAGTGTCATCTTGCTGACCCCCCATTTTGCATGTTATGTTATCATCATCATCGTAATGGATGGAGAGAACAACACAGGGTAAAAATGATTCTATTTCGTGCCTCTCTGTATTTGTCTGATTTATTTTATCAAAATACATAATAGCTGATGGATAGTGACAACAAAGGTAATTTACATATCACCAAATACATCATAGAAAATTGATTATGGCGAAAATACTTACACAGGCATGTATATATAGATAGATATGGCAGACGCAAGCAGCCCAAGTGCGATCTTGAGCTTTGTATAATTTTTTTGTTCAATCGGGTCTGATCTGATCTAGACTAAACTGTGTGTACAAACATAGAAATTTTGTGGCATAAGCAAGTTAGTATAATTATGTTCAGGAGCTGCTGCTGCTGCCGCCTCGCTTTGTTGCTTCGGTGCTGCTCATTGTCATGAACGATTCTCCACACCCGCACTGCCCCGTGGAGTTTGGATTGATGAATATGAACTCAGATCTGGTCAGAAGCAACATAAAAAATATTAGAATTTCACATTCGAACACAATCAATCTGTAGGGCTGAAATGTAAAGTTCACAAGCACAAGCAGAATGTAATGATATGTGGGTTTATTGTTTATATCAACAAAAAAATGTAGCTTCTGGTTTAGGACAGCTGCCACAATCATCTGTTTCCTAAAATTAACAGTCAAGAAATACAATTTCTAATCTTAAAAAAAGCCATGGCAAGAACAAGAGAATTTTACTTATTCTAATATCAAAAGGCTGCAAATAAAATGATTTCTTCAATTACTATATTCTCTATCACACCTTGAGTCAAACAGCTAAAAAGGAGAAGAAACAAATTTCATGTGCCTTCATTCCCTCAACTGAGTACTTTTAAGAGGCAAATTTGGTGATTGAAGAGAAAATCAAAATTGGTAGGTAGAGAACTGGATCATACCTCAGTTTGTCATCAACAAAATCCATCTTTGTTCCTATCACATGCATTAGGGCCTTGGGATCAATCAATATCTTCACTCCTTTGTCCTCAACTAGCTCATCGAACTTTCCTTTGTCATCTGCAACGTGAAAAAGAAAGACATCAATGCACGCAAGAGCCAGAAACGTAGCTCTTGTTCATTTTCCATTGGAAATATCCGTCCACAATCCATGACATTGTTTATTTTAACTTAAAGTGATCCATGAAGCATTTTATATTTCCATCTATTACACTACTTACTGGAAATCTAAAGTTGACCATCCTCACTTATGGCTATTGTCAGCACCAAGTGAGAACATTGCCAAAACTATCACTATACATAGTCGGAAACAGGCTCACTGCTATGATATATACTCAAGGGAACGGGTGAGCAAATACCAAAAAACCTCAAGTTAAAGAAAGAATCACAAAAGAGAATTACAAATAACAATATATATATATATATATATATCCGAGGAAAATAAGTGATAAAAGGGGAAAGTCACTACACTTAAGGTCCAGAAAAATTAATCAATATGATGAACATTCTTGAGGGATATTTATGACAAAACGTCACTGCCTAGAAGCAACACAAAGAAATGCGAAGATATGAATGAACATGACGTAGCGGTAAAATAGAACACAATCATATAATGGTAAATAATACAAGATAATAAGTATACAAACTAAAAATAAAACAACAAAAAACATATCAGGGGAATCTCTTGTTTTGAAAAGTTTGCTCGAGAAAACGAGCGAAACATGGCTGATCAAGACAAACCAAAAACCAAAAGGGGGAATTGTGATATTAATACAATAAAATTATAACAAAAAAGGAAAAAGCCGACACTTGACAATAGAACAACTTGTCCATTAAAGATTCTGCCTTTATTCCATACGTTCAAGCATTCCCATGGCACACAAGGCATTTTTCAATAAATTCAACGCAAAGCTTACAATAATATTTCCTCCTCCGTTAAAGAAGACGAATTTATAAAGTAATTCAACCATCCAAAAATCCCAATCCCTACAATCAATTAATCGGACTTACACATCCTTAGATTTATGCCAAAGAAACGCAAACATACATCGACATAACATAAGCATCAATCTATTTAAACGGAGGAAATAAAACCCACCGGCATAATTGAGGGTGTAGGATAATCCGTTGCAGCCGCGTGCCTTGACACCTAGCTTGAGGAAAGAGCGCTGGCGCTTATCGAGGAGCTGACGTATCCTGGAAGCCGCAGCTTCCGTCAAGGATAGGACTTGCTTTCGCATGGTGACTCCGGCGATCTCTCGAGACCGAGACCTGATAGAAAGAGAGGATTCAAACAGTCTACGATCTTCTTTTAACTAAAACTCATTCGAATAAACTTTTAACCGGATCGGGCGACCGAATTTATCCTATTCTATTAGGACTAAACCGCCATCAACCGAAACCGGTTTCTCACGGTTCGGTTTCGGTTCTGCTGTCTCCGAACCGGGCGGAGCAGAGCTCCAGGACCAGGAGGGTGGGTGAAAGAAAGAATGGAAGAAGAAGAAGAAGGAATGGAAGAAAGAAAGAAAGAACAGGCGTAGAAGAAGAGGAAGGGCGAGAGGAAGAACTGGTGCAGTGTGCAGTGCTGGCGGCTGCTGTGCTTTAGGGCAAAAGTTGTGAATAAAATGCATTACTATATTATATAAAAATAATATATTTATTTTATTAAAAAGAAAAATAATATTACTATATTATTATGTCATTTAAATTTATTTTTTTAATAAAAAAAATTATTTAAAATAAAAATATTTTATTTTATTTTATTTTTTTAAATTTGTATTCAGATAAATTTATTTTTGTTTTTTTTTTTAATAAAAAATATTATTTAAAGTAAAAATTTTATTTTTATCTAAAATTTACGAGCACATGAAAAAGTATTCTATAAAATAAAAATAATAAATAATTATTAATAATATAGATAAAATAATACTAATGATCTTATTTTTGTATTAATAATTAGAAAAAATAATAATAATCAATATAAATGGAAGGGTTGAAAAGCGGATTTTCGATTATAAAATCGTAATTGGAATTGTTAAATTAAAAGATTATTTTAATATGATCTTCTGAGCCCAAAAGAAGCGTGTCACTTGAAGATAGTGGGCCTGAGATTCCTTTGAATATACAAACTGAGCTCCTGAGTAAGGCCCAATGAAACGGTACTAATGCTTAAGTAGTTAGTTACATGTAAATGTAAATGTAAATGATCTTATTTTCTGTCTGTCTCCAAAATAAAATGTTGGTTTGATTTGGTTGTAATTGTAATTGTAATTGTAAGAAATATTCAACTGTCATCGTGTCTTGAGTCGTTTTCGTAATGACTAATGAATGGCAATCAACAAAACTCAATATTATATACATGTATGTATTTCATTTCATATTAATATTAATATGAGCCATCTTTTACGACTCCCCAATAATCAATTTCAACATAATATATATATTTAAATGTTCACCATTTGACATATTGAAAATGTAATTAAGCCAAACATAATTATTTATTTATTATTCACGTAATTTATACATTCTCAAAATGCATCGTAATTGTTTTAATAAAAATTAATATAACAAATAATAATAATAATAATAATAATGTAATATCTATGCACAGCCGCCAATCAAATCATTGGCGCCTCCATGATTTGACCGATTACCTGTCCGAATCCAACGAAGGCAGACACTGAACCGTTCGGTCCAATTCCGAACCGGGCGGGTCCAGCATCCACATCAGCGGGCGCTGCCCTTCCGTGGCCGGTTCTTCCCAGAACCGAACAGAGAGCCAAAAAGCCTCGAGAAACCGGTGTTCGTACCTCCGCGGCTTCGAGTCCCGATGCGTCCGGTGCAAGAGACCCGAGGTGAACCGGGGTCGGAAAGCTGGGAAACCAGCGGCTTTGCAGCGCCCGGTTCGGACCTGCTTCTGAAGAAAGGCCTGGAAGACTTCTTCTCCGGCGCGTTCCGGCCGTCGGTTCCGAAGGATTTCCGGGCGGCGGCGGCGAGCCCCAAGACCGATGGCCTGGCGGCGGAGGATCTTTTGTTGGAAAGTGCGGCGTCGGAGCGGTGGGGGAATGACTTGGAGTTGCGATTGAAGCCGAGTTTGAGCGAGGCTTTGCGCTGCATTACGGCGTAGCGGTTGAACCAGTCTTGCTCGTCGGCGGTGGAGACCCAGAAAGACTCCGGCGGGAGGTCGTAGAGGGCCGATTCCGGCGGATTGCTGTCGGCCGTTTTGGATTCTGAAGCCATTGAATTAATTTGGGAATTAAGATCAATTGTACCGTGGGAATGTGTTTTATATACGTAGGCACGAAATCAATCATCGACATACCATACATATCTTAATATTATTATTATTATTATTGCATATAAAGACAAATATTTGATTAATGTTTTATTATTTTTTTCCCTAAAAAAATATGATATTGGGTATAGGTTTATTCATAATTATTTTAGTTTATAATATTTATTATAATAAATGGAATATGTATTAACAACAACCCCAACAAAAGCAATAAGCTTTAATTAATTAATTAAGGTACGACGTCATTAATATTCTGAGCCCAAATTATACTTACAGTTTTAGAATAATATAATAGAAATGATATAAATTTATCTTTATGCAGATAAATTAGCAATTTTTATTTTACTTAAGTAATAGTGTTAAAATAGTCGAAAATTTGAATATATACTAGAAGGGAAGGGAAGATATAGTAGGATTTATGATATTATTGATTAATCATATTATTATGTCATTAATTAATTAATTAATAATCAAATAAGCAGTCAAAAAACAAGGAGAGGAGAGGAGAGGAGAGGAGAGAGTTTAATCAAATGTCACTAAGTCTAAGCCGATTATTTATTCTTTGAAAAGGAGGCAACGGTTTTTCTTCTAAATTTTAATCAAGTTTGACATTTGTAACCATCCCCCTTTCAAAAGGGATTTCAATTTTCTAACAGACATTATGGAGTGCATTTAGTTATTGTCATTTCCGTAATATATATAAAAATAAATATTTGTTCAACCCATTCTACTTTTATTTACTCACGTGTTATTACTACTATTATTACATTTCTCCATTTCAGTTTGGATCCATCCTACTTTCTTTTCCGATGCCCAAATAAGTCACAACCAATATTTATACTCCTAATATTTGTTATTTCTATAATGTTCACACAAGTTTAATATATGGTTCAAAAATTCAAAAATTGTGGGTATTATTACATTTTCCACTTCTACAAAATTCCTAAGAAAATACAAGTAACAATATATAAAAATCTAGTTTGGTTATGGTGCCAATCGATTAAAAGTTCAAAAAGCACTGATCAACAGTCCATATAACATGTCATTTGTATTAATATAATACAAATACAATAAAATGACAAAAACACATGATATACTCGTATGATAAACATCGATCAAGAGTTCAAAAAAAAATATACATTTTAGATATGGTATATGCTCGTATTTCACATAACATATGCTATCTAGACTCTAGATCGGTAGTTTTTGCTAAGAAAATTAACACGTAACCGCATCTATATCTATCACTTCATCCATTTGACTTGTTTGAATATTGAAGTCGTTAACAATTGTATGCACATATGTTCATAAAACCTCAGACATTGAGAAGCAATCTTCATACATCCTACATGTAGCATGCATTATACATATCCAAGAATCAATTAACGGCTTTGAATTTAATATGGTTAATTCAAAAGATATTTTAAAATAATTCAAAAGTTATCCAAATCTTAAAACATTAGTTAATATAGCCTAATTTACAGGTTACGTCATAAATTTATCCAAAACGCATTCGAAAAATACCAATTGCGAATTCCACGTCATCATAATAATAATAATAATAATAAAATTCCTTGTATTAAATGAATGAGGATACTGATTTATGTGAGGAGAAACATAAAGAATTCGAATAAAGAGATCAATTAGTGAGGGCCTAAATCTCAACTCCAAACCCATTGTTAGTACTTTGAAGATACCTTAATTTTACCCAACACTAGTCACAAAAATTCTGTTTACATAATAAGAATTTTGGACATCTATTCATTAATAGTGTGTGTATTTTTTTTTTCTTTTTATTATTATTAAAACTCACATCATATACATTTTTTTTTTTTTACAAAATATTAAATTAAATATCAACTTTACCACTTACAAAATTCTCAAACATTTCAAAACTCTTATCCAAATAAAACCAAAACATTAGGAAAAAATTCTCTATCTAGTAGTATCCACCTTAATCTTACTTTTATAATAATAATAAAATGAAATTGCCCATTACAATAAAATAAAATTATATATATATATCCAATGCTCACTAGTTCAGTCATCACTAAGCCACCTTATTATTCTTATCTAACTCACAAAGATAATATACATTTGCATATAATATACATACCTTTTTCTTTTTTTTTTTTTTTTTTGTCACTTTAGCTTTCACCAATTTGCATTATTGCATATACTTTATAAGCAAACTTGAGACAGCCACCAAAGTATATATTTCACATTTGTATGCAGTAATGTAATTAATGATGGGATTGGAGAGGGAAGCTCAAAGATATACACTAAAATGAAAATGACGATGAAATTAAACAAAGTGTTGGTGGCTCAACTATCTTTCTTCTTCCTCATCATCTACCTCTGCACTGTCATTCCTCCAGCATCTGCTCAACAACCAGGTACTATATATTTATGTATGTATGTATGCATTCTATATATATAATATATATATATAGAGAGAGAGAGAGAGAGATCAAATGACCATAACCATTTCATCAAACCAGCTTCTTGATTTGCTTTTCTTCCAGTCGGGTATGGTTATAAATTATAATACAAGGGGAAGTTTTGACAGGATCTCTGAACAATTTTCAAAATTAAAAATACCATCTTGCTGTGAACATTCTATCTCATCACTAACAATGGAGTTTCCGACTCAACCTTCTGATCTTATTAAGAATCTATCTATAAAAACTGCAGCAAACAGTAAACACCCAGTCAACAGCAGGAGTCACTATCCTCAAGACATACCTCATGAGAACAAATTCACCCATGGAACCAATCCCAGAGCCAAACCGGCTAGCACAAAAGGCGGTGGTCGATCACGCTCCCCATATGTACAGGGGGGTGCAGGCGTAATACCCTTCTATGCAGCAGCTGCAGGACACGGCCGCCACACCCATCATAACAAAGGAAGCTCCTGTAAAACTAGATTAGTTGCTACAGCTTTGCTATCCATGTCTACATTGGCACGCCTAGTTTGTACAAGACTGCACGCGTAAGGGGAGTAACAAGTTCGATGACTGTATAAGAACGCAAGTACTACAAATTATTTTATTCTCAGAGAATGTAAAGTACAAAAGTGTGGTAGGCAGGCTATCGAAGCCACTTTATGGCTACTTGGTAATCAATAAACTGCATCAAGTATATGTTCTATAGCTTAGAAAGATAGATCGAACATTTCGCATTAGATTGCAAATACAATCATGTACAGAAGCTGTACCAGAACAAAGATGTTCACCTAAATATGTAGCAATTAAGAACTCTACACTTGATTTCAACTGTAAAAAGTTGTCGGTTAATACTTAAAACGAAAAATTTTAGCACAGTGCGGTCAAAGTTCGCTGATATTCCACTAAGTCAGTTGCATCAAAAAACACAAGCTAAATGTTATCGGTCAAGCATCGATCATGCGAAGCATAAGTGACCAAACACCATTGCAGCAGGTATTTCTTGATCATACAGGCCAGAGTACCTTTAGTCAAACATCATGTGGAGCATAAGCGATACCCGGATACCATTGCAGTATTTCTTGATCAAGCCAAAGTATTGCACAGCATCATGAGGCCGTAGGCCATCCATGAAGAAGCGAAACAGGTGAGAATGGGTATCACGCATCACGTCTAGTGACTGTTCCAATACTTTTGCTTGCTGTGATTTGTTTAACTCTGTGGCCTCCATCAGCGGCAACAGATCTTTTTCCTCCTCTTCAAAGTGCTGCTTGCAGTTTTCCTGGAAATAGGTAAACAGAAGCAACAACAATAATATTTACCGGTAAGAATGTTACAAAAGGGATTCAACGCCGTTTCAATGCTTTATTCAGCCGCACCTTTAATTGGAAGAGACGAGATGAAAGATTGTCGAGACCCTCTTGGTAATCAGGACTACCTGAATTCATTACTCCAATTACCTTGATCTCTTCTTTGATTCCATTCATCATAGGCAGGTGTCGGGCGTGCTCCTCGTTTGCATCTTTACATAATCCTGCACGATTCCATGTTCAAACATTTATTACAACCAACAATAAACTCTCATTCCATCAACTACCACAAAATCACGAGAAATTAAAGCCACAGTTCTTCAGAGAAAGCTAATTGGTCTTCTAATGTTGAATCACAAATCCTGAACCATAAACTTTAGATAAGGTCAATAGCATGGTAAACTGCCCTTGTACATTCGAGAGTCCCTGATACTCATCAGGAAACTAAATTTGATCAGAAATCAGTATAACTTCTGGATTTCAAGACTTTTGGATTCGGTAGCTATCTTCATCAAGCAAAATTGAGCAATAAATGGCTAAAGGAGATTGATTATATGTAAAAGGCAGCTGGTATGCTTAAGGGTGGGTTCCTGGAAAAGGACAAGATTAATAACTAGATTGCATCTACATTAAAGGGTGTTTTGTCTGTACCTGGATCGGCAGATTCGAGAATGGGGAAGAGAACCCTCTCCTCCATCTGGGCGTGCTCCAGCATCACTTGCAGCAACTGCGAGTACTCCTTGGCGAATTTTTTCACCTCCATTCTGGGGCTCCCCATAGAGGGATCCCCCCTCGCGTTCCCCCCACGCGCCGCTATGTCCTCCGCCCACCTCACCATCCTCTCCAGATGAAAGGTGATGCTGCGGTGCTGGAGCTGCGCCACCCACACCACCGTCGGCGTGTTCTCCCCGCACCAGCCCCATATACTACTGCGGGAGGCAGTAGTATCACCGGCGACGACCAAGGGCGGGTCGGGAAACTTGGCGTCCAAGTAACGGAGGATTTCTTCCGCGGAGCCGGAAACGACGTCGGATTTGTAAATAAGGGTAGGGTTTTGGTGCGCCTCGGAAGGGACGAATTGGAGAGCGACGGGCTTGTAGAGAAGCGCGAATCGGATGTGGGAAGTGGCGGAGCTGTCCTGTTGGCCGTACAATTTGATCGCCGGACGCGAATTCACCATATCCGACGGCGCGATTCCCCCCGCCGATTTGCTCTGCGTCCCAAAGCAATTCCCCATTTCCACAACAGTTACAAAACGGGGAGGGGGGAAAAAAGAAGGCAAATTTATATACAAAAACGCCAATCCAGAAAAGAGAAGTCAATATCAAGACTTGTGGGCAGGGCAGCGAAGAAATTCAAGAAAGATGTAGCAGAAAGCGGGTCAGAATCGAAATGGGAATAAGGAATGAAGGGAATGGGAATCCCCCGGAAGTCATTGCATCGGCATCGACGAAGGAGTGAATGAATCGAATCGATGGAGGATGAGGGAGGGAGGGGGTAGGTAGATATAATAGTAGGTTAGAGTAGAGTAGGGTAGAGTGGAGGAGGAAAGATTCTAAAGGGATTAGAAGAGGATGGATTTAAAGCAGCAGGAAATGATTAATGATAGACGACGATAATAAGGGAATCGGGAGCGACCACACCGACCGTTTAACTTTGGAGGGAGGGGAGGGGAGGAGCGTGCATGATTTGCTGTAGGAATCTGAGAAAGAAGATTTCTTGATGGATCAGGATGGATGGTGGGAGACGAGACGAGTCAGCTACACAGCAGCACAATTGAGAATACTTACTGATTTGCTTGCTACTATTTTAGTAACCGTTGGGGTTGAGTATGACTTTTCCTGCTTTCACTCTGGTCTTGTTTGGTTTGGGGATGGATTTTTTTTACTGGAATTGGGTTGGGTGCCGGAGCCGGGGCGGGTACGCCGGTCGTAATACTATACTATGTATGTACGTACAGGAGAGGCATTGCCATTTTAATGAAGGGAAATTGCATTAAATTTAATTTTCCAAACAAATACGCTCGGATCAGGATCAGGATCAGGATCAGGATCAGGATCAGATGCAGATGGATATGGAAACTAACCATTCCATCGATTCTCATTTATATATTGATTCATTGATTTACCATTTCAATGGTAACCTTCTTTATTAAGCAGTAACAGCAGTCAGAGCGTGTGACTAAGATGCGAGAGAGGAACGTTGGTTAAGGAGGGCCCACTGCAGCACTAAAGCCCAAGTTAAGATAAATATGGGCCCATTGGGAGCCTAGTTTGTTGGACTGGGGGCACACTGTAAAAAACAAAATTTTAGAAATAATAATTCTAAATAAAATAAAATCTTCAAGGTGGGGGATGGTTGGGTGGGTTTGGGTGCATGGAGGATGGGTTTGGTTTGGGTGTGAGGGGGTGGGTATGTTGTGTCGGACATTCTCGTCTTCCTCCTCCTCGACTCAATCTTCATCTTCTGCTGCTGCTGCTGCTGCTGCTGCTGTCTCCATTCTCAGGAAATGCATTGCGTTGCTGGTCTCCTGCGCCTCTACGGTCCCCAAGCTGCGCCAAATCCACGCCTTCTCCATCCGCCGCTGGGTCCCTCTTTCGAGCCCCGACATGGGCAAGCACTTGATCTTCGCGCTCGTCTCCCTTTCCGGGCCTATGCCCTACGCCCGGACCGTCTTCGATCAAATTCACCGGCCCAACATATTCACTTGGGATACAATCATCCGCGGCTATGCCGAGAGCCCTGATCCCGCTCCCGCCCTCGATGTGTATCGCCAGCTGCGCCTCAGTTCGCTCAACCCTGATACCCACACCTATCCTTTTGTCCTTAAAGCCATCGCCAAGTTGAACGTTTTGGGAGAGGGCGAGAAGGTGCACTGCTCGGCGCTCAAGGATGGGCTCCATTCCTTGACTTTCGTGCAGAATGCTTTGGTTCATCTGTACGGGGCCTGCGGCAGGGCGGACAGTGCCTACAAGGTGTTCGACGAAATGCCTGATAGGAATAACAATCTCGTGGCTTGGAATTCGGTGATCAACGGGTATGCTCTCAACAACAGGCCCGATGAAACTTTGATGCTCTACAGGAAAATGGGGTTGGAGGGGGTCGAGCCTGATGGGTTCACCCTGGTGAGTTTGCTCACCGCCTGTGCTGAACTTGGTGCCCTTGCATTGGGCAGGAGGGCGCATGTGTTTTTGATGAAGGTTGGTTTGGACAAGAATTCACATGCTGCAAATGCCCTTTTGATTCTCTATGCCAAGTGTGGGAACATCAGGGAGGCAAGGAAGGTCTTTGATGGGTTGGGGGAAGGTAGGAGTGTTGTGTCTTGGACATCATTGGTGGTCGGATTGGCGGTTAATGGATTCGGTGAGGAAGCGCTGGAACTCTTCCGGGAGATGGAGATGAGGAGAGTGGCTCCTACTGAGATCACATTTGTTGGGGTGCTTTACGCCTGTAGTCACTGTGGGATGGTGGACGAAGGGTTCGGTTACTTCGACAGGATGAGGAAGGACTACGGCATTGTGCCTAAGATTGAGCATTATGGTTGTATGGTCGATCTGCTGGGCAGAGCAGGTTTGGTTCAACAGGCGTACCGATACATCTGCGACATGCCGATTGAACCCAATGCAGTGATATGGAGGACATTGCTAGGAGCGTGTTCGTTACATGCAAACTCATCGATAGGTGAGATCGCGAGGGAGAAGCTCAGAAGTTTAGATCCTAACCATTGTGGAGACTATGTTCTTCTTTCCAACCTGTATGCATCTGAGAGAAGATGGTCGGATGCGCACAGCGTGAGGAAGATGATGCTTAAGGAAGGAGTGAGGAAGGTGCCCGGGTTTAGCCTCGTTGAACTAGGCAACCGCGTGCACGAGTTTATGATGGGGGATAAGTCTCACCCTCAAACAGAGGCAATATACGCAATGCTGTCGGAGATGACAAGGCGGCTGAGGGTGGAAGGGTACATGCCCCACACGTCGAATGTGCTGGCGGATATCGAGGAGGAGGAGAAAGAGAGTGCCTTGGTTTATCATAGTGAGAAGATTGCCATTGCATTTGTGTTGATTAATACGGCGCCCGGAACACAAATTCGAATCGTGAAGAACTTGAGGGTGTGCGCTGATTGTCACGTCGCAATTAAACTGATATCGAAGGTTTTTGAGAGGGAGATTGTGGTTAGGGATGGCAGCCGTTTTCATCATTTCAGGGATGGAACTTGTTCTTGCAAGGATTATTGGTAATGGACCTAATGATCGGTAGGAAAAACATTGCAATCCTAATGGTCGGTAGGAAAAACATTGCAATCCTTGACCTTGAGCTTAGTTTAGTCTTCTATTGTAATAGGAAATGAAGGTTGAATTTTGATGCTCTAATGTAAGTGGATATCATATCCATATTTTCCAAAGCTGAAGTACATTCAAAATGGAACACAAGTTATATATATGTAAGTGCTAGACTTCCCAATTTTTGTACAGAAGTGAAAAACAATAATGTCATCCAACACATTGATGAAAATGTCAACGGAACATAAGCCAGATAAGGCAAATTAGGATGAGAATAGCTCCTCCAACCATCAGCTTCATGTGAAGGCTCTGCAACCACATTTTCCGACGTAGCTGCCTCCCTTGCCTTTGGAAGCTGTCGGCCTGAACCAGTTATCCAAAGGAGCATTAGTTCATGAGATTCCCCACATTGTAAATTATACCAGGTGCATATGAGGGTAGACAAGACTTTGCTCTCACCTGGAACTGAAGGTTTTCAGTTTTATCTACCAGCAATTCTATTTTCTCACCACGATCTAGAACCTGAAGGGCAGGGGCAATGGGTAATCTTTGAATTAGAATCTCACTAGTATAGTTTGATTTAAAGATGACATAATATATCAAGAAGCGATAGCATCTATCAGACATTGATCTCCCAAAATAATGTTAAAACTGCAAGTCGAAAAGGATCATATGAGAAATTCCATACTTGTAATACGGACTACGAAGGCAAATCACCATTTATGATTTAAAGAAAAAAACACAGAAGATGAGCATTAGTACAACAAAGAAGAAGATAACAGCACTATAACTAAATGGCCATTATGTAAAATTCAAGCTTCTCAATAATAATAATAATCACCAAGACAGTCTTGATAGGCATCCCCACCAGTAGATTCTATTTGGGTACACTTAACTTATGGATTATACCAAAGTCGACGCCACATTGTAGGCATGAGAAACTGTCCTCTACTCCTCTTCTCTGGACCAAATTTCATGCACCTATCCAGTACTTCACATCCCATTCTTTTGTTTCATTCTTAAGTCCCATAAGAGAGCTTTATGCTATTATTGTGCAGAATAGTAGAACAAGTCATGCTAACAAGAGAAGGATGAAATACCATACAAACCATCACAGGAGAGGCTATGAACAAATACAAATTCATCATGTGTAAATAAGTTTGCATAGTTGATAAACTTGAATTTGACTGCAGGATTTTTACAGAGCAGTCATCCTTTCTATCATCATAATAAAATAATGTTTGTGATGAGACAGTTGCGAAAATAGGACCAAGGTTTCAACTGCTTTTAATTTCTTTTTTAAATATTTTCTCGCATTCTTTAGGTAAATCTTTTTTTTCCCTTTTCCTTCTTTCATTTTTCATTTCCTGGTTCTGTACTAGTATTCAAACTACTAACACAACATCAATGGAGAGCATTTTAAGCATAAACAGTAGACAAGGAAGTGCTGAGAAAAAACAAGAATGGAGCACCGGCAATTAAGGACAATGGTATCAAAGCAGTGCAACAAACTGATGCAGTCAAAGCACAATTGTAGTATCAATCATCAATAGATTGATTTGCTAGAACAATTCTATGAAATCATAGTACTTCATTAGTTATCTAAAAGGATAATAGACTGCAAGCCTACCTTCTCGATATTATCCATCATAATTCCTTTAACCTCTGTTATTTGAGCCTTCAATTTGGACATCTTATTCATTTCTTCTGGATGATTCATACAATACTCCATGTGCTCTTTAAGCTTCGGCCTAGTCAGCCAAACATCACATAAAGAAACAATTAAAACAAGGAAAGAAAGTAGACTTCCTTAAAAAATCCAAGAAAGGTCATACATACTACTTACCCAAACTCCCGATCTAGATTGTATGCAATGCTAAATCGATCTTCAAATAAATCATCCTCCTCATCATATTCATCGGCTAGAGTGTGTTGGTCATCATTCTTGATGCTATCACCATATCGTTGCTTGAAATCATCCTTCACCTTCTCGAGAAACACAAAAGGTACACTTCTTCCCATCGATTCATCAGCAACAACAAGGAAGACTGCACCCTCAAAACAAATGGTAAGATTTAGCAGCAATGACGGGGATCTGGATACTTTGAAAAGACAAAAGGGCCTATAGAGAATAGCTACCAAATCCACTGTCGAGGAGGAAATTGAAGGTGTGGCCATCACAAGAGTATGTGTACTTGCTGCTGCTGGAAGGAAGCTTCTGCAAGCACTGGACGGCAATAGTGCTGAAATTTCCAGAATAAGGGGTGTGTTCTGCGAGCACAACAGTCCCTTTGGCTACAAAGCTATAAATCAACCCTTTCGGACTCATCTTAGGAAAACCTGAAGCCCCCAAAGCGAAACATAAACATTAAGAATAATCCACAAAGCCGATCATAAAATCATCTTGGCTGATGGAAAACGGATAAATTGTTACTAACGAATAGATCATCACAACTGCAAATTAGAAAACAGACTAAAAGCAGGGAGCCAATAACGAACACCCCACGGACGTCACTGATATGGGCAATTAACCCTAAAGGAGTGTACTTGCAGCAAAACACGAACAAAATTCACCAGATCGATGAAGATAGCAAGTCGAAGAACATAAAAACTGAAATAAAAATTGTAGCACCTTGAGAGTGCGATCGCAGAGGGTTTGCCTTTTTTATGGAAATTGCTCCGACGATTGACGGATTCGGTGGCTTTGGCGCGAAGAAAAACGTGGGAAGTGGGTTCGACGGAGAGAGTTGGCAGATGAGAAGGACGGTGCGGGTGAAGTTTCTCTCGTCTTCTCTTGGTTAAGATTTCTGCCCTTTTTTCTGCAGCTCTTTAAATTTATGTAATTTTATTGATTAAATTAAAAGTAATATCTGGTTCTACAAAATAGTCATCTTTTTCACCTTGTTTCCGTTATTTTTATCGGGTTTGGATTGGTGCCGATTTAATACTGATTAGGTTAAAAAATAATTATTTTGTAAATCATATATATAAATTCTACACTAATAACACGGACCAATCCAACTCTTTATTTTATCAAGTGGGTTTTGTTTTCGTTTTCTCAAACAAAAAATAAATAATATAATATATACACAAAGTATATATTATTTGGGACCCGGATAAATTAACTATGCCTCATAATAAATAAATACAGCACAGGAAGGAAGGAAGCAGTAGCAGTAGCAGTAGCAGTACAAGTAAAATGAAAGCGATACTGATAACAAACATTTGCACTTGTGCTTTGTCCCAAATCTTATCATTTCCAGTTTTCAGGACATTTAAATCACAAAGACAACATACACATAACAACAACTATAACAATAATAATAATAACCATAGCATCAGTAGCCAATGAGTAAATAGTCTGGCCGATGATGAAACAGGAATTAGTTTGCATCGAGCTTTTATGTTTTTCCTTACAATTTCCTTTTTTTGGAAATAAATTACCTTACCTTAGCTTAAACTTCCCATTTGTCAACAAAAGCTTCAATGGAAGCTGAAGAACCACCAATCAATAATAGCCGTGCCTTGCCCCATTAATACAAGGAGCAGCACCTCTAGCTGTCCCATTAATATTAGGAGCAGCACCTCTGGTTGCCTTCACATACGCCACATACTCGTTGTAGTGCATGGTAAACAGCGTGCTCTGGTAACGCGTCAGTTGGATACCTTTTCTGAGTTGTTCGGTGATGGTGCCATTGTATCCCGCCTTTCTTATCAGGGAGTCGATTGCTTCCGTCTTGGACCAACCTTGCAAGCCAAAGACACACCAAAGTATTAGACACTACTTGTTGATTCTCCTACTGGAGTTGTAATGCACAAGTTACCTACCTTCATGAGCAGCAATCTCAGGCAAGTAGGTGGCGCTCCGCCTGGTATTGTAGTCAGTGTCAGTAAATTCAATAATTATTCCATGCTTTCCAACCTGCAAACACATTGCTTTCATATCCATTACATGCTACCGCATAAAATCCACAGGTAAAGTAATTCAAACAAATAAAGGACCGACCAATTTAACAGCCACTACTCTCATAGATTCATGCTATTCTCAAAGTTAATCACATCCATATAGATAGAGTTTACTTTGGATTAATGCATGAGTAAGCATTGTTTGAATTGGAAAGACCAGTAAAATATAATACCCCGTCAAAAGGGAAGGGTATGATTTGTGCTCCCATAATAAATGAGCAGCCTCTATCATAAATCAATCAAACAAGCATCTATAATTGCTTCAATAAGCTTCCTTCTTCTTCTTCTTCTTCTTCTTCTTCTTCTTCTTCTTCTTCTTTTTTTTTTATATATTGTGCCATAACACATCATGTAGTACATTTATCCCTTTGTCCTTCACAAGCAGCATTTAATGCTAAAAAGTTGGTAGTAAATCATGCAATGCCATTCTATTAAGTAGTAGTCAGAATTCATCCTAATTTTGAGTTAAAATACAAACCTACCACTAATTTTCCATTTTAAAATTTGTGACTAGAGTTGAAACCTTCCAAATAGAACATTGATACAGTAGGCTAAATTGTGCTTGACTAAAGAATGATTATTTTGAACTTATCTGAAACAACAAATCCAAAAATACTCCTTGTGTATTATACCACAAGATGTCAGAATACTACAACAACATGAACATATGGAATCTTTTCAGAAAAAAAGTGTGAACCATGACTTTCATCTTCCCACAGCACTGGGCAGTAAAAGTTTAAGTAACGCGCACACATTCATAACATTCAATCAACATTAAATTAATCTCAATACAGCACTGACCTCCCAGTCAAGATAGTCATGAGCAGATTCATAATTAGTCAGTATGGAAACTGTACATTCCAAGCAAGGCAATTCTTTGGCCTGTATAGGGGGAAATCTGCGGTCCCGGAGGGCACTACAAAACATAAAACAAAAGCATGATATCATGCAACTTATATTTGTGGGGATACAAACACATGGTATCAAACATCAAATTCAGAGATTCCAACATTGCACTACATCTGCGTAGGGTAAAGAAACTAGGAGTTTACAAAAAGAATAAAACCACACATTAACTTGCCATATATTTCTCTTCCATTAAAATATACTATTGAAGGAGAGACTACCAAATAACAAGAATAGAACGGTGCATGTATATGATACAGCAGTAAAATTGGAAGCAGAAGGGCTAACACAAAACCACATACTAAGTACATGATCAGTCAGTAATAAGGTTCTAGTCTTCCATGGAATTCTAGATGGTTTTTTCATCGGGTATGGATATTCATGCTCAACATAAAAAATATTGCTACAAGATTTGACCACATAAGGAAAGGAAAGGAATTATATAAGATATAAATGTGAAGTGACATATCAAAAATGAAGAAGAAGTTGTCAGATTAACAAAATTAGAATAGATGTTTGTTGGAGATAAAAGGAAAAGAAGTAGAGCTCTTGATTACCTTCAAATAAAGTTCCTAGTTTATTAATGCTGGTTTTTCAAATTCAAGCACAAAATTTTGTGATGGAAGTGACCTTTTGAGTAAGTTGTCCATCCGAATTCCTCAACCTAGCTTTCAAGTGAAAGCCCCATGACTATACTAATGATCTTTTCTTTCTATTACACACCAAAAATTAAAACTAAAAAAATTAAATTAAATTTGTCTCTGGCTTTTCACTCTAGCACCTTAAATTGTAATATATATGACTAGTATACATTCTGAATCAGCAGAGGGAAAGTCTCTGTTGTTTTTTATCAGTTACATGTCTTAATTAGGAGAACTCCCCCAACCATAGGCGACATAGGTAGAAGGTAGGACACATTTATGCTACATATTTTTAGTAGGAAATCTTGATTGCCCTTTACCTCATCAATCAGACCCCATATTAGATTTTTGCACAAGAAAGCCTCTCAAGTAACTATCCTTCCTTGCCTGATCCACCTCTTAGCAATTTTTTTCCCATACAAACTTGATCATAGGGTTATAAATGATATCAAAGAAAAACAAAAGATATCCAACTAGACACATCATAAAGGGAACAAAAGAAAGAAACCAAGAACATCACTACTCAGTACTAGCTCCATCTATGACAAAACAAGAACCAATGCACGTGATTTCTTTTGTATGTGTGAAACATCGGAGTCAAAAAATTACCTTGTTAAAGCATAATCCTTGAAACCACTAACAATACATCGAGCTTCAAGAGTACCTATGCATCCTCGTAGGCGAGATTCCCCACCATTAATCACTTTCTTCCATGTCACGAACAATGGACTGAAAGGAGAGTATAATTGGTATAAACCTTATATAATAAAATTCCAGCTATCACGAATTTATTCCTTGAAAAATCAAACCCAACAAGATGAGAGTTAAAGGTCCATTATTCATACAAAAAAAAAAAAAAACTCAGGGGGTGGGTCAGAATTACCTTCAGATGATGAATGAATAATTGAATAAATGTTGAGAAATGACCCAAAGTCATCTCTAAAAACAGGTTGTTATGTTCAGTCCAATCTTGGTTGAACTTTTCCAGGTGAGTACAGAGGGAAGATAGCATTTAACATGATAATTTCATAGTCTATTTCAATTTCAGAATTAAGAACACTGCTACAAGTCAACCACAAGCAGTTTACAAAGGAAAAGATGATGCCCCTGCAACTTACTTGCATCAGGTAAGATATCTCACGTATTAACTACAGCCACAAGATCATCAATGTGTCAACAAGCAAGCTTTGTACTTCCAGAATTTGGCAATCTCATAAGAAGATATTATAGCACATAATGAGAAGCAACAGTACTAAAAACTAATGACCTTCAAAATTATTTTAAATCGTTTTTTTTCAAATTAAAATGAGAACTTAAAAAAAAAAATAGAAAAAGTGCAGACCTGTAAACCGCATGCAAATGCTAGCAGATTGGTGCAATTAACCCAAGACGATGGTAACAAGAACAAAGAAGCCTTGTTTTTAAAATAAAACAAAACCTAAGCAAAAACATCTAGCTCACAATCAATCATGGAATGTACAACCAAATAATAAATCACTCAACAAAATCCAAGCACGCACAAAAAAGGGAAACGGCTGGGCATAAGCCAGGAAAAATCAAAACAAAGAAGAAACCAACACAGCAACACAATTACACCGTGACACGCAATTGAACAAAATTCCAGAAAAACGCAAAAAGAATGGGGATCCCGTACTGTTGACCCTCATCAAAAGCCGGAGGAGGAGCCTGCTCGCTATTGTAGTGTGCCACCAGCGTGTCGAAGCAGTACACAACCATTTCCTTGTTTGCGGACACCATGTTTGACGATGTTTCCCTCACGCTGCCGAAGAGATTCTCGGTAGGTCGAAGTCGATCGATCTGACGGCAATCGAATCAAAACAGAACCCACTCAATTGGGAAGCAGTGAGGGAAATAATTGGGAGCAGGAATTGCGGTGGCGTAAGGGACACTCTCCCGGGAATGATGAAGGAAGACGCCGGGGCCGAGCACCAAAACTGGAATATGTAATAATAATAATAATAATAATAATAACAGTATAATGGAATGAAAAATACGAATACGGATACGGATACGGCATGAAAAATTTAAGCCCACATACATTTTATTATTATTTTCTTTTTTCCGGTGACACGTGGAACAACGGAAAATCATTAGTAGCTACCGGTTTTCGAAAAGCGGTTACGGTTCCATCTTATCGAGAACCCGACCCGTTTCCAAATTCGGACCCAGTTGACTTTTCGATCGGTAATCTAGTCGATCACTCTCTGACGGGAACACTGCTACGGCTACCCAACAAAAAGCATAGCAGCGAAGATGGGGATGAGATCAGTGGTGTCTCGCACTCGAATGTACGGTTTGATGGAAGGAAAGTGGCTGCCATCTGCGTCAAGCCTTCGCTACTTGAGCGACGACAAGGGTCGCATCCTCAGTGAAGAAGAGCGAGCTAAGGAGACCGTCTACATCCAGGTTTTTGGTTTTAATTTCTGCTCAACTCTTTGGATTAAATTATACTACTACTTTGCCTGCCTGCCTTGCGTGTGATTTTGACCTTGCGTGTGATTTTGATCTTGTTTTTGAGTTAAGAAAATGGAGAGGGAGAGGATGGAGAAGAAAAAGAAGAAGGAAGCTGAGCAGGAGAGAGCTGAGAGGGAGAAGGCAGATAAGGTAATATTTGTTTAATCATTTTTTCGTATTCGGTTATGTGAAGATTGTGAAAGCTCTTATCATTCTCAAGCTGTGCCACTCTCTCTGATGACTAATAACAATTCAACGTAAGATCATCTGTGGATCATTATGAACAAATTATAGCGCCCCCTCAGTTGATCTGTGGCTTTGAGAACTCTGAGCCTGAGGTTCATTCAGACAAGTTGTTTGAGTCCATAACTACATGAGGCACAGGTGTTGTGTGTAAATGTTTTATTTGGAAATTTAAGGATGAGAGTTGTGAATTGAGTTTTATAATAGTATTTGTTATCATACTGGATATGGTATTTCATATGTTGATCTTATTTGTCTTCTTATTAATTCAATTGCCTATTGCATTCAAATGCGGAAATCCCTTTAACTTGGCACATAGCTAATGAGGGTATCCTCCATTTTTAAGTTTGACATAAGAATTTGTTCTTCAATTTGTTGCCTGATGCTTTCACTGAGTGTGGGACTTTGATCCAGATAGTATTCAAGCCAAACTGAAGTGAAAAGTTCACAATTTCTTTTCACAACAGCAATGGCTTCAGTAGTACCACTGTGCTACACAGTATAGCTTAGGCCATGAGGAAAAGACCAACATTAAGAAAGTAGATACTTTTTTTTTTTTTCTAATAGAAAGCGCTATTGCTGACTTTTATTGATTAGATTATTATTCTGCCTTGATACTATCTGATTTAACTTTCAGGATGGAGTAATTTTTAATTTGCTGCAGGCAATTTGACTAATTGCGTAATAGACAAGAATATTAAACATCATTAACTATTGTTGCAATATGATTGTTTTTGCTTCAATTTTGGTTACCACATCCTCGATGTAAAGTGATTGTTGGGAAGTGAATGGAAGAATGATCATGTTACTTTTAAAAGAGTGGTTTCTGTTGTGGTGTGATGATCATCAGGGCATGATGTTTACTCTGATTGACTAATTCGTGTTTATGTGTAAATCACGAGTAATTGGTCAGTGAGGATTATTACCCATAATCTTTGGGTTCTATTGTTTCAAAACTCGTTGATTATATATGGTTTTTAGTTTATTCATAAGCCAACTAAATTACCCTTTGGTTGTCCTTTTTCTTTGTGAAGGCAGGAGGAGAAGCTCAAAAGAGCTGAACTGGGACATGTGTTTGTTGGCCAACTTCGAACCTGCAGCTGCTGTTTCTTGCTTTACAGATAAAATAAGATGTACATAAGTTTGTCCGACTGTGTTATTAAGGTTTGGTGCTTGTGTATGGTTTGGTGACCATCAATGTGTTGATGTGAGAATTATATATGCTCCATGTGGCTGTTGTATATATTGTGGTCTTTGCCCCTCAAATGTCTTTCCAACTATTTCCTTCTTTATGTGGCTTATGCCGATCGCACCTGTTCTTGACCTTGTAAAACTACTTTCTTTGTCTAATTAAAAAGGGGGAGAAAATGACCGGAGAAAAGAATCAACTGTAAACAATCAATCAGATCATGGGCAGCAAAAAGAGGACTAGAGCTGAAAGAGTTTGTTTGTCTGGCTAACTTGTGTGAGAGTCATAATCTGGTTATTTGATACTATACGTCTCTGCGTGTGTGGTTTTCTCAAGTAGTTAGGATGGAGATGAGAACTATGTGATGATGTGAGGGGTGGTTTGCTAATTCTTGGCATATATATATACACAGGTATATTCTTTTGTTCTTACTGTTGCAGCTAGCTAGCTAGCGTTAATGTCAAAGCAGAGCAGAGCAGAGCCGAGCAAAGCAAAGCGCCGGCGATCAAGGGATTCTTATATGCATAATAATAATACATACATTTGGTATTTCTGACACGCCCATGCTATGTTATGTTTTAAGTTTATTACCAAAACGGCATTCTCTGGACATTACTTTACTCTTCTCTAACCATCGACAGTATCAAGAAAATAAGTAGCCAATCATAGAATTAGTTATTCATTTTCTCCTCTCCTCTGTGTATATATATTCTTCATCATCTTCTTCTTCAATCATCCATATCTTATAGTAGTATCTAGTTATTAATCAGCTGATGGCTACAGTAGTACTTGTTAATGTTGTTCTTCTTCTTACTATTCTTGTCCATCATCATAATCAGGTTCAGGTATCCGCATCCGATCCGGACATCCTAACCGACTTTGTCGTCCCGGTGCCACCAAATACGAACGGCACCGTTGACGTGGATGGCAGCTACTTCACCTACACCGGCCTCCGGTCCTTCATCGGGGCGTTCCCACCAAAGTTCACCATATTCAAGGCGTCGGTGACACAGCTCCCGGCCCTGGAGGGGCAGAGCGTGTCGTATGCGGCCCTGGTGTATCCCCCGGGGGGCAGCGTGAACCCGCCCCACACCCACCCGCGCGCGTCGGAGCTGCTGTTCCTGCTGGTGGGGTCGCTGGAGGTGGGGTTCGTGGACACGGGCAACCAGCTGTTTGCGCAGACCCTGCAGCAGGGGGACATGTTCGTGTTCCCAAAGGGGCTGGTGCACTACCAGTACAACAAGGATGGCAAGAACCCGGCGGTGGCGCTGTCGGCGTTCGGGAGCGCAAGCCCCGGCACGGTGGCGGTGCCGAGCGCGGTGTTCAACGCCAGCATAGACGAATCCATCCTGGCAGCATCGTTCAAGACGGATGTCGGCACCATCAAGAAGCTGGAGGCGGGGCTGTCGCATTAATTAAACTAATTAGTCATGTGTCCGCATGGGCGTATTATTAAGTAATAAACAACATAAGTATGTGCGTGCGTGCGAGCGATGACAATCATTGCATTGTACGTGTCTTGAATTGACGTGAATTTTGTTTTGTTTGGGGACAATAAAAAGATGTATCTTCCCATGAATGAAATAAAAATGACAGCGGCTGGATTGAATGAAATAGAACAATAAGAAAGAACATACTATATATAAGTACGTAGTAAACAGTTGGGAGCAGAAGTGGAAAACGGCTTAAGGGCATGCAGGGGGAGGAAATAAGAATAAAAAAATGCTACTTGCTGCTGATGCTGCCGCCGGGGTAAATATGTATGGATGTATGTATAAAGTGAATTAGCTAGGGGCCCAACAACACCAACACAATGCAAAATTTCATTCATTAATGGAATGCATTGCGATGAGTTGAATTGAATCGAAGTGGGAGACTAGACTATAGAGTAGAGTATGGTTAAACTTAAATTACGATGGAGATGGAAGAGGTAGGTAGCTGGGTAGAGGATGAAATGGCTGGCAGGCAGGCAGGCAGACAGACAGACAGACAAGGAGATGGAAGATGGGCAATTTGGGAAGAAGGAATGGATTTATTATTAGGATATGGATATGGATATTGATATTGGATATGGATACGGTAGCCCCCACAAACAACCCCCCTAATCCCTATTATATACTAGTATACAATTGTATCGTATCATATCTTATCCGTAAAATGATATGGTTTTTGATCGACGAATTGATGGAAGGAAGGATGGAGAAGATGGATGATAAATTTATTTTAATTACAAGTAACAAGTTGCTTGCCCATCTCCATGTCCATGTCCGTCGACAGACATTGATGGAAAAGCAAAAGCAAAGAGAGAGCAAGACAGCAGCAGCAGCAGCATTGATAAATAAATAAATAAAATACTACTCCAGTCCAGTCCAGTCCAATCCATAAATGAATAGATAAGAGGAAGAAGAAGAGGAAGAAAAGGTGAGGTGAGGTGTGGTGTCAGTATGTGGGGCTGGACACTAGAGGCTCACACTTTAACTCATTCACTGCCACACCATGACCATCATCAGCACTCACTCTGCAGCATTACAATCTAAAATGGCAATACAGTAGAGAAGAGAAGAGAGTGATCAGATCTAGTGAGAGAGAGAACTCGCACCTTTAATTCAACTTGTTCCTTTCTCTCCTCTTCTCTTCACTTCACACTCCCATGGGATCTCATTTCCGTACGTCGGATTAATGGAATAAACTTCATTTTACCAATTATAATTAGGGTACAATATTATATATATACAAGAGATATATTAGGCAGGATATATATATCTAAATATATACAATATATATCAACATCTCCTCAAACTCAAGGTAGAATGGTAGAACCCAACTTGAGTTTACTCAAGAATGACTGAAAACGGCCGGAAAGATGAGGCTTATTGAAACCTTCGGCAGTCTGATCAGCAGAAGGAATAGGAGACAAGGAGATGTTGCCATGAGCAACGTGATGACGTATAAGGTGACAATCGATCTCGATGTGCTTCGTACGCTCGTGGAAGACATCATTCGTCGAAATCTTCATGGCGCTCTGACTATCGCAATAAATAATAGTGGCAGAGGACTGAGGCACTCCAAGATCAGCCGGCGAAGCCATAGAAGCTCGGCAGTGGTGTCGGCAAGAACTCTATATTCGGACTCTGCACTGGACCGGGAGACAACTGTCTGTTTCTTGCTGCGCCACGAAATAAGCAAGTCACCAAGGAAGAAGCAAAACCTGGTGGTCGAGCTGTGAGCAGAGGGATCTCCCGCTCAATCAGCATCAGAATACCCGGTGAAAACTAAGAAAGAACAAGTTGAATAATGAAGCCCATGGAGGAGAGTACCTTTGATGTACCGGAGAATCCGTAGAACAACAGAATGGTGAGTCGTCCGATGGGCAGACATAAATTGACTGACGATATGGACGACATAGGCAATATCCGGTCGAGTGACAGTCAGGTAGATCAGACTTCCCACCGGCTAACGATACAAAGTAGGATCATCGAGGGGGACGCCGTCCATCGGAGTAGGACGACAGTCAAAATCTAGAGGCGTAGGGGCGGTCTTGGAGTTAGTGAGACCGGCACTAGACAGAAGGTCGGAGGCATACTTGGCTTGAGAGAGATAATATCCGTCGGAGGCGTCGGAGATCTCAAGTCCTAGGAAGTACCGAAGAGGTCGTAAGCTCTTCATCTCAAAGTGGCGGTGTAGATGAGCCTGTAGCTCAGAGATACCTGATGCATCATCTTCCGTAATGATCATGTCATCCACATAAAGTAGCAGAATAGTAATTCCAGCTGCCCACGACGAAGGAAGAGAGCCGAATTATGATCGCTGGAAGTAAAGCCAAGCTGGAGTAGAGCATAGCTAAATTTCAAAAACCAAGCTTGAGGCGCCTGTTTCAAACCATACAGGGCACGACGAAGTTTACATACTTTGGAAGACGTAGGAAAGCCAGGAGGAGAAGACTAGGGGTGTCAAAAGTAAACCCGACCCGAAAAACCGAACCCGTTCGACCTGAAATTTTTCAGGTTCGGGTTTGGGTATTTTGGGTTTGAAAAAAATCGGGTCGACCCGAACCTGAAACGAAAAAAAATTTGTGTCGTGTTCGGGTCGTGTTTCGGGTTGACCTGATAACCTGAAATATAAAAATCAGGTTAGATTTTGGGTTTCGTGCTTCGGGTTGACCTGGAATTTTTATTATTATTATTTTAATTTATAATATTTATATTATTTTAAATATAAAATAATATAAAATTTAAAATAAAAATGATATTTTTTAGGTTAATTTAATTTTTTTAAAAAATTTTCGAGTTTGTTTCGTGTCAGGTTCGTATCGGGTTTGTTCGCATTTCGGGTGACCTGAAACTAATTTAGGTCAACCTGAACCCGACCTAAAAGAATTCGTGTCGTGTTCGGGTCTAGGGTTTCAGGTCAGATTTCGGGTTCGGGTCGGGTTCGGGTTGACAGTTTTTTTGGTATCACCATGACTCAACCCGACAGGAACAAGACCCAAAAACACGAATTGACACCCCTAGAGGAGACATATAGATGTCATCGGTAGATCACCATACAAGAACATATTCTTGACATCGAGCTGGTGTAGGGACCACCGACGAGCGGCAGCGATAGCGGTAAGACAACGGACGGAGTTGAGATGAGCAACCGGGGCAAATGTCTCCTCAGAGTCTATACCATACTGCTGGGTGTAGCCTTTGGCTACCAAACACGCCTTGTAGCGCTCGATGGATCCATCAGAGTGAGTTTTGATTCGGAATACCCACTTGCAGCCGATAGGTTTCTTGCCAGAGGGAAGATCAACCATATCCCACGTATGGGTTTTCTCCAAAGCCTGCAACTCCTCAGACATAGCCTGCCGCCACAACGGATCCGCATACGCCTCATAAAAGGACCTGGGCTCATGGTGGGACAAAGTGGCAGAGAAGCAGTGATAATCGAGTAAATGAGTAGGTAGGTGATTAACCCGAGTGGAACGGCGAGGGCTAGGATCAGGGTCTAAGGTCGAAGTAGTGTCAGGCTCTGGTAATGGTGATGCATCGGAGTCGAGAGTAGGAGTAGGCTCGGGGATCGGCGTCGGTTCAGGAGGCGCAATCGAGACAGCGTCAGGAGCGGGGGACGGGGCCACGTCATCGGAAGAAAATAAAGGTGGAGAGGACAAGGTAAAGAACGGAGACGAACGATCAAAGGGGACTCGAAAGTGGGACAAGATAGAGAACTTGGTATTATCCCAGAATGTGACATAACGAGAAATACATAGCCTATTGGAAATGGGATCCCAACAAAAATAACCCTTATGCTCTAACCCGTATCCCAAGAAAAAACACAGACGCGCACGATGTTCCAACTTAGTGCGCTCATGGGGAGGGAGGAGGACAAAACTGACACAACCGAAAGGGCGGAGAAGACTATAATCAGGGGCTCGATTAAATAGCCTTTCAAATGGACTGACATTACCCATGACAGAGGAAGGGACACGCATTATAGTGTGGACACCAGTGAGTGCGGCTTCTCCCAAAAGCGATCCGGACAAGAGGCAGATAAGAGAAGGGTGCGGACTGTATCGAGGATATGACGGTGTTTATGTTCGGCGAGACTGTTTTGTGGAGAGGTGTATGGACAGGAGCGTTGGACAACAGTACCCTGATTAGATAGGAAACGAAGGAAGGAGAATCGGTATACTCAAGAGCATTATTTGTGCGGAGAGTTTTTATGGTAGAGGAAAATTGGGTATGTATCAGTTTATTTAAATAGATGGAAGTTCAGAAAACACTGCCGCATAAAGTAAATCCATGTAAAACGAGAATAGTCATCAATAAAAAGTACAAAATAACGAGAACCATTATAGACACAGCGGGCGAATGTCCCTAAATATTAGAGTGAACTAATAAAAACGGTGCATCCGCAATGTAAATACTACGAGAAAATGACAAGGCAGGTTGTTTTCCCAACATATACATATATTTATTATTATAACAACCCAACATATACATATATTTATTATTATTATTATTATTATTATTATTATTGTTATTATTATTATTATTATGCTGATTAATGTATGTGAGGGTGATCGTGTGGCCTGGTTGGACCATCCGCGGTATCTCCACTATTTTTTGTTATTCACGTCACTTTTTCTCTCTGCCACATCAGCGAAGATATTATCTTATATTTTATATTCGCAACAAAGATACTCTTCCTCATTTTTTAATAAATTTTTATTTTCATATTATATATATATATTATTTTTAAATTATATTTTAAATTTTTAGTATTAATTAATTATTTATTTAATTATTATATTATATTATATTATATTATTATTTGTCAATATTTCGATTTATTAAAAATTTATGGAAAAAAAGTTATATTATTTATTATTTAATTAAATTTAGTTTTAATTTATTTTTAAATTTTAATTTTAATATGAAATTTGTATTTTAGTGTTATAATTATTATTGGTTAATTAAAAAAATAAAATATAAAAATAATAATTAAATTTTTTTGAAGAAAATATTACATTATATTACATTACATTGCAATTACAATAGAAATATTTAAAATTAAAATAAGAACAAATAACTTAATTATTCATCGAACCAAATTTTTGCCATATGTTTTCAATCAAATCTGTTTTGAGTTG